TGGTTGATTGATTGATTGATTGATTCTTACTATTTCCAAAATCTGCTAAGAGTTTGGCCGCAATACGATCGTAGTTTAGGCCTTCAGCTACGCTCTGATTGATAACAACCATCTCCTCAGGAGAGAAGTGTTTGTGAGAAAAAACCATTAATAATTATTATTATCATCTAATATAACTAGATAAACCATTGTATGATAAATATTGTCAATAACAATTTAATTGAGAGGATTAAGTTGTTACTTAATATCTCAACCTATGACTAATTAAGATCTTCCCTTACATCGGAAATTAAAGAGTGAGAGACAATAGGCCAATATTAAAGATTAGTCTCTGGTCAATTTGAAATCTATATGAACTTGTTTGGAAAAACTACCTCATTATATCAATCTAAGATGTTCAAGTAAATCTGAAGATTGTACGCACATTTTAATTGGTGAAGTAAGTATTATAATAGACAAATGTGTATATATGTCACCTGTCTCAACATAGAACCACAAGTCGGGAAGTATGAGATTTACTGTGAGGAACATGACAACTTCTCATTTCAAGTTTGGTGGTCTGTTCTCAACCCACTTCCCAAATTAGATTAGGGATGTCTGTTGGAACAAATCTTAAGATTGCTTTACACACCCCACAAATCGAAACAATAACCCCACCCCATATCGATAACATTCAACTACCACAACTACAACTACTACAACAACAACAAGAATAACAACACATAAGTAATAACTGTTTTTAGTGATTAATTAAATCACTTTATGATGGGGTACAAGAGAAAGAAACAGGCAGAGTTCGATGACTATACCGATGTCTCATTCAAAGAGAAATTTGGAGTACATAAAGTCGTAGCCAAACAACTCCTTGAGGACATTAAATTCACCGAGCAACACTGGCTGATGTGGACACTGGACTTCTTGCGAAACTACAACTCTTTCAACTATAGCTCGGCACACTTTGGAGTATGTGATAAGAACTTCAGAGAGAAAGTTTGGATGGTGATTGACAGTATCAAACAGCTCAGCATCAAGGTAAGTAGTCTGTCATATGATTGTCCGTACGGACGGTTCGTGAGCATTAGGCATACATACCAGACTAACATCATCACAGCACCGCACACTTTCAAAGACTAAGTTCGACAAAGATAAAGAGAGCCTTCCAGATCATGCCGCAGATCATCCTGAAGCAACTATTGCATTGGCTGTCGACTCCACCTTCTGCGACCTGGAGACTAAAGACAATGGATTCTACAACGGTGAGAAGAAGAGGTTTGGTGTGAAGTATGAAGTTGCATGTGTAGTTAGAACTGGAGAAATTGTGTGGGTGTCCGGACCGCATGGGGCATCCGAGGCTGACGTTGACATTTACAGACAAGGGCTTAAGCAAGAATTGATGGCAATTGACAAGGTCAGGGCAGTCGCTGACAAAGGATACCAAGGCGAACCTGACACACTAATCACGCCCTTCAAAAAGAAGCAAGGAGCCATTCACCTCCCCCCAATGGAAAAGATCTACAATGACTGGGTTCAGTCTATTCGATTCATCATCGAGAATATATTCAGTAGCTACAAACTATTCAATGCATTGAATAGACAATTCCGAGGAACAGTGGACCAGCACCGAGATATCTTTGATGTAATCACATATATCATCAACCTTGACACAAAATTCAAAATTAATCATATTATAAATAAATCCTAAAAATATGACATCTACCTGGGGTCCAGTTGAACACTTCATGTGGTTCATTATTTGTTTGAGCATACATCTACAAACTAAAGAGATATTAATATCTGATTATAACATTATCGGAATGGAATGATGAAAGGATCAGCAAAGCCAACAAACACTTCAGAAATGAATAATATCTCTTCCTTGCCCAACGGCCCAACAAGTCACGCGGGACTTGCAAGACGAGGCAAGATTCAATCACCAACAGCAGGGGTAGTCGCGCACTCAAGAATCTGAGTTGTGAATTAAACTTAAGTCACCAATGCCTCGCTGCTGTCACCTGCACCAACCAACATCATATCTTCTCAGCTTGTATCTTATCATTCAATCAATCAATCATTCATTATCCAACAATATATATACACCACAATAACAACTACAACAATGATACCAAACAGAGCTGAATGGAGAGGACAATCATATGACACAATCACTGAACTTGGACCTGAACCATTCATAACGCATGTTACGGCATCAACAAAGCCAGAGGAGTTGTTGGCCACATGTCTTGCAAAGTTGAAGGACAACCAAGACAAGATTAAACAATGTGCCAATGACTTCTACAAACTTGAGGCTGAATATCTCAAGGTCATTGACTCCGAAGTACCACTAATGTTCAAGGAGAGCAGAGAACTGATCAGCAGAATCACCGATGATTCATTCGTCAAGATTGCCTTGTGTGGTGCAACTTGTGCTGGTAAGTAATGGCGATGATGATGACGGTGTGCCAATCATTCATTCATACTAACTATACTCCACAACAGGCAAGTCCACATTGCTCAGTCTTCTCTTGGACAGGTTGCCATTGCCCAGTGGCAAAGGCCACACCACAGCCCGCATCTGTATCATTCGCTATGCAGAGTTGAAGGATGCCAAGATCAGTCTGTGTCGTCTCAACCAGGCCACTTCCAAGTTGGAGCCCATTCCCAATGGAGAGGCTGCCTCGTTGGCTCAGTACAAGACAACCAGAGAGCTGAAGCCCGTCCTCGACAAGTTCTTGCGCCGAGAGAACTTCCCAAATGAGAAGTTCGAGGAAATCGTCACTCAGATCGTCCTCATCCAGTATCCAATCAAACTGCTCAAGGGTGGTGTAGAGATCTACGATATCCCAGGCTACAGTTCAGAGGACAAGGACTGTCTCAGAGAACTGCGCCAGTCATTCTTGAAGCATGTCAATCCACACGGACTGATCTTCTGTTTCCCAAACCCAGCCTTCTCCACAGAGGAGATCAACGCATATGACGACCTGCTCAAAGGAATGGGCACCGACGTCGAGCTGAGGACCACATCGAGGACATTCTTTGCCAACACCAAGTTTGAGATGTTCTCATTCGCTTACGACCAAGGCTTGACGCTTGAGGAGCTCGAGGATCAGCCAGACAAGGTGCAGGAGGAGGAGAAGAAGAGATCCGAGAACCTTCCCAAGAGGAGTCAACACCTCTCCGAGGAGAACAAGAACGTTGCACTCGAAGGATACACATACGCGCTGGTCAATGCCGTCGAGTACCTTGAGGGTGGTGGCCAGCTGATCTTCCATCGATTCCTGGAACGATTGTCAACATGGATCGTTGGCCAGCAACAACGTCGATACGCCACAGCCTACATGCGCATTGCCCAAGCCAGCAGTTCATTCTTCAGCAGCTACAATACCATCCGCTCAAACACCATCGACAAAATTCTCAAGGAGGAATGGTTGAACAATGGCAATGCGTTTCTGGACCAGCTGGGCGACGATCTCCGTGAACAGCTAACGCAGTATCTCCTAAAGATCGATGATCACTTCCAAGTGTTCATGGACAGGAACAATCTATACACCGAGGCACTCAAGGAGGCAAAGTCAATCAAGATCCAAGAGTACGACGGTCGCTCAAGATTGTACTCCGGTGAGGCCTCGGGTGCCTTCAAGGAGGCCTTCTCACCGTGGTTCAACAAGAATGTTCTGGAGGCCTTTTCCAATCATCTGCAGGGAGTTATTGATGGAGCCATTCAACAGACACTTAAAAACATCTTTGGCAGAGGCGATGTGTTTGAGAACGAGCTGCTCAACGATGTGCTGAAGCAGAGCTTTGTTGCCGGCTTCAAGTCCAAGATCTCCAACGACAAGATCCTCTACAACAGGATCACACCGACCATCATAACCAACATGTTTATGACTGCCTCTGACCATCCTGTGCTGGCCACGCTATCCGTGATCATGGGAGTGGGCATCATCGCCACGGTCTTTGGCCTGATCGCCGCGCCTTTCATTGACTCTTTCCGAAAGATCGACGATGACTTCAAGGAGAAGTTGACCAAGCGTCTGTTTGTTGAGATCAAGAGCCAGGTGAAGGATCTCCCTAATAAGCTATTCGTGGAGCAAGTCGCCAGCACACAGAAGGTCATCGAATCACTCAAGGGCAACCTGGTGGTGCGCCAAAACCAGATGACCAAGATGTCTCAGAAGCTTAAGAATATGCGCGAGATGGCCGAGACGCGTACCAATTTTGGCAAGGTGGAGGCCGAGGCACTGTCCGCGCTCACCAGTCTGATGGATCCGTCCTACAAGCCTGTGGTCTCGCTCGAGGACATTGGAGGCGGGGCGACAGGTCGCGTCTACAAGGGCACACTCGAGGGCAAACCGGTGGCAGTCAAGACACTGGTCTACGCTGACCCCAATGGCGAGGCCTTTGAGATGGCAGAGTCGATGTTCTTTGAGGAGGTGAACAACAGCCATCAGCTCACAGCCAACATCACCAACCTCAAGTACCTGCTGCCCCTGCTGGGCGTCTTCAAGGACGAGGTCAGGAAGGAGTGGCAGATCGTTTACCCACTCTACGACTGTGACCTGTTCACCTACATCAAGCGCAGTATTCCGCATCTCAGCTTTAAGCAGTCACTGAACATCGCCATCGACATGGCATCGTGCATTGTGATCTTGCACCAGAACAAAATCATTCACCGTGATCTCAAGCTGGAGAACTTCTTCATCAACTACAACAGACAGACTGAGGAGATCACTCAAATCGCACTGGGTGACTATGGCACCATCACCTTTACAAACATCGCCACCACACTCGTTGGCACCATACACTATATCGCGCCAGAGATCAAGAGGGGCGATACCTACACGGAGAAGGTGGATATCTATGCATTCAGTGGTTTGCTGTTTGAGTTGTTGGCCAAGCCAACATTCCAACGAGCCAACATCGAGTCGTTCAAGAATGCCGCACCGATGAAGGGTGTGCCAGAAGAGTACCAACAACTACTTGTCGAATGCTCGGACGTCGACCCCAATAAGCGACCAACGATTGACCAAGCCAAGCAGAGGCTGGTTGAACTGGCAAGAAAGCACTAAACAAGATGCTTGTATTTATTAATATAAAATGACAATAAAATCAATCAACTCGTAAGCCACCAATCACTGTTTGATCACACTCTGTTTGCAAAACTTTGTGTTTACAAAATATCTGATCAGTTGGCACCAACTCAAAACACCGTCATTCATCATTCATTGTACAATAACCAGATAATAATACAAATAAATAATATTACTTTATACAAACAACAAATATAAAGGAGGATAATATTATGAGTTCCTTTATTAATGACAATGATTATCATATTGGTGATCTGCCATCAGAGTTGGAGGACATTGACGATCCCCTCAAGAAGATGGCGGAGACTGTAAAGATATTCAGTGCGCTAAAGATGAAGTGTAATGATAGGATCAATGATCTATCAAAGTGTCACTCATATTTGAGTGAGGCAGTCAAGTCCACCCGCCTCTTCAAAGAGTTCACCAAAGACAAAATGAATGTCAAGTTGGTCATGGCTGGTCCGACTCATTCTGGCAAGGTATGTCATCTGTGATGTGATGTAAATACACTACTCATTCAATCGTACAATCTCTCACACTCTATCCCAATCAATCAAACAATCAATCAACCAAACAGTCAACATTGATCAATACATTACTGTCGATATTCAACCTGATGCCATCAGGAGCAGGTCATACATCAGGGAGGATATGCGTTCTGGCTCACTCGAAAACGATAAACATCAAGTTCTTCAAAGTGATACAATCAGAAGATCACATGCCCAACACACTACAGTGTCTGGAGAATGAGACGATCAAGATTGGGTCCAACACATTCAACTTGGAGACGAGAAAGATACTCCATACTCATCTCGTTCGACCGGTTGGCATCGATAATGATTCAGATGCATTCGAAGAGTGGGCCAGCAAGATTGTGAGAGTCGAGTTCCCATCACCATTGCTTGAGACTGGCATGGAGATCATCGATGTTCCGGGCTTCAGCAAGTCTGATCAATCATCATTGTTCAGCATCCGCAGACAGTTCTTCAATGTCTACTCGCCCACAGGCATCCTCTTCTGCTACCCAAACACATTCTCTGATGCCGAGGTGCTGGCTGTCAAGGACTTGAATGAATCACTCCCAGCCAACTGGAGCGAGACCAATGAATACTTCTTCTTTGCCAACACCAAGACATCCAAGAGTGAGGTGGCCACCAACAATAATATTGACAAGGGAGAAGACGTGCCGCTAGAGTTGATAGACAGCCACTCTGACAACTGCTTCTCCAAGATCAAGGCATCAAGTATCAGCGAGCTGATGTGTGTTGATCAGAGACGATTTGGAATCGTCAATGCAATGGAATTCTACAAACAACCTCGATCAGTAGAGAGCAAATACATATTCAAACAGTTCATCAATCGGTTGATCAGATGGCTGGCCAGGCTGTTCCAACGCCAGTCTCGCATCATTTTGGGAACAATCATTCAAGAGTGTGCCTTCATGTCAGGCAAGGCTCTTTCAATCAATCAATACATTGACAATAACATAGGGTTTGGAAACCTGCTCCAGGAATGCCAGAAGTTGGTTGACACATTCTCAAATACATTATGTCGCGAGTTGGACCAGATCATCGACACAATCCCATCGGTCGTCAAGTCTGCATTGGCCAACAAGTCAAACCAGGTGATCATCCAACGTGCCCATGATGCCATCACCAATGTGGCTGAATCCAAGGAGATGAAGTACATCATTGAGGACATCATCAAGGAGGCATTCAATCCCATCGATGAGCTCATCACCAACAAGATTCAATCACTCACAGAGACCTTACTTCACGAGAGGGAGGACCTTGCTCACGATCTTCTCAAAAACGCCTCCAGGGACGTTTCTATTATGATGTCTGGTACATGGCACCATCTCCTCTGCAAGTCAATCAAGTGGGTGATCAGTCCTTATGAGGATATCATGCGACACTTCAGGAAGCCCAAACTTGAATGGGGCGATCTCAACAACCTGATCAGGAAGTATCCCGGCACGATCGACATTACATCAATGAAGTTTGACGTTTTAGTAGAGGTACTTAGGAACAAATCCTCATTCAATCGACGCCTCAAGGGACAACACGAAAGTCTGGGACTCATTGTGAATGCAGGCACAATGAACTTCAACATCGACATGACATTGCAGAGCTATGTAAGACTCTTCAATGATGTGTGGGCACTACACAGTCAATTGGTGTTTCCATTCGATACAGTGACAGTAGATCGCACCAAAGCGGTAGCATGGGGCGACATTGGACCAGTATACAATGGATCATTCAGGAACACACCCTACCTAATCCAAGAGGTACCTTCAACTGACGTTGCGTTCGAACTACCTCTCAGACTGACAATACAGGCAATGTTTGGACACAACGTGGCAAAAAGTAAACCCATGCTGCCACTTCGATTCTTCTTCAAATCAGATGTCACTGGCGGAGGGTGGCTACTGTTGTACCAGAAGCACAGTCCGTTGATGCCATATCTTGAGGAGAACATCTCAACGATGAGTGTCACTCAATCATTGGCAATGATCAAACAGTTGATCAAAGCATTGGAGTATGTACCATATGTTGAAATCTTCAACATCTCAAAGATCTACTCGACAGAGAACATCAAATCAATGGCAATAATAGTACAAGCTGCCAGATCATTGTATAATGGATATCAAGGTAACACCAATCATGATGGGTTCCCTCATGAGAAGGTGAGATTGGAGTACATGTACATGGATGTCAACACCAAGGATATATACTTGGCTTCGTTTGGACATAGTTCCACAAGTGATTTTCATGGTCTCTCCAACCTAAGTTGGTATTCTACCGAGAAGGTATTGGCATCGCTTGCCGTGGTCATTGCAGAGTTGTTACCCAAACCAATATTACAAAGATATACCGATAACGATTTCCGGTATCTGCATGATCCAATCAACCAATGGAAGCCAAAGGGCGTTGACAACAAACACCATGGATTGTTTGTCGATTTGATCAGAGTATGCCTCGGAAAGACCACCATAAAGGAAGTACAATCAAAGTTGGAAGACATTTCGAAGCGTGTGAAGTGATTGATTAAAAAAACATGTTTTTATTGTTTGTTCACAAGTGTGGGTGTCATTCGTTTTTGATTGGAAGTGGACCTATTTTGAAGTGGGGAGTGTCGTTTGGGTGTGTGTTGAGGCAAAGATTTTGATTGATCAAAACTATTCCTACTCTAGGAGAAAGTGATCAAACAAGTTCCAAAAATAGATGATGTCAAAGAATGACCAGATATTTTATTCTTTTTTTTTGATTAACAAAACTACCTTCACTTCATTGACTCATTTAATCATACATACACATACTTTCATACATTCATTCTATACTAATACAAACTAAGTAACAATAATAACGACACCAAAAACGATGATATCTAACAACACAGTCGACAATAACAATAACAACAATAATAACAGTAATAATAAGAATAATAATAATAATCAGAAAATATCATTCTATGATTCAATCACAGAGGTTGGACCTGAAGAGTTCATCAAATGTTTGATTGGTAGTAATAATAATAATACAGATTTGAAGCCAATTAAGTTGTTGGAGACATGTCTTTCAACTTTAAAGTCAAATCAAGTCACCATAGAGACATGTAGTAATGACTTTATTAAACTCGAGAGTGAATACATCAAGTCATTGGACAGCGAAGAACTAGAGACACTGTTGTTCAAAGAGAGTCAAGACCTGATCAGTCGAATCACCAATGATCCATTTGTAAAGATAGCATTCTGTGGTGCAACCAATGCTGGTATGTGTCATCATTCAATCAATCAATCATTCAAATGAGTGATCACTAACACTCACTCACTCATACGTATCATCAACAGGCAAGACAACTCTGTTGATGACACTTCTGGATAGGTTGCCATTGCCCAATGCATCTGGACATACAACGGCCAGGATCTGTGTCATTCGTTATTCAGAGTTGGAGAATGCAAATCTCCACTACTGTCGACTCAACACAGAGACGTCCAAGTTGGATCGTATCCCAGATTCACAGGTCATCTCGCTCTCACAGTATCCAACAACAAGGTCATTGAGGGATGTCTTGTTCCAGCACCTTAGCCGTGACAATATGCCCAAAGGCGAGGCTCAGTTTGAGGAGGCCGTCTCTCAGATCGTTGTCATCGAGTATCCAATCACATTGCTCAAGGGTGGAGAGGAGATCTACGACATCCCAGGTCAGAGTAGCACAGACTTGGAGTGCCTAAAGCAGCTGCGACAGTCCTTCCTCCAACATATCAACCCCCACGGTGTAGTCTTCTGCTTCCCCAATCCAGCATTCTCGACCGAGGAGATCAAGGCTTACGAGGACCTGCTTCAGAGCTTGAGAACAGACGTTGAGCTGAGGTCGGCCTCAAGGACCTTCTTTGCCAACACCAAGTTCGATTCATTCTCATTGTCGTACGACCTTAACCTGACCTTGGATGAGATGATGGTAAACGCTGTCCCTGATGAGGAACAAGCACGATCAAACAACCTGCCCAGAAGAGCGCAACAACTGGACACGTCCGAGGCAAACAAGGAGGTGGCCTTCAAAGACTACACATACTCGTTGGTCAACACAATGGAGTATCTCGAAGGCAGTGGTGATGCGATCTTCCACCGCTTCATCGAGCGTCTGGCCACTTGGATCGTGTCACAGCAGCAACGCCGATATGCCACAGCCTACAAGCACATTGCCGAGGCATCCAACTCATTCTTCCGCAGTTACAACACCATCCGATCAAAGGAGATTGGCAACATCCTCAAAGAGACCTGGCTCAAGAATGGCAATGAGGCACTCGATAGCCTTAGAACGAACCTCCTGTCGAGGATGGACGACATCTTGCAGAGGACTGCGCAGCACTTTGAAGACTTCTTGGTGGAGCACGACCTCTACAACAAGGCACTGGCCAAGGCCAAGTCCATCGTGGACACAAACTACGAAGGACTCTCAAGGTATAATGCCAGTGCTTATGCCGAGGTGTTCAAGTTGAGGTTCTCGCCATGGTTCAACGAGAATGTTTTGAAGGCCTTCATCGACTCAATTCAGAGACGCATCGACTCGGCCGTGGAGGAGTCCATGAAAGTTGTCTTTGACAGGACCGATTCAATCGAGAATGAGTTGCTCCTCGACGTCCTCCAACAGTCATTCGTATCAGGCTTCAACAGCAGGATCTCCAATGACTCGATCTCATACAAGAACATCACACCGACCATCCTGTCCAACCTCCTGATGACCGCGACCAAGCATCCCATGTTGTTGGCACTGGTCATCATATCAGTGGTCGGCATCATCCCAACAGTGATCTCAGTGATCGTGGCACCGATTATGGATGCCATTCGAAAGATTGACGATGACTTCAAGGTGGAGTTGACCGATAATGTGTTCTTCAAGATCAGAGAGCAGGTTAAGAAGTTGCCAGTGACCATGCGCACGATCCAAACGCAAACTATCAGCGACACAATCGACTCCATCAAGGGTAACCTTGCTGCGCGACAGGAGCAACTTAGGTTGATGTACGAGAAGCTGGACTCGTTGAGAAACATGGCAGAGATGAGGACCAAGTTTGGAAGGGTCGAGGCTGAGGCCTTGTACGCGCTCACCAACTTGATGGACCCATCATACATTCCAGTGATCACAAACACCGACGAGGACATTGGAGGTGGTGCAACAGGTCGCGTGTACAAGGGCACACTCAAGGAGAAGCCAGTGGCCATCAAGACCTTGTCCTATCGCAAACCAATTGGAGAAGCATACGAGATTGCAGAGTGCATGTTCTTTGAGGAAGTGAACAACAGCTACCAACTCACCAACAAGATCGGATCATCAAGGTACCTGCTCCCACTGCTTGGTGTCTTCAACGATGAGACCAGGATGGAGTGGCAGATCGCCTATCCACTCTACGACTGTGATCTCTTCCACTACTTGCATCGCAGGATCACCAATGGCAACATCATCACATGGTCCGAGACGCTGTCCATCGCCATCGACGTTGCGTCATGCATCCAACTTCTACACGACAACAGCATCATTCACCGCGACCTCAAGCTGGAGAACATCTTTGTCAACTATTCCAAGGATACTTGGAAGATCACTCATATCTCGCTGGGCGACTATGGCACCATCACCTTTGACAGAGTGGCAATGTCCTATGTTGGCTCGGATCGCTACATGGCACCCGAGATCAGGACAGGCTACACCGTTCCCAACTCAATCTACACGGATTCAGTCGATATCTATTCACTCAGTGGCATACTATTCGAGTTGATTCCAAAGAACAAGTTCCAAAGAGCCAAGATTGGATACTTCAACACTGATCAACATATCAAGGATGCACCAGAGCAGTATCGCAAACTGATCATGGATTGTGCCAACAATGATCCAGACCTACGACCAAAGATCAGTGATGTGAAGTCAATATTGTCATCAATTGTACTTTAATATATCTGTGTACACAATGAATAAAGTAATACCAACACCAGATAGTGTATCTTGGTGGCTAACACGAAGTTCTTGGACACCAAGGTCCTTGTGTGTGGAGTCAATGAACTTGAAAAATCAGTTCTGAACCTTGCCTTGATCATTCAAACAGTTGACAATACTTATAACATAGAGATACAGATATTGTAATAACAACAAAGATGAATGTTAACAAGTTTATCAACTCAGACTACTACATAAATGATTTGTCACCAGAGTTAAAGGGTATAGAGGAGCCTTTGAAGAAGTTGACAGAGACACTCAAGGTGTTCAGTGCACTAAAGAGTGAATCATTTGATAAGATCATAGAACTAGAACAATGTCATCAACGAGTTGATGGTATTATAGACTGTGATCATACAATCAAAGATATCGCAAACAGAGACTATTCAAAGATCAAGCTGGTCTTCTCGGGTCCGACATATTCTGGCAAAGTAGGTTCAATCTCACTCATGATGATGTACATTATTCACTGAATCTCACTCATTCAATCAAACAATCAATCATTTAGTCAACTTTGATCAACACACTACTATCCTACCAACTTATGCCGTCAGGTGCAGGTCACACGAGGCAAACCCAGCCTTCTCCGATGGCGAAGTGATGGCTGTACCAGACCTGATAAATTCACTGCCTCGTGACTGGGGATCAGATGAGACAATATTCTTTGTCAACACAAAGAGGTCAATTGCCGAGGTGGCACTCAACAACAACATCGATAGTGAGTTTGTCACAACAGAGCTAATCAACAAGTATGATAATGAATGTTTGGCAAAGTTCAAAGGATCGATGCTCCACACTTCATTGTTACCCGATGATAGACGATTCTCATTGGTCAACTCATTGGACTTTATCAAACGACCAAGATCAATTTCAACTCGATACATGTTCCAGCTGTTCATCGATCGTTTGGTCAAGTGGATTGGGAGACTCTTCCAGAGACAGTGCGACACAATCCTTTCATTGCTTGAGATTCAGTGCCAGAGCATTTCACCAATTGTTCGATCGGCTCAGAACTACTTCGATATCAAAGAGGATCTCTACTTCTTGGAGCATCAAACAACTCAATTGTTGAATGAAGCCATTTTCAGTGCAAAGAGGGTGGTATGGCATTCTCTCCAAAGCATTCCACAGTACTTCAAAGACTATTTTATATCAAGAAAGAAGGATATTCGAGGATCCAAACTCTCAAATGACCCAGTCAATACTTTCATACTTGTAATAGCAGATGGCACAAACTTGTTCCTCTCATCGTTCAAAGACAAATATGACAACTCAATCAACAACATTTTAAAGTCGATCTTGAAAGAGGATAACTTCGTCACAAATATGTTTAAGAGTACAATGAAGGACATCGAGTGGAGCCTAAAGACACCATTCCCCACACTACTCTACAATCGTCTACAAAATGCCATTAGTTCATACCTCAACTTCTTTGTTTCGATTCCAATCATTGATTCACAAGTTGAATCACAACACCTGACAGGGTCTAAGTTGGATGTCAGGGAATTGCTTGACAAATATGTGGAATCGATCAACATATATTATCTTAAGTTTCTATCTGTTGACAAAGAAGTCAATGAAACATTCGAGATATTCGAGACCAACATGCTCCTTCAAATTGGTCGTCTTAAACATCAAGCTAAAATGTCCAAAATGCCATATGATCACTTGAGCGACAGTCTTCACAGTTATCAATCACTTCATCTGGATGTGTTGGCACTCAACTGCAAGGTACACTTCCCTTTCGACAATGTTAAACTAGACCTATCCATTATCGATCACTATCACGAGGTTGGACAAGTATACACAGGGGAGTTCAGAGATCAAACATTCCTTGTTGTTCGGACCAGAGATCCTTCAATCGATCTCACCAAGAAGATAATCAGTCATGCTTTGTTGGCAAACAAACTGACCATGGACATCATGCACTCATAGAACACAGACGTAATAGAGTTTTGGCTACAAACTCAACCCAAGTTGTCCTAAAAATGAATCACATCGAATCATTGAATCAGATACATAATCATCAAATCATGACCATATTACCACTTAAGGCATTCTTCAAACAATACAACAACGACCAAATTGAATGGCTGTTGTTGTTCGGTCGATATCAAATAGTTGAGATGGCCCAAACGATTATTGTCATTCCATCAATCATCTGCTCATACTCATTCATTCATTCAATCTTTGAATCATTCAATAACAGGCAAGTCGGAGCTGATCAGCACCCTTCTTGATCGCTTACCATTGCCCTCTTCAATAGGTCACAACTCGGCCAGAATCACAATGATTCGGTATGCCAAGTTGGAGGATGCCAAGCTCTACTTTTGTAGTCTCAACACTGATCGCTGGAAGCTCAAGTCCAATCCTGATCTGATTCCAGATGGAGAGGTCATCTCACTCTCACAGTATCCAACAACAAAGTCATTGAAGGATGTACTGGCCGAGCACCTTAGCCGTGCCAATATGCCAAAAGATGAGGACCAGTACAAGGCGGCTGCCTCTAAGATCGCTGTCATCGAGTATCCTATCACATTGCTCAAGGGTGGCCTGGAGATATACGACATACCAGGCGATTGTTCGGATGATATGGCATGGCAAAAGGAGCTGCGACAGTCCTTCCTGAGGACATTCGACCCGTATGGAGTAGTCTTCTGTTTCGAATCCGATGTATTCACCGACACGGTGATGAATACCTACAACGACATGGCATATTCGAGATTGGCGGATGTTAACATCGAGCTGAGGAACACATCAAGGACATTCTTTGCCAACACCAAGTTCGAACTATTCTCTTTCGCATATGACATTGACAGGGATCTCCCCTTAGAGGAGGTGACGAATGACATGATCTCCGAGGAGGAGAAGATATGTATTGAAACAATTCTCAGTCGCACCAAGTCCGATGGCTTCAAAGAATACACGTACTCGCTAGTCAACACAGTCGAGAATAGTGAGGGCTGCGGTGAATGGATCTTTGACCGCTTCATCAAGCGCCTGGCCACATGGATCGTATCACTGCAACAATGTCGATTTGCCATGGACTACAGGCGCATTGCCGATGGATGTAACACATTCTTCCAAAACTACAACGTCATGCGACCCAAGACCATAGCCAACATTGCCAAACAGTCATGGCTTGGCAATGGTAAAGAGGCAATGGAGAATCTGAGACCGATCCTCTTGACAATGATTGACACGATCTTGAAGAGTATTGTACAACACTTTGAAGACTTCTTGACTGAGCACGACCTCTACAACAAGTCCGTCGACAAGGCCAAGTCGATCGTGCACCCAGAGTATGCCAGTGTCTATGCAGAGGTGTTCAAGAAGGAGTTCACGCCGTGGTTCAACGAGAATGTCTTGACACCCTTCATAGGCATGATGATTCCACTATCAGCTCAGCTGTGGAGAAGTCAATGATGTTAGTCTTTGACAGGACGGACGTGCTTCAGAATGATTTTCTTTTGGACGTCATTCAACAGTCATTCTTGGCAATCTTCTTAAAGAATGTCTCAACCGACAAGATTGTGATCGGATCAGTTGGCGGTATCATCCCATCAATGATCTCACTACTGGTTGTTCCAAAGAAGATTGACGATGACTTCAAGGTGAAGCTGACCAACAAAGTATTCAACAAGATCAGACAGCAGGTCAAGGCGATGGACATGCGCACCAAACTGGCAGAGATAATCAACAAAACAATCGATTCACTCATTGATAATATTCCACTGCGACTCAGAGATCTTAAGAAGCTGTACGAAGAGCAGGATGACATGGACGAACTCAAGCCCAAGTTTGGAAAGATTGGAGCTGAGGCCTTGTCAACGCTCTCGAACTTGATGGACCCGTCATACAGACCACTGATTAGCTCAGCCGATGAGGACATTGGTGGCAATATGTACAAGGGTACACTCAAGGGTGTACCAGTGGCCATCAAGACCATTTCATATAGCATCATGATTGGTGAAGATGACGAGATGGCAGAGAGCATGTTCTTTGAAGAGTTAAACAACAGCTACCAACTCACAAAAATTTACCGAACATCAAAGTACCTGATTCCACTGCTTGGTGTATTCAACGATGAGATCAAGATGGAGTGGCAGATTGTCTATCCACTATACGACTGTAATCTTTTCAACTACTTGCAGCGCAGGATCACCAATGGCAACATCCTCAAATGGTCTGAGACACTTTCAATCGCCATCGATGTGGCGACTTGCATTGGACTACTTCATAAGAACAAAATCATTCACAGAGACATCAAGCTTGAGAACATCTTCATCAACTTCAACAAGAATACCGAGGTGATCACTCACCTCATTCTAGTCAACTATGGCGCCACCAATACCAATGTCGAACATTCACTCGATATCAAGCGCAACGAAGATCATCACTATACAATGGAGACAGAGTCAGTTGATATCTATTCACTAAGTTGCATACTCTACGAGTTGGTTCCAAGGAATACACTCCAACGATCACACAATAACGACTTCACAAACATCCATGGCGCACCAGATGAGTATCGCCAACTAATAATGGATTGTGCCCAAATCTATCCAAACTTGCGACCAAACATCAACGAAGTGCGGAAGACTCTGTCCTCCATTGTACATGGATTAACTAGACATAAATAAACATGTAATGTATATATTGATCATCCTAGGATGATAGGGTGTCTTTGTTTGTTCAAAAAGACTCAAAAGTAAGAGTTTAAACAAAATTGATTCATTCAGTTCACAACAACTTACAACATTAAACAGATAATCATATAGATAAACAAAAAGATAGACAATGTTAAAGTAATTGACTGACAGATGTTGAACATCATCAACAACATCATCATCATCACCATCATTGTAATCTTTCATATCATATCAACTTAATATTAAAGATAAGATTATTGGTCATGTGAGTACATGGACAGACGCAGGTTGTTTTTGCAGAGATCATGATTGGCAAACAATGCCAAGTTGGACACATCGACGATACACTACTACTACGGTGTCAACAACAGCAGATATTACATTGATCGATCAATCATTCAATAGTATACTATCGAGTCTCGACCAAACGTGCTTTCGTTTACGTAGTACAGTTGTGTGAGCCAACCAATCAAAAACTTGGGTTTCCAATCTGATCAAATTAATAAATATCCGGAATCATGTGATGACAATGTTGCTCGCGTAATGTTATTAACCAATCAAACTGGTGGAGTGGACCATCATTTGTTATCATACTTACTTAAACAATGACAGATAGTAGTAATAATATATTCTATAATTCAATCATTGAGATTGGACCTGAACCGTTCGCCAAACAAGTGATTGATCGTTCAAAGTCAGAACCAGGAAAGGTGTTGGAGACATGTCTTTCAATGTTAAAGTCGAATCAAGATCAGATAAGTACATTGTACAATGACTTTACCCAACTTGAGAGGGAATATTTTAAGGACTTGGGCTACCCAGACTTAGAACTGGGTTTGTTGTATAAGGAGAAGCAAGCCCTGATTGGTCGAGTCATCATTGAACCAATTGTAAAGTTAGCCTTCACTGGTGCTACCTACTCTGGTAAGTATCATCAATCAATCATTGATCCATTCATTCAAACATACTTATTCACTTATTCATTCATTCCATTCACAGGCAAGTCGACTCTGATCAGCTCCCTTCTGGATGGCTTACCATTACCCACTGCAAGATCACGCAGAACAGGCAGATTCACCGTCATTAGGTATGCAGAGTTGGAGAATGCCAAGCTCTACTTCTGTCATCTCAACACCGAGACATCCAAACTGGATCCAGATGGACAAGTCATCTCACTCTCACAGTATCCAACAACAGAGTCATTGAGGCCTGTCCTGGCTGAGCATCTTGGAGGTGGCTATAAATCAAAGGGTGAGGAGATTGACGAGAACAAGGCGGCTGTCACTCAGATCGGTGTCATCGAGTATCCAATCTCATTGCTCAAGAGTGGATTGGAGATCTATGACTTACTGGGCTTTTGTTATGGTGATAAGCCATGCATCAAAGAGTTGCGCCAGTCCATCATCAAACATATCAACCCGCATGGTATCGTCTTCTGTTACTCCAACCCAGCATTCGATAAGGGTGAGACCGAAGCCTACAATGATCTGATACGTTCGAGATGGGGAGATGACTCTGTGCAAACGAACATCTCTAAGACATTCTTTGCCAACACCATGTTCGATCTATTCTATTTCCTGTATGATATTGGCCTCAGCGTCGAGGAGATGACGACCGACATGATCGAGAAGGAGGAAAAGAAACGATTTGATATCCTACCCAAGGAGAGCAGGGAGGTAGCCTACAAATACTCGTTGGTAAATGCAATTGATCTTCATTGCCGAATTGATAAGGATTATATAGGTTGTGACGATTTTATCTTCCACCGTTTCCTGGAGAGACTGGCAACATGGATCGTGTCATTGCATCAACGTAGATATGCCAAGTCTTGTGATGGGATTGCTACAGGTTGCAACTCATTCTTCGAGAGCTACAACGGCCTCCGATTAAGGATAATTGGAAGGATTGCCAAAAAGTCCTGGCTCGACAATGGCATAGTCGCACTCGAGAATCTGAGGCCGATCCTTCTGTCAATGATTGACACTACCCTCAAGAGTACAATGCAGCACTTTGAAGACTTCTTGCTGGAGAATGACCTATACAACAAGGCAATCGCACAGGCCAAGTCGATCGTGCACCCAGAGTATGCCAACGTCTATGCTGAAGTGTTCAAGAAGGAGTTCATGCCATGGTTCAATGTGAATGTCCTGACACCATTCATCGATGTGATGCGGGGTCGTATCAACTCAACCATGGAGAGGGCAATGAAGATTGTCTTTGACAGTAAAGAGGACGACACTATTTGGAAAGCAATGGACATCATTCATCAGTCATTCATTGCCAACTTCAATGAATATATCTCGACCGAAAAGATAGTGATCGGATCAGTTGGTGGAATCATCCCATCAATGATCTCACTTCTGGTTGTACCAAAGAAGATTGATGACGACTTCAAGGTGGAGCTGACCAACAAAGTATTCAACAAGATTAGACTCCAGGTCAAGGCAATGGACATGCGCACCAAACTTGCAGAGACGATCAACAAAGCCATCGACTTACTCAGGGATTACATTCCAAAGCTACTCGAACAACATACGATGTTGCGCCAAAAGATGGACTTGATGAGCAACATGACAGAGTACAAGACCAAGTTTGGAATCATTGGGGCAGAAGCCTTATCCGCTCTCAACAACGTGATGGATCCATCATACAGGCCAGTGAAACTCTCTACAGTTGACCAAGAGGGTGGGTACACTAGTGCAGCGGGGCGAGTGTACAAGGGCACGCTCAGGGGCGAGCCAGTTGTCATCAAGACAATGCCATTTAGCATCATGATTGGAGAAGCCGACCAGATAGCAGAGAGCATGTTCTTTGAAGAGATGAATAACAGCTACCAACTCACCAACAGTATCAGATCATCCAAGTACCTGCTTCCACTGCTTGGTGTCTTCAACGATGTGACCAAGATGGAGTGGCAGGTTGTCTATCCACTCTACGACTGTAATCTGTTCAAATACTTGCATCGAAGGATCACTCAAGGTAACTTCCTCACATGGTCCGAGACACTGTCCATCGCCTTCGACATTGCGTCATGCATTGAACTGCTGCACAAGTATTACATTATTCACCGCGACATCAAGCTTGAGAACATCCTCATCAACTATGACAAGGATACCGAGGTGATCACTCACCTCACTCTTTGCAACTACGGTGCCAACACCAATGCAGTCGCACGTTCACCCGATATTAAGAGCAATGTCGATGACTACACAATGGACACAGAGTCAGTTGATATCTATTCACTCAGTTGCATACTCTACGAGTTGATTCCAAGGAATACACTCCAACGATCACACAATGGTGACTTCAAACACATCAATGATGCACCTGATCAGTATCGCCAACTGATAATGGATTGTGCCCAAATTGATCCAAATATGCGACCAAACATCAATTCCGTAAAGGAGACTCTATCATCCATTGTTCTGTAATATAATTGAAGATATGATCATTCATTGTTATTATCTCTATCACTATTATTATCTGTTTGTGTTGGGCTGTTTGTTCGCGTTGACAATGTTTGACTTTTTGCTTCTTCCCCTATTTTGCACTCTCAAGTTTGATCAAATAAATATCTAATCACAACCGACCAGTCGTCTTCTGATTGATCAACTATCATTATTATTACTTACTATTACTAATACTACTAGATAGATATATAAAGATAAAAGATGACAACTGAGGATGAAGTGGTCAAACACTATGATAGGATACTGTTTGATCAAACATATATTACAACATCAATCATTAATGATATAATAGATTCAGTCCAACAACAACAACCATGTGATCATATGTTATCAACATGTTTAACAATGTTAAAGGATAACATTTATAATAATGATAATAATAATAATAATAATAATAATGATGGAGATAATAATCATATTGATAGGATCAAGAAATGTGTTGAAGATATACATAACATTGAGACTAAACACTTGAAGGATGTCTCATCACTTGGACATGTGTTGTCCAAGGACACTTCACAACTGATCAACAGTATAACAAACGATACCTTTGCTAAGATCGCAGTATGTGGTACTATTGGCTCTGGTATGTATCCATCATCATCTCATTCATTCATTCATTCATTCGATACTTACTCCTCACACGCTCACTTAGGGAAGACAGCACTGATCCGATCACTACTGGATGATATACCATTACCCACTGGTAATGGAGGAAAGACAAAGAGAATATGTGTTGTGAGATATGCAGAGTTGAAGGATGCAAAGGTTAGCTTGTGTACTTTGGACAGGACCAATTCAAAGTTGAAGCCAATCCCGGATAAGGCAGCCACCTCACTCGCCCAATACCCAACGACAAAGGAGATCGACAGGCAACTTCTTGACAAATTCATCCGATGGGACCCATCACAAGAGTGCAAGTTTAAAGAGTTTATCTCAAAGATCGTACTCATCGAGTATCCAATCACACTACTAAAGTGTGGCGTCGAGCTGTTTGACATCCCAGGCTATGGCCCAAATGACACAAACAGCTTCAAGGAGCTGAGACAGGCATTCTTGGAACACATGGACCCACATGGTGTACTGTTCTGCTTCCCCAACAGCACCTTCACGCCCGAGGACAGGAATATATACAACCACATCCTTCAAACACTTGGCATCAAGCAGCCTCATGGAGACAGGGTCTTTGTTGTCAACACCATGTTCAGTTTGCTATCGCTGGCCTATGACCTCGGAGTCAATCACCTCAATGATCTCGATTGCTTGATGGCCGAGGTGGACAAGCTGGATCAGATGATCGTCAAAACGATCAATTTTGGTGCCGACCATATCAACAACAGCAACAACCTTGTCAACTTCTCACGTATCAATTCGTTGGAGTATTTGGAGAGACTCCCAAATGGCCTGGTCACCTTCAATCGGTTCATCAAACGTCTTACAAGGTGGATGATGATGTTGGAGCACCGTCGACTGTGCACATCCTATCGATTGATCATCAACGACTGTGGCAGGTACTTACGCACCTACCAACAACTATGCTCCAAGTCATTGATGAACAAGGAGGTCGAGAACTTGGAAATTCTTTGCGAGTCAATCGTTCGCAGTCTGTCATTGGTAGTTAAGGATGTCACATTCGAGGATTTCGTAGACAATCATGACATCTATAGCCAGGCACTATCAATGGCCAAGTCAATCAATATCCCAAATTATGATGGTAAATCAAGAATGTATCTCTCCGATGCTACACAAAATTTTAAAGAGGCCTTCGACCCTTGGTTCCAGAAGAATGTTATCGAACCCTACTTGGATCACTTCACCAAATGCATAGAGCAAGCACTATGCGCTCCTCTTGGGTCCCACCTTGAGAGCTCTCAACTGACACGCACGCTCTTTGGAGTAATGTTCTTCACCAACATTGACACACCTTACCATATAGCCAAACATGTTGCGAAGCAGTTATTTGATTACGTTGAAATACGTTGTATGGTCATTGGAATGATATCCTCGGTCTTTTCTTTGTTTGGAGCTCGAAACATTGACACTCTAAAGAAGATGGATGACGACTTTAAGGAAAAGGTGATCAGTCGCCTTTTTAAGGAGCTCAACCATTGGATCAGTATAGGTGACCTTCATAGATTGTGCGATAAGATCAAAGGAATGATCGATTTGATCAAGATGGACATCCAGAAGTTCAAAGACGTTCACAGCCAAATCGGCAATATCAATCACTTGTTTGGATTGGTCTCGGCCTCGACCATGTCTGCACTCACATGTTTGATTGATCCTTCATACAAACCAGTGATCTCAGATCAAGACCACCATGGTAATGGCTATATCAATCTCCATAAGGGAATGCTCCAAGGTCTGCCAGTGACCATCAGGACACTACACTATGGTGATGGCAATCCCAACTCTCACCACCAACTAATGTTTATCAAACAGTTCCAACTTGGATTCCAAATCAAGTACAACCTCAAGCAGAAAGATCCAAAGACCAAGCACAAGGGTATGATCACTCAATTGGGTATCTTCAAGGACGAGGCCAGGAAGGAGTGGCAACTTGTCAATCCACACTATGATTGCAACCTGCTCACATTTGTCAATCGAATGATCATGTATCTTAAATGGAAGGAGCTGGTCAACATCGCCATTGACATTGCAGGATGCATAGAGGTGTTGCACAGCATCAACTATGTCCACGGAAGTATCAATTTGGAGAACATCCTCATTAAGTATGACAACCGATTCGATAGTATCACTGACCTGGTACTTGGTTACTGTGACACCGTCAACGTTGTCATGGACAATAATCCAACAACAATGTCATCTGATGTCTATGCCTTCAGTGGCATACTCTACGAGTTGATACCAAAGCCAAGGTTCAAACAAGCCAACATTGAATCCTTTAGCAAGGGTGAAGATGAGCACTTGAAGAGTGTATCTGTACCATATCGTCAACTGATCATTGATTGTTCTCAATCAAATGCAGTCCTTCGACCAAGTATCAAAGATGTAAAGTCAACTCTATGCTCCATCGCTTCGCAACTTTAATAACAATTAGTATATCAATAAATAAATCCATCAATCAATCAATTGAGGTCCAATGAATGTCATTTGTTGTTTTGCTACAAGATGTCAGACATACCTGTGAATGAAGTGATAAGTGAGGTGGCACTCATTTTCACTTTAGTTATCCTCCAGAACAATGTGTCCATTGACAAGGATGATCTACAAAGGTTCAACGACAAGCTATTGGCCAACATCCAGGATTGTATTGATCCAGTCAATGGAGTCCTCTTGAGCTATGGTATCTTCCCGACAGCAGCCTGCATCAATCATTCATGCCTCCCCAACACGGTCCGATACACTGACAACAATGGCATGTTGGTGTTCCGCAGCAACAGGGCCATCCAGTCGGGTGAAGAGATCACCACAAACCGTATTCCTGAAGTGATGCTCACAAGATCCAAGCCACTTAGGAACATTGTGACCAAGCAGCTTGATATCCATTGTACTTGCATTCGCTGCACCGTTGACAACAAGGAGTATCGATGTCCAACGTGTGGCCTTGGAGTTGACCGAAGTATGATCAAGACATGGGAGCCATTGCCAGAGATCAACTTGATGGCCGAGTGTACCAGTGTACCAAAGGTCATATCACCATGGCTGGTTACTACGAGATGCTAGACGACTCGGATCCCCACTTTTTCTGCCAACCATCAATGGTAGACTTGGAGCCCATCCTATTGCAATACTTCCAGAAGGGAAGTGGCAAGTTGATGCACCTTCAACAAGTGAAGTTGGTTGACTTGGTGCAAAGGAAGCAGTACCACTTGTGGCCAAGAGCAATCGAGAGTCTTTGGAAGAGGTTCGAGGTTGCCTTTGACAACCACAAAGGTATCATACCAGAGATCTATGCGATGTTTGAACATGTACATTGCACTAGGACGTACCTCCAAGAACACCAAGAAGATGAGTGAGGTCAAAGAGTTGTGCCGACAGCTATTGGAACAAAACATTCAACTATCGACGCACAACTATCGTCATTTGTTCCATTACATATTCTCGATGAAGTTTGTCAGTTCATAGAGTCATTGGATAGTTTGGCACCAAACTATATCATCGAGCATCACACTCAACTATCCAAGCATTATCATCATCATCGCCATGACTTTGAAGAGTTGTTCAAGCAATAATATCATTCATTCACTGTTTGTATCTGTTTGTGTATCTGTTCGCAAATGATTGTTTGAATGAATGAAAGATTGTGAAGCTCGAGGGTCAAAGTGAAGTTCTCCCTAACTCACAGATTGATTCATACTTCATCTTGCGCATATTCATAGAGATAGAGATAATAGAGATAATAGAGATAGATATGGATAAGATAAACTTGACCAAGGAGGAATATGATCTAGTTGAAAAGGTTTATGATATGTTCAAGAAGGGACAACAGGTAGACAAGGCGACTCTTGAGAAGGTGGTACATATGCAGAAGAGTGTACAACTGCTCAAGCCACCTTATAAGAATAACTTGATGAGTCAGTTCAGTACTGGTATGAGTCAGCCTTTGAGCGAGACACCACAGAAGTCATACAGCACTGTAAAGCAGGTCATTGAACGAATGGAGCAACTCAAGAAGCTGGGCAATGACGCGTTCACCAGAGAGGAGTACTGGTTCTCTGTGTCATACTACACGATGGCACTAAGATGTTTCGATAAACACTCAATGTCACTTGCCAATGCTGATGCACAGGAAGTGAAAGAGATGAGGAAGTTGGCCGCGATCATTTCCACCAACTTATCCCTATCATACGTTAAACAGGACTACATTCAAGAGTCAGCGACCGTTGCCGAGAAGGCGATTGCCTATGACGAGACGAATGCCAAGGCATTCTTCCGATCGGGCTACGCCCTACAGCGACTGGGCATGGTGGACAAGGCCACGGCACACTATCAACATGGACTGAGACTGGCCACAAGCAGCAAGAACAACGCACTTCATGGACAGATCAAGAAGGAGCTGGATCATGTCTTCTTGCAGCAGAGGCAGAATGCTGCCAATCGTATACACACACGAACACGTATCGCCAACGACACATCATTCTCTGCATTCCCCGTCAGCCTCGTTTGGGATCCGGTCAAGGGCAGGACACTCTCGGCCAACAAGGACGTCCCCAAGGGCGCCCTAATCCTTCGTGTTGCTCCCTTTGGTGCTGCACTGATCGATGAAACCCTGTCCACTCATTGTTCTTCATGCTTTCGTAACATAAGCTGTAAGTTAGTTTGGAACTATTCCAATCAATCAATCAATCCAATCATTGTGACTGACTGGCCGCCATCCTCTCTTACCGTTCAGTCTGCAAACATGTACATTGCTCAAAGTGCAAGATGAATACAATGTGCGAGGCATGTAATAGTGACAAGACGATCGCTGAGGAGCATGCCAATGAATGCGATTTGTTGGCCTTCTTGCACAAGCACACTCCCAATGCTCAGACGACAGACTTCCGATTCATGATTCGTGTGCTGTTGCGAGCAGTCCAGCACTTGGAGGGCAAAGCCAACAAGCAAAGCACACCGGAATCATGGCGAAAGGATGGCGCACCATTCATCTATGACACGTTGGACGACCTGGATCACCTCTCGGATGTGCCATCCAACATTGACGAGAAGAAGATGGAAGCTTTCACCACGGCCACAGGTGCGATCACCAGAGTGTTTGACATGGTCAAGGGACCGACATTCCTAGCGCAACTGGGCAAGCAGCACATCTTAGACCTTTACTCCAAGATATTGTTCAATGCACACGAGTACATTGACCCTCTCCATCAAACGGCGGTTGCACGAGGCATCTTCCCAACTGGAGCCTACCTAAATCACTCGTGCCAACCCAACTGCATCTGGTACACGGACAACAATGGCATGTTGGCCTATCGCAGCACACGGGTGATCAAGGCAGGCGAGGAGATCGTCACCTCCTATCTGGACATCACGATGGACCGATCAAAGAGGATCAATCGACTGCTGGAGCAATACGCATTCTACTGCACGTGTAGTCGATGCAGTGCCGACGACAATGAGTATCACTGCCCCGACTGCCGCGAGCCACTGAGCACCAAGCATCTGAAGATCTGGGAGCCACAGCCATCGATCAACTTTGACGGACGTGTGCATCAGTGCAGCAAGGGACATGCCACGATGTCTGCAATGTTCGAGGTGCTCCAGGAGATGTCGCACAATCTACCTATCTTTGGAAAAGGACCAGTCATCGACATAGGCCTGCGCTCGTTCTTCCAGGATGGAAGCATGATGGTGCTGAATCACTATTCGTCGCGAGCTACCCAAGCAATGGAGAATGGTTTATATGATTTAGTACCAACTACAATGGACAGGCTGTGGCAGTGCTACAAGGATGCATTTAAAGACCCCAGGGACCTAATACCATATCGATACGTTGGAGACTGTGTTCAAGTGCTATTCCCCTTGGCCAAGCGTGATAAGAGCATCCCGATAATGGGTCAGGTCAAAGAAAAGTGTCGAGCAACACTAGAGCTACAGATACAACTATCTACACATCACATACTTTGTGAGTTTGAACAACTATTTACAATCAAATAACACACAAGTTAGTGAGTGAGTGACTCGTTGGCGTAGAGTGTCCTTCTCTTGAATCAGACTCTACATCCTAGCTCGAGCAGTTGACATCCATTTCTTGTAAATCATTCATTCATTCATTCATTCATTCGTTCATTCAATCAATGCCAAGTGTGAAAGAAGCAATGCCCAAGAAGGTGACATGAGATGACATGACCAACTATGGTTCCAGTATTACCCAGGATGATGAATCCATCTGAATCTGAATCATTATCCCTGGACATGTCTCTATTACCAATTACGTAAGTCATTAATTGGTGTTAATGGGGTCTATGATGTTCTACTCAAACACACTCTTTGAAAAAAGAAGAACAAACTCTGGGTTCGTTTTTAAAAGATCTGGATAGAACTGTGTTCTGTTTCATTCTTCAATCGGATATATGCACAAGACAAAGATATAAAGATGGCCGCAATGACAGTCATAATATTCATTCAGTCAAACAAATCAATCAATCAATCAATCAAATAATCAAATAATAATCAACTTTATTAATCTAATCAATCAATCAATAATAATAATGTCACAACAATCATTGGTATTTTATATTACAGGCGCATCAAAGGGACTGGGAAAGGTGTTTACTCAGAGATTGTTGGAGAAGGGACATAAGGTTGCTGCAACATCGAGAGACACTGATCAGTTGAAGAGTGCAATTACCAACGCTTCGGATGATGCTTTCCTGCCATTGAAGGTCGACTTGGTAAATGAGCAATCGGTCTCTGATTCATTGGCCGCAGCAGTGGCCAAGTTTGGCCGTATTGATGTCGTCATCAATAATGCCGGCTTTGGTATCGGTGGAACGACCGAGGAGATGAGCGACAGCGAGTTGCGCCAGAACTTTGATATCAACTTCTTTGGCCTGGTCAATGTATTGAGAAACGTCGCGCCAATCCTTCGCAAGCAGGCCAGTGGATTCGTCCTCAACATCTCGTCAATCGCCGGATTCGTCGGTCACTACCCAGGCTTTGGAGCATACTGCGCCACCAAGTTTGCCGTTGATGGTATCACTGAGGGCTACGCTGCCGAGTTGCAACCATTTGGAGTGCGCGTGGCCACCATCAACCCAGGATACTTCCGCACAGATTTCCTCAGAGCCGAGTCATTCCTGACCACCAAGATCAAGATCGATGCCTACGAGGCTGCACACAAGGTCGAGGAAGTGCACCGTACCCAAGTCCATGGCAATCAACAGGGTGATCCAGCCAAGCTCCTTGACGTCATCCTACATCTTGTCCAAAACACATCGATTGAGAACGTTCCCCTGCATCTCTTTGTTGGACCCGATGCCCACACTCATGCCAAGGATAAGATTGCAAGATTGAACAAGGATCTTGATACCTGGGAGACTTTGGCCAAGTCCACCAACCATGATGATGTTGTTGCCAAGCAGCAATAATACCATGTTTGGATGGTATATCATCAAACTGGATAATGGTCACCTAATATATAATAATAAATTAAATAATGTACACACAATAATATTTCCTTTCCATGGATTGAATGAATGATCATTCTTGAAGTGTGTCCCCACACTCGTTCACTTCAAACATAACTTCTAAGCCGAACCCGCCTTTCAATTCAATTTGCCCAAACAACAAACAAACAAACACTCAAAAGCACGTGAATGAATGATAAATAGGTTGTACAGATAACTATTAATACATACAAACATATATATATATATATAAACATGTCAATGTTTACAAAGAACGGTGTACCATTCACACTTGGTCAGATGAATGATCAAAACCTACCTCTGACAGCTGATCGACTAAAAAGTCGGTCTACGCCACCTAACAGTTCATCAAAGTACTGGGACTCTAATAATATGAACACTTGGATCGATCGTTCTTACGTCGAGTCAGAGGTATACGTCAAGTATCAGAAGGAACAGGACGCAATCAATGGCATCGTAGAGCCAACAAAAGAGGAAGGTGCAGCTGCCGACGACGACGACGATGATGACGATGACGAAGATGAGAACAATGACGAAGTCAACAACAAGAACTCAACACAGACTACAACAACTACAACTACGACAACATTGAAAGGATCAACGATCACAGACATCAACAAAAAGAAATAGAGAGTTAAAGAGATAGAGATAGACAAATATATATAGTGCTACCCAATAGTTAGATCGACCGGTAGACAACCCAAATGGCAGGGAACTGAATGAAATGAATGAATGAATGAATGAATGAATGTGGAGGACACCAACTACGACAAGAAGATGATGTTGACGACGATGATGACGACAAATGACAGAGACACAGGGTGGCAAGTCGAACCTGGATCAATAACGAATATCAAGATCATCCGTCCGAAGCAACAGAAACAACAACAACATCAACTCCGATAGTCATTGGTATTCGTTGTACATACAGCGCCCAGCCAACCTCCAACATCCCAGCTCCAAGCTCTTAAGGACAAACTTGCGACCACAAACAAATACAATACAAGCCAACAAAGAGAGCAGAGCATAGAAGAGGTGCATATTATCAATCACCTCTGAATGTACCAACTATATATCATCGTGCGTCAAATCGTTCTTTTTATTTAATACCAAACATGTATTACGAACATCTGTTCCAATAGCCTTGCTGGCAGTCGAGTGTGACCTCCATGATGTATTGGAGACCGAGTGTCTGGCACTTGGGATCGTTCCAAGCGCTATAGATGATAGTGCCGTTGGTCAAACACTCGATGGTCGTGGGCTCCATTTCATTCTCAGGATTCTCAAAGCAGGTGTCTGTGGGGAAGTAGCTGACTACGTTGGGCTGGCAGTCGCTATCCATCTGCGATCCAAAACTGAAAGAGTTGGCGGGTAGTGTAGGACTGTCTGTCACGACATATGTACCTGAAGTGAACTCGCCATATGATGATGTGTAGTCAGAGTTGATAGGGATGTTGGTCGTGTCCATCAAGTTCTGGCAGGCGTCATCATCGTAGAGCATCCAGACGATGTTGTTGTTGTCCGAATCGATTGTGTATAGGGTGGAACTGATGCCCACTGGTACTTGGTAGAGGTATACAACTGTGTTGTAGCACTGTCCAACCTTGAAGTAGATACCAATATCATTGGTGTTCTGAATCAGGACATACTGTGCCAACGAGGCATTGCTGAAGCATGCAATCACGATTACCAAAATGACCAACAGTGACTTCATCTCTCTTTATAAACTTATCTCTATCTTTGATTAATCAATGATTATTGATACTTCGTCTTTGCGGCTTCCAAAAGACCTTTGCCTTTTTTGTGATCAAAAAATATCTGACCCTCCAAGTCAATGATTGGCATTGACCGATCAATCAATCAATATTTATTTCTACAGGTACCAATCCATCCATCTCACAAGCCTAATACTCTACCTCAATCAACCAATTGGATGATATTGGTATGTACAGCTTGTCAATGGTTAGCTTGAGCATTGTCCTGTCATACTCGAATGGTAGGTTGTGGCCCTCGCGAGTCACACTGGAAGGTCGCTTGTCAACACCCATAACAACGATACGCTCAACGGTGCTGGCGGGCTTGTATACTGCACTGTTGTCCATTGAGGATGATTGTATCTTGCCATGATTGTAAACGAATGATCGATAGAGGTATTGTCCCTTCTGGTAGTCGAACGAATGTCCGTCATCAATGTACAATTCGCCACGTGCTTGTTGTGTGGCCGATAGGGCCACGACCAGGGTATAGGGGTCATCGACCATGTGCTTGGTTGATGGACGCACTCTCTCCTTCTTTGGCACGATCGTGCCACCACGCTGATAGACGGGTATCTTATCGAGAGGTGTGGCCACCTCCATGTGGCAGGCAAAGTATCTCTTGAGTGTGTCGATGTCGTACCATGTTTGTGTGTCACCACCTGGTAGCATTACTCTTGTTGTCTTTGCCCCCTGTTCAACAACTGGGACCACCAACAATGAATTGCCGACCATGAACTCGTTGTCGACAGCGAACAAAGATGGGTCCGATGGGAACTCCACCCAGAGTGGACGCATGGTGGGTGCGCCAGTCAATGTGTTCTGGTAGAAGAGTGTGTACCAAAGTGGGAGATAGGTGTAGCGGCGTAGGATGGCGGCCTTGATGATGCCGAGGTAGGGATCTCCGAACAACCATGGCTCGCGGCGCTTGGTGTCATGATGAGAGTGTCCACGGAAGAATGGCTGGAATGATCCCGCCTGGTACCATCGTGCCAATAACTCGCCATCTGGGTTACCAAAGAAACCACCAACGTCTGCACCACTGAATGTAATGCCCGTCAGGCCTAGTGAGAGGAGCATGGGCTGGGCCGCCTTGAGATGCGACCACTTGGCAGCATTGTCACCTGTCCAGATGGGTCCGAATCGCTGGGTGCCTGCAAAGAATGATCGTGACAACACAAAGGGACGGTCATTCTTGTCGGTGTTACGATCGACCAAACCCTTTGCTGTCGCCATGTGCTGGTAGAAGCCGTAGAGATTGTGGACTTCACGATGCTCTGCGTTGCCATAGTGTAGGGCATCCTTGTTCATTGATACCTCGGGTCCGTTGAAGACTGACGGCTCATTCATGTCGTTCCATGTGTATAGGATTGGAGTGGAGCCCTGGTACTTGTTGTAGGCAAACTGTGAAGCCCACCAGTCGCGCGCCTGTGGGTTGGTAAAGTCAATGTAGCTGCTGTCACCTGGCCAGCAATAACCAACGTACTCCTCACCCTTATTGTTGTTGACAAAGTACTTGTTGCTCTTCGCCTCATTGTAGATGTAGTAGGAAGGTTCACGCATGATGTGCGGGTCGACGATAGACACCATCTTCCTGCCCTTGGCTTCGATCTTTGCCAGCATGTCCTTGGGTGAGCCAAAGTTGGCCTTGTCCCAAGTGAAATATCTCTTTTCATTAGTGTGCTCAATGTCCAGCCACATCACGTCATAAGGTATACTATTGTCATCGAATCCAGAGTCAACCTCCTCGACATCTTGTTGACTCTATGAGCGCGTATAAATGAATGATTGACTGTAAGTCAATGGACGTCGATGGAGCACGCGAGCATACATACAACATAGTTCCAACGGCATTGGTGGTAACCAAGTGAGAATAATTGTGGAAGTGCAGTTGTACCTGTCAGTGCGGCGTACTGCGAGAAGACCTTGAGTGGAGTTGGACCCGTGAGGAAGAAGACGTCCATGACACCAGTCTCACTGATCCAATGTGTGTACTTTGAGTTGATGCCATCAGACACATCGATAAAGGTCTCGGCAGAGTTGAGCCAAAACACTCCAACAGTCTTGTTGGCATCGTGTGAGAGCATCAGTGGCACGGCACCGTACAACGCTGTGGTCTTGTCGAGCTCATACTCAAACACGTCCAGGTTGTACAATCTGTATGGGTTGTCGTTGATCTTGTTACCACGAGTTGAGCGCAGTGCAAGCGATGTGGTGTGTTCGGGGATGCCATAGACGTGCGATGTGCCAATGAAGCTGATGTCCATGGCGACGGACATTGGACCGCGAGGCCTGCTGTCAGGATGGTCTCTAAACATCTCGGGCCATTTGGTGTCGGGCGCAGGATGTGTCAGCGTGCGTTCAAACTTGAAGAAGCTGCGCTCGTTGGCAGAGATGGCCAGGATGTCGTCGACAAAGACATCGAGCTTGAACGGTCGGTATTGGATACGTGCGTAAGAGTGTCGACCAAACTCAAACGTGGCGTCGTTGTCACTGCTCATATGCAGTGTCTTGATGGGTGCGTACTCGATGTTGGGGAGCAGCACATCATTGACTTGATAGCGCTTGTTCTTGGTGACGGACACCTTCTCTGTGATGGTCATACGGATGGTGTCATCTTCAAGTGCGCGTATCTCCAGTGATAGTGGGTGTTCCCTGTCGGAGTGGCCCTCCTTGTCGGCAAGGCCCTCTTCGATCAAGTCAGCTTGCAGACGACCCTCTGTATCAATATGTAAAGATGATGGTACTATCTTATAATGTATACGTGAAGGGTCGTCTTCTATATTACGATTGACTCTACAGAATGATTGATCATTACATTGTTTGAACTTGTTCAGATCGACTGCTTCTGTTGGTGTTACTATAATATCATTGGTCAATAACACCATTGTTATATATAAAAATAACAACAAAGTAGTTGTTCTAGTTCTTGTACTGTTATACATATACATAATAATGAATGTTGTTGTTCAATATCTTGTTGTATCCGTGTTGGTCTTAGCAACGTTGTTGTGGTGGGCTCTAACTTTTGTCAACTTTGACACCCAGCTTTGACGAGACTTGTGAAAAACAAACATACCCTCACACATACCCTCGCACAAATACCCTCACTCATTCACTCATTCATTCATTCATTACATTGTCAAGTTGTTATTAAATGATTATCTGTATAACTACAACTAATGAATGATAACAACAATAACAGATAGATAATTAAGTTCTCAATAGTTTGGGAGATGTTGTTCAACTTGAACAACACCAAAATGCATGGTATGAAGAGGAAGAAGACGATGATCGCGATCAATAATGTTTGCTGATGCTTATGGATGGATATCAATATCATATCACGATTAATTACATAATTCTCTATCTTTACTAACTTTGTATCCTTCACTGAATTGTATTATATCCCGTGAAAAGGTGCCATCACCAGGTCTTAATAATATAACTTTGCATAGCCAGATGGGTCCACCCAAACAAAGAGAGGTACTTCACTTATTCAATTCCGATCAACACGCACAATTGTGTTATTTTCTTCGGACTTTGATCACGTGTTACTCAAGATTGATGATGGAATTTCCTTCAAAAAACACTCATTGAGGCGAAAGTTTGATCCAAAAAAAACAAAACACAAGATTCCAGTGGATTTTTTTTAAAGATCTTTTGAATGATGGCTCAGCTTGTTTGTGATGGCCTTCTGTGTTTCACCCACACCCCAGACTCGCGCACTCAAATCCGTGAGGTGACGAACCGCTTTGGCTCTCGGACAGTTTGGGGGCCGGTATGGGCCACCCTTTGCCCCCAGATCAGATCCTTCACACTTTGGTCTACAAAAAATCAATTGGATCATTTACACAATAGAGAGGCTCACTGGGGGCCGTCTTCTTCTAGATGGTGGTGTTGGTGGGCCACATCACACCTGCCTCTCTTTGTGTTAGTGAGAGTGCCCGCGATTACGGATACTTACGGCGATACTTCTGATCAAACAATCCCACCTCCCGCTCCTCTTCCCACCTTCAAACCTATCACTTGTCGACAACCCACCTATCACTCAATCAAACAAATAACTCTACATGTGTAGAAGTAGGTCTCAACTCAATTAAACTTAATAACTTCAGCTCGTCAGGTCAGCCAGGAATCACACCCACCCAATCAATCAATTAGCAATCCTTCTTCCAAAGTTAGACTAAGACTTACAATAACAACAACAACATCATACAAATATCAGGATAAGGAACAGATTAGATTGATCATCCAATCTTACGACTCCTCACTTTGGAGTGCCAATTAAACAATCAGTTCAATCAATCAAACATCCAAATCACTTTATTATTTATTTATTATTATTATCATTCACATATCATCAATATAATCAATCATGATGGAGATACAAGAAGCAATGAGATTTGGCAGTACCAACAATGTCACATCACAAAGCAATTGGAAGCAGAGTTGGAGAAAAGTATGTTAGTTAGCCACGTGTGGCCGCATAAAAATTTATGCAGCCACAAAACGGTAACACGCGGAAACACAGAAACACGGAAACTAACACTTGCCATCACAGATACAACAATGTAGCTCAGATGTACAGTCTTCAGCAGGACTTATATTGAGTGAGGGATCAATGTTAGGACATCAACATGATATGCTCGATATATTCGAGAAGTCCATTACTATGTTATTGTTGGTAGAGAATGCTACACGTCAACTCAATTCAAACAAGTCATTGTTTAGTCAAGTTATAGAGTCACTGTCCAATAACAGCAACAACAGCAAGAAGCAATCAGAGCTGGTAACAGTGTTGGGCCAGACCAACAAGTCGTCCTTGGTCGCATTGCTGTCCAAGATGTCCGAGTTGTCGACAGTCGTTGACATCACACAACTATTCAATCCATCCCAACCACAGCAGACACAGCCACAGCAACAGACACAGTTGACGACGACTTCCACCCCCACCTCCACCTCCAACTCCACATCCAACTCGCCAATACTCCCACCGAGGAGCAACAGCACACATAGATTCGTACAGCCATCAGCGTTGATACCAACTGCCATGCTCACATCATTGTTCAACTTGGCAAACAACTCATCGCCATTCGTAACATCGACATCATCGTCGTCATCGTCTTCCGAGTCTGCATCGTCGAGCTCACCCGCGTTGAACTCAATCCACACAGCTTCAAAGGCCGCATCGTCAATGACTGTGCCAGTGTCCGCATTGATGGATGCTCAAGCCCACAACAACTTCCACCACCTTCAATCTCCAATATCCTCGCCAAACCAGTTGCCATCGTCTGCCACTGGAGGTGCCTCTCCACCATCCATTTCGCTCACTGCCGACGCATCAGTTGTCGACGAGAGTGAGGACATCGCTAGCAACGAGAGTCCACTCTCATCCTCCACCGACGTCGTCCCAACATCACCAACCACCTTAGCCAGGAACACCACCCTCATCATCAACAACAACAACACCATCACAAACAACAACAATGTTAATGCCAATGGCAAGAGAAAGAGAAGACCTAGAGCACCAGCTCCATTCCTCGACTCGCTGTTCTGCCATTCGTGTGGCGAGACCCAGACATCACAATGGAGACGTGGCCCAGACGGTTGCAAGTCGCTCTGCAACGCATGCGGTATCCGCTTTGCCAACATTGTCAACAAGGAGAAGGCACTCGCCGAGAAGGAGGGTAACAAGACCGCCGTCTCCATCAACATGTTGTTGAATGACTCTGCCGCCGCCGCCGCAGCCGCCAACGGCAACGGTGCCGATGTGCCACAGACACAGAGCAAACAATCCATGGTCGACGCGGTGCCATCCGCCGCCACCATCCAGATGCAGCTGCAACAGCTGCAGGCCATGGCGCAGCCCAAGGTGCCTGTGCCCTTTTACAACAGCTCCAAGATGTCATACACCGCCCCACCACCACCCCGCAGCAAGTCTGGCGTTGTTGCCAGCATCGCCAACCTGACCAGTGCCAGCGCCGACCTGTCGTCGGCCGCCTCAGCCAAGAGGAAGTTGTCTCCATCGGCAACCACCCTTCCAATCATATCGTCGACCTCCTCGACATCGACCACCCCTAGCAACAAGTCACCAAAGACCTCGCACCCATTCGATGATATCACCAACAGCAAGATACCATTCCATAATCTCGCTGCCGCGGCGGCTAGCCAATGGAGGCGGCAGCCAGTTCCACCACCAGTCCAAGTTCACATCGTTCCCCCTGGACGCACTGTCGGCCATCGCCACCAACGAGGCCATGCTGATATCCAACGACAGCAGCAATGGACATCACCACCACCGTGGTCATGTCGAGACCACGTCGCTGGTCAACTAAGTGATTGGCTGTGTGAGGGGACCATTCCCCTCCCTACCATCACAACCCTTTTGCTTCACCTTCTGCCTGTCTTTGGCAGATGGAGCGATGCACTCCTAGGTGTGTTTAAGACCTTGCCTTGCCTCCACTTTTTTCCATCTCTCATTCTCCCTTCTCTCTTCGTCTCTTTCCATTATCCATTAACCATTATCCATTATCCATAATCCATCAATATCCATTATCCCCCATGCTTTGCCACATGGGACCATACAACATCCATGTATAATTTCAAACACTTGTTTGTTAACCCATTACAATGTGTGCAAGTAGGCGCGTCCTTGGTACCAGGCCAACGTCGTGGAGTCCACAGTTCTTTGCCAAGCGCGCTGATCGTCTTGGACCCACACAACATGAACATGTCACCATCACGCCCGCGCACTTTTCTTCTCGACTACCATCACACCAACTTCCCGATGTAGCTAATAACGAATAACTTTAATTAAAGTATTACCTTGAACGATAAGATATTTCCTTTGATCATGATGTTGCAGTTGCAGTTGTTTTTGAAGTTGTTGCAGTTGTTGCAGTTGTTGCAGTTGTTGCAGAATACTCATTTAATTGAGTGGGATGGTTGAGAGATTAAATCGCAAGCCATTGACTGCTCCAACACAATGAATGATCATGTTTGAGCCATGTACGGCATCGTTCACCAGATTGAGAGGTATCCCGATGTAGGATACATTAGGGTAGTTCTCTTGAACTCCCTTGTATACGATATGACCAACAGGTGTGAGGTTCTCGAAGTAAACTTGTTGAAATAGGAGAGGTTGGAGTTGTTGTTCCTTGATTTGGAGCACACTCTGAATATCGGCAATGTCACGTTGTTGTAAGCCGACCGGATTGGCCAATCGTTGTTGACGTTCTTTTATGAAACCTTGGATCTCTTGGAGTTGATCGTTTGTATGCTCTTGCTGAGCTTCCACCTGAGCCTGGAGGTTGGGAAGGTCGTTGCGGCAATAAAGGTAGACGTGATTGCCTCGTCTATCAAACAGGACACCAGACTGGCATTGTATATTGAGAGTAGACATCCAGCGACACATCTTTCTGTGTTGGTAGTCCAGGCGGTTGTTCTCTCCGGGACCATAGGAGCGAACCTCAACAAGAAAGTCTGGAACTGATGTGTTGGCTTGGGTGTTCTTGGTTGCTTCTGGCAATATTGCCCATCTGGCGTTGGTCATGAAGGATGCATCTGGTTGTCTAAATGAATGGAATTGATTAGATTTATATACTCATCCAATCACACTTGCAGGTCAACCTACCTCTTCATTGTGACACCATTGACGACAAATCGATACGCGCTCTGACTATCAAAGACGTTGCCTATGATATGTTGAACTGGAGGTCCCAGGACATCCTCATTCGTGTTCTCGGTTAAATTCCAGTTGCCAAGTTGCCTGGCAAACTCAAAATTCTGCTTGCTAGGTCGTCCAGCCATTTCCTTGAGCCAGAGTATGCTTCTGCCTTCTGTTTCGATGGTAAGGTCGTCGTTGAGCTCTTCAATTTCTGAAAGAGGATTCAGAGTGAACAAGGGGATGAGAGGTGCGATGTCGATTGGTGTTGCCACGGGGACTTTGATCTTCTGAACCAGAGGATCAAAGGGTCCGAATTGTACTCCTTCGTTAAGTTTGACTAGTTTAGCGTATAATGAACTGTCAAGCTCCCAAGGCAACCGAATGTAATAATATTCAGGTTGTTCTATTACTTCTAAGTGATGATGAATATCCATGTTGTATGTGTTTAAGGTATAAGAAGAGTGATAGAGTGAGAGAAATATTAGTTCAATTGAATAATTGATTGATTGAAGATTGATTGACAACTCTTCACACTTTTATTCTTAAGCACACCCCCCAAGAGATAACACTCTGTCAACCATTTATGAGCTATGCACTTTGTTTTTGTGTTTGTTTATTCACTATTGACAGAACATTAACATTAGTGTTTTGGAGGAGTGTCCACTCTTGTTTCCAAGTGTTATAGCATCGTTATTGTCAAGGGCATCATGTATCTTCACCAGGATGAACTATTTACTTACATATTCAAAGTCCTGGGTTTGAATGGTTGTGCCAGTCGCTGATGGATCCTCAATCCCACCACGACCTCGATCCCCAATCAAGCCAGTTCCAATCGTCTGCTGGAGCGGCTTCCCATTTCCCAATTCTCCTTCTTCCTCTTTTGGCAGATGGAACGATGCTCAAGGTGTGTTTAAGACCAATCTCTTCCAAATCTCTGGATATTGTTTAACTGAAGTTGGCTTCCTCTAGACAAACTGTTCAGAATCATTCCAATACTTTCATTAAACAATGGACTGAGTTTGATCAATGGCAGAGGACATCAATTTACAATATCCATCACTTTGTTTAATTAGACAAATCCATAAGAGCAATATACCTACGATTCCTGTACTGTCTTGTGTGTAGAAACACTGCAATCACTGAGAGGACATAAATGAAGAGGAGGAGTGATCATTCATGCCAATGTTCAAGTTGCCAAGTGTAGATGATGACCTCTTTGTACCAGAGCTCTCAAATGAGTTCGGCTGGGAAGATGAGGAAGAGGGGTTCTTGGCAGAGGCAGCCGCTGCTGCCTTCATACGGTTGAACACCTCTTTGAACTTGTCTCTGTTCTTTTTGCAGTCGATGGATTGTGCCTCCAACTTTGAGAGCAAGGCCTTGAGCTCCTCAATGCCCAAATGGAACATCTCCTCGTACTTCTTGTCGGACAACTTGGAGAAGTGATCGATGACCGTCGATCCAAGTCTTTGGAACAATGGGTCCAAGAAGAATGCATTCAACTTGTTGCGAACATACTTGGCAAAGAAGAACCTGATGCCCGAGAACAATCGTCCAGCAATCATGCACACCTTCTTATAAGTGTCATCGTCAATCCTTCTTGACCTTGAGCTACTGGAGTGAGATGGGATGTTAGTATCCTTGTAGCGCAACATCCTGAGTGGTTGTTACTTACATGTCCAATCCATCCATTGGAGCACCTTCCATGATGGAAACAACTCTTTGCTTGGTATCTTCTGGCGTCACCTTGAGGTAGTTGTACTGCTTGATCTCGGACAGGCCGCCAAGCAGGTTCCAGTCGACGATCTTGGTGAAGGTGTCAAAGTCGTCCTTTAAGCGCACCTTGCAGTCGGCTTCAATCTCTTCGATGAACTTGTAGTACTGTATCCTCAACTCTGATACGAAGTGCTCGTACAACGACACTGAGTTGAGTCCATTCGAGTCCTCGTTATTCAGGATCGACACACTGATATCAAACAGCCTCTTCATGATGTAGGTGCAGCGTTGCAACACAATCTCAATCAGTGGCAGCAACACCTTCTTGGACTTGATCTGGAACAGGTTAGTGGCGGCAACCTCGTAGATGGGTGAGTTGTGCGACTTGGACACACCGATGGCCGACGCCACCTCGTTGATCGATGTCTCGGGGAACTCTCTCGAGTGAATGACATACTCCAACTCGTTCAGCAGTCGCTCATACTGTGCGCCACCGTAGAGGTTGTAGTTGGCGTTCTGTACGTCAAAGTTGAAGTTGAAGCTGGGCCACTGCTCGACGTTGCACTGCTCCACTTCTTGACTGAGCGTCTGGCCAAACTCATCCGGGTCGCCCACAACGCTGCCTTCAAGCAGTCGTTCAATCTGTGTGTTGAAACTCTGAACATACTGCAGCACCTTGAACTTGAGCGTGTGAATGTTGTTCTCCTCCAGCTCCTTCTTGATCCTGATGATCTCCTGGTCGGTCTTGCGCACGATGCCCTCCAGCTGCAGCAGGGATGGCAACAGGTTCTGCTGATACTTCTCGTGCAGCAAGCCCTCGATGTAGTCCTTGACCTTGTAGATGCCAATCTGGCCACCAAACCTGTTCTCGTCAAAGTTGACCTCGAGAAGCTTGCGGTAGTCCTCCAAGTATGAATCCTTCATCGCCTCCTTGAAGCGATGTGGCTCGAGATTGCGCTTGAGTGGCAGACTGATAAAGAATGGCTTCTTGCTGGCGACGATGCCTTCGCCCTCCAAGTACTTGTGTGCGCTTTCACGCGAGCGCAACTCCTTGACACGGTTGTCAAACTTGGTGTTGACGAGTATCGTGCGGCCAAACTCTTGGTCGATCTTCTTGACCAGGGGACGCGAGATGGTGTTGGCCCACTCGACATTGGACTGCTCGAGACACACGATGATCCTGTGCTTGGGCTCGATCAACTTCTTGACCATGTCGCCAATCTCTGTCTTGAGCTTCTCGTCGCCGCCCTTCCTGAAGCCTGGCGTGTCGTAGATGTTCAGGTTGGCGCAGTGGGCAAACTCCACGCGCAGAAATATAGGCTGTGCCGACACCTTGTCTCCACGAGTACCAGTCAAGTTGTTTGTCCTCTTGATGATCTCCTCTGTCAACTCCTCCACTGGTGTCTCATGCTCCTCCCACTTATTCTCCAATGCACTTGCCTCACCAGAGAACTCCTTCTTGAATCTACAACTTGGTTGATGTTTTATCGGATTGTTTATCATTTGAATGATCAATGGTCTTCTTGTTCCAATGTCTGTTTGATGTAACATGGTTAGTAAGTATTGATTGATTGGACATGATGCTACACATACTGGTTTCGACAATGTTGAACTGGAAGCCCAAGAGTGACTCAATGAAGCTTGACTTGCCATCAGATTGCATTCCAACGACCACCAACTCTGGTGTCTCGAATGATATGTTGTAACTGTTTGATTGAGTATTAGTCCAATGTCCAACGTCCACTCACTCGCCCAATCACAATCAATTGTACTTACTCATGTGATATCATCTGAAGATCATTGAACAATGAGTATAGCTCTTGATTGGTGTTGTGAGATCTCTTCTCATCATCGTCCAACTTCTTCTTCTCAGCGTCTACTTTGTGACGAAGTTGTTTGGTCCATTGTTCCTCATTCTCTCGCTTCCTCTTCTTCTCTTCACGTTTTCTCTTCTCCTCCTCATGCATCTGCAGTGCTGAAGCCATTGCCAATGCCATCTGTGCCTTGTTAAGCTGTGGATGTTGTGATGGTGACATATTTGCAACTGATGGGCCGGCCGCTGCACCCGGTGTCATTGGTAAACTAAGAAGTGTCGATGGTGTCACACCAGATGATCCTCCTCCATTATGTTGTTGTGTTATTGTTGATGCCAAGTCCATATTATGTGATAATCCTGTTGTTGACAAGTTGTCAAAGTCGAATGAAGGTGGCGCTGCTGGAGAATTAATACTCTCCATTATTACTTATATTATATGTATATGTCGATGTAACTTCTTGAAATTAGCTTACTTTGGATTCAAGCTGGAATCAAAGTCGTTCAAGTTGTCATTTTCCAGGAAAACAAAGTTTAGTTTGATTGAGATGCGAGGGCAAGGGTTTGGAAGTTTTTGAGGGTTCAGGGTAGGGTAAGGGTTGAGGGTTCCTTGGACTTCAAGAAATGCATCTCAAATGATATCTTCATTCATTCATTATGTTCTAGACATATAATATAATATAATAATGATTGATTCAATACCTATTATTGTATTGAGAAATATAGCATGTTATCTTGATAGGATTGTAGATAGGTTGTTCTTATCATTGGTCTGTAAAAGATTGTTTGAACAAAGGAATAAGTATATTAGTTTCTTTGATACCAATACAGAGTTGGGTACAGATTGTGTACATTCATTAAACTCATATAAAGAGATAGTCAACTATGAATACATTGTAAATAAGAAATCAATTGTTGTCGATCTTGGATCATTCATCAATGCATCCAATCAAGCATTCGAATTAGGTATGTTGTCGTGTTGTACAATGATGTCATCATGAATGGGATGAAGTCACTGACATCATACACATGAAGAGTCATTCAAGGATGCACTTAACATGCCCAACCTCAAGTATGTTACATTTTACTACAGAGGGGAACCATCGACACATCCATTCTCAGAGTCACATCCTCAGTGGAGCGAAACGAGAATGGTGTTGGATGAGTTGGCCCAGAGACCAGTTGAGTTGGGCATCTACTTTGGCGCAGAGGCCACGACCTTGCCCGTGTTACAACAAGCCAATCTGAAACTATTGTCCATCATTGGCAGTCAGCGCCAACAACTACAACGTTGTCACTTGCCTACAACGCTCCAGCATCTAATGTTGGGATCAAAGTTTGAGGGCACTCTGAACGGTTTGTTGCCCGACGGCTTGACGAACCTGGATCTCTCATTCAGCAGTGAATGGAACCAACTGATCACGCCTGATTCATTGCCAAGCAAACTCGAGACACTCACTCTGTCGAGGTCGTTCAATCAAGAGATACATCCACGAACATTCCCGCCCGCGCTCAAGTCGATCATCTTTGGCAAAGACTTCAACCAGCCACTGAGTGGCCTGTTGCCTCCATCGCTCACCCACCTTGACTTGAGTATTTGGGGAGACTATCATCACGATCTGGCCAACCTTCCAATCAGTCTCACATCGATCCACCTACCGACGAGGTTCAGAGGCACGCTCAATCATCCTCCACTCCAATTCATGAGACTTCATGATCCTGTCCGAATGGGCCACCCATTACTGGTACTCAGAGAGTTGCACATTGAGAGCCTCGATCATGCGAGTGTCTTTGATGCATCACTCTTCCCAAACATCTCTCGTTTGAAGGTTTCCAGAGAAGCTCAGTGGTTGGACCTATCAACCCTGCCTTGGACCACCCTAAAACGATGCAAGCTTGTCTGTGAGGACAGTCTTGAAACAAACATCAGTGCCATCCCATTCGGTGTGGAGAGGCTGGTTCTAGGCAATTACAGCTTTGACCAGGCCACCACCGACACATTGCCATCATCAATCACACAACTAACTCTAGCAAGTTGTATTGGTGTCAAGCCTGGACACATCCCGCCATCAGTCACATCGTTGAAGCTCAAATGGACGTCCATGACCGAAGTGATACAGGCCATCCCTACAACAACATCTCTTCGACATCTTACATTGATCGATCACCAGTTCAGAGGATGGAGTCTCTTTGTCCAACGCTTACCAAAGTCAATCAGTACCCTATTCCTATCCAACGTTGATCAGAGTCTCGAACTAGTTCGACTGACTGATCAACTATACTTCCGAGTCAGTCAATCAATCAAAGAGATTGGATTCATGGACACTCTCGCCATCCAATCAATCTTCGCACTGCCTGCCGATTAAATATATTAATGAAGTTGTGAAACTTCAATCATTCAATCATTCACACCAAACATAGAGATAGAGATACAGATACAGATAGAGATGAATACATTACCTTTGAGAATCATTGGTGAGATAGTATCTCATCTTGATGCACTTGTTGATAGGTTGTTCGTGTCATTGTTATGTAAGAGATTGTTTGAACATCGACTCAAGTATCTTAGCTTCCTTGACACGAAAGATACATACATACCTCCCTTGGGTAGACTTCATCTTCACTCCTACATCGATATCATTAACAATGAATACATAACAAACAGTCGACAAGCCAGTATCGACCTTCGATCATATATCAACCGTGATGATCAATCATTCTCTTTGAGTAAGTATCAACATGATTGATTGAGTTAACTCAACTCAATGAATGAATGTATGACTAACTCGAACAAACAATCAATAGATGCATTCAAGGTAGTATTGAATATGTCTAATCTAAGGTCTGTATCATTTAGGTTCAAGGGTGCGGCGAATGAACATCCATTCTCTGAGTCACATCCGATGTTTGTTGATATATGTAGCGTGTTGAGAGAGGTGGCAAAGAGATCAGTGCGAATGACTTTGATTCTTGAGGATTATCCTGTGTCGGGATTACATCATATACCCGTGACACATATGTATATGATGACTGATCGCCTCACACCTAGTGATGAGTCACTGCGTCAACATCAATATCTCCCAACAACCCTCAAGTCATTGAAGATGCCCTCCAACTTCAAAGGTACACTGGACAACATTGTGATGCCAGATGGCTTGTTGACGTTGGAGCTCCCCAACTCGGGTTGGAACCATCCCATCCTTCCCAACACCCTGCCCAGTCATCTCGAGGAGCTTGTCTTGCCCAGGCACTTTGACCAGGTGATCCAGGCGCAAACATTCCCCGCCACTCTCAAGCGACTCAAGATTGGGCAATGCTTCACACATTCCCTCATTGGTGTGTTGCCACCGTCACTCACCTGTCTAGATATGAGCGCCATTGACATTAACTATCATCACGATCTGGTCTATCTCCCGACCAGACTAACGACAATCCATCTGCCCATGCACTTCAAGCGTACACTCGACCACCCTCCCCTGCAGTACATATACGCATGTAACTACTACCTCTCTCCCTCGCGACCATTCCCCAACCTCAAGAAGCTCAAGACCAGGTATATGAAGTCGACGCACAACTTTGACACAGTTCACTTTCCCAAACTGACAGGATTGACGATCGTCGACGGTGATGACCCACTGAACCTGTCGACCGTCCCTTGGTCCACGATGAAGCATTGCAATCTGTTCTGTGACTATGGCATCGGAAGGAATCCGCTGAGGACCATCAAGGATGCCATCCCATTTGGGGTCAAGAAGTTATCGTTGGCCAACTGCAACTTTAGTATCGCCCCACCAGGCTGCCTACCCGCATCAATCACTCGCTTGGCACTATGGCGCATGATTGGTCTAAAGCCAGGCGATATACCATCTTCAGTCACTTGGTTGGAGATACAAGAGGAGTGCTTGGACATTTACGTCAGTATGGTTCCTGCATCCGTTCGCCACCTAGTATTGAGAGGGGTACGAGTTGCCGGCGATACTATTCAACGATTGCCAACCACTATTGTATCACTATCCATCCAGATACGCATTGGAACCTTTGATCTCATTCGAATGACTGATCAACTATACCTCCGACATGGATCATGCCTCAAAAACTATGGCTTCATGGACATCAATTCAGTGCGATCGCTTGTACAGCCTATAAACAATATTTAATTCATTCAACAATCATTTATCACTATCATTCTGTTTGGATAATTGATCAAGTTTGATACTGATGGCATTACAATCCATGAATCCACATTCAATTGTAAATACACAAACCAACATCCTGATCACTCTATCGTGCGTTCAAACTCTTTATATATAACTCATCACTCAACAATCAAGTTTGCAAAAATGATTGGCTGACTGCTTTATTTTGATTGACTGGGGATGATCAGTCAACCAATCAATCAATCATTTCTTCGATACTCGTTGATACAACTCAATGATGTTGATGTAACCATGTTCATAAGCTGGTTCGACAATAGCATCAAGGTGTTGTTGACTAGGTACAATGTAGAATGGTGTTGATTGAATATCCTCAAAGAGGTATTTGAGTATCCGATGATTGTTGTTCGTTGATGCATCATACATTGTGTTCAGAGTTGGAAGATATCTCTTGAGTTGGGCCAGTGATGTACATCTCTGATGGATCGACTTGACCACATCAACGTAATCATTCTCAAATGCCCATTCTAGAATATACTTCAAAGTGAGTGATGATCCATCCAACTTGAGGTAACCTTTGTCCAAGATGTAATCCATCATAATAGAGTTGGACATATGGTTTGGGATTAAATCGCTTGGTTTGAATGGTGGAGATCTGGTGGCGGCCAAGTCCAAGATGCATTGGAATGATTGAGTGTCACCTCTAACAACACAATCATCTATTATCATCTTGTAATGCTCTTGACCCAATTGTTGTTCAATATCATCATCAGAGATACAGTTCAATAGGTCGATCATAGGTTGTAGGTGTTCACTTGAAACACATGATATCGATAAAAGTATCTGAGTGATGCTTGATACATCAATCGATCCTTTGTGTCCATTATAAACGGCCTTGACCATATCAACAATGTCATTGCCAGTGAGTTTGTCATGTCTTGCCGCTTTGCATAAATGACAGACAAATACTCCATCGATCTTCTTGCTGCCCTTGACCATGTGTCCAATCTTGTCCAAGATGATCTTTGCAGTGTCTATATCTCTTTGGATCATCGCCTCATGAAATGCTCCGTGATAGTCTGTTGCCATGTGCATGTTCAACATAAACTCGATGACATCCTTCTTTCCTGCCTTGATCGCATGTCTAAGCACATCACCATAGTGAAATATGATTGATTTATGCTCCAACAATCTCTCAATCAGTTTGATTGAAACAATGCTAGAGTTGATACGACTCACTGCGCTTTTGTATCCATACATTGGTTCTGTCTCCAGGATGTAGTTGACCAACTCCAAGTGATTGTTAGCCTGGAGCGCAATTGATAGATGTGGAAATGCTGATTGATTGATTGATTTGGCCTGTGTAGTATTGAGCAACTTAACAAACAGGTCCAAGTTGCCATTCATTGCGACATTGTTCAACACCCAGAACATCTCCTTCCCCACATCATCTCGTGTCGGCATGGTAATGGATTCGAGGGGATAGTGTGAGAGTATCAACTCTCGCACATCTGCTGAGGATGATGATGGTTCAACTACATTCAATAATAATGTATATCCTGGATGTCTTCCCAGGTCCTCGCCCAACATGATGTCCAATCCAACATCCACCATGCAGTATCTTACTATATCAATGATGTTGAGTTTGATTGAATGCTTCAAAAGTGATCTCTGGATACTAGTTGTGACCAATGAGTTGGCACGTAGTACTTTGAACATGTCCACTGCCCATGGCTTGTCAAACCAGTTAGTGATAAGTGTATCCACACTGTCTTTGGATTTGATCAGATGATCAAATCGGTATCCAAGTGTCAATAACTTGTTGAGGAATGATGGATGTTTGATCTGGATCAACTGGTCCTGACTGATTGACGTGTGGGCGGGGGTCTGGAAAGTGATTGATATGTACTGCTCCAACGCTCTTTCCCATCCAGGTTGACTACATTCTGATTGCAGCTCAATGAATAGGCTCATAAACTCTTCATTGTTGGGGAGCAACATCTTGGGATCTTTGAGCAATGTATCCATGATTGATTGGTTGGGGTATAGCAGGGCCTTCTCAAGCAGTGTGGAGTTGTAACGATCTTCATGTGTGTAGAATGATTGATAGGCAGCGTGGAACCATTGACTTGCACCATATTCAATCAAGTTCTCAAGACTATTCTTTGAACAAAGGATTGATCCTTTCATCGTTGGCACACCAATAGTATCATATATGATGCCCACTTGTTCCATGATCATTCCACATATCTTGCCATCACTGAACACCTTGTGAATTGCAGTTTCCAAGCGTGGCGAGGCATTGACGACAATGCTCTCATCGATTTCCTCTGCAGGTGATTCCTCGCGATCCCTATGATTGATTGATTGAGTGAGTGAATGAGCGTCCTCTGTGATCACAATAAGTGAATAATACCTCTTCTTGTTTGATTGAATGAGTTTGATGAGTGATTGAGAGTGATTGACGATTCGAGAATGTCCTTTCATCAATGATGGCAACATGATTGAGTTGATTGTACGCAGTCTGTCTACCTTGGGAAGTGAGTTGAACTCGATGGATGCAAGATAATGCTCAAGTACGTGGTATGCATTGTATTCAGATGCATCAATCAAAGTACCGATTGTAGCCTTGTTTCGCTTCATAGTACAAAGCATGTTCAAAGCATAAAGGTTATCATTGCAATATGCCATGTGAATGATGTCCTGTATGTTGACTGGTGATTGTATATCCTCCAATGTGAATTGATTGATTACATATTGGACCACATCATTGTTGGGATTGGCCATTACAATGCCACATACACCAATGTCATTCTTGACTCTGGGCAGATTGTCCAGAATCAGTACTACAGTGTCCAAAGATGCCTTTCCAATCAGTTCATTCGCAAACTCCTTGATCTGATCATCTCGTGACCATACATCCAGTTCTTCTTTACCAACTCGATCAAATATAATTGACAAAGTATCAAAGATGTCCTTGGCTTTGGCATTGGTCTTGTCCGGGTCCATATCCATATTCAATGCCTCGGCGAAAGTCTCCATTACAAATGGTACTCTGAAAGTTGTAAGAATCTTGTTCATGATCAATGGTGAGATCCTTGTTGCCACTTTTAGTAGTTCCTCAAACACATCGCCGTTGACATCAGTGTCATGACAGTTTTGAATGAAGTTGAGTACCATGTCAACAGTGATCTGGCTTCCATCCATGGACATTGACTCAAACATGTGCATCAAATTGGTATGATTGAATAGTTGGAGATGTTTGTGAGAGGGATGAGTGATGAGCATTGCCATGCTCATTGACATCTGTTGCCAGATAATAGCACCAATCTCTACCACTTGTGGAAGTAGTGCCTCGGCCATCTCCAAGTCTTCTGTGATAATGGCTGCCTTGGGTGTGACAATCAGCTTGCCAAAACCAACATCGAAATGTCCACAGATAGATCGCTTTGATGATGATTTAACATAATCAAGCGAGTGGATATATTTGAGAATATCAACATGTCCATAATCGACCAAGGTCTCAATCAATTGATCAAGATGAGGATATAGATAACTAGTCCCAAGTAGTGATTGAAGTATATTGACGTTGCCATGCTTGGTGGTTGACAGAAGCTGAATGCATTCTTCCAATACATCCTCCCATTGATGTGAGACCAATGATCGAGGTTTATGTTTGATGATGTATTGTACACTATCCAACATATTGTGATATATTGAATGTTTGAGTGCTTCAATCCAAATCAGATCTTCAAGCACCGGGTCAAACAAGTGATCACTATCATCAAACTCCGCGTGCAACACCTTGAGCATCTCCAAGCTCACACCAGGTTTCGAGAGCTCTCCAATGAGCGAGCCATTCCTCGGTTGACTCTTGAAACAGTTATGTTTGATTAGCAATCGCACAAGTTCCACGTTACCAGTGTCGATGGCTGGATACAAGAGAGCGAGCTTCATTTTGAATGTGCAAGCAATGCTGTTGTTGTTATTAGAGTTGAAGTATGTGTTGAACAAGTCAATGTTGGCGGGCTTGATCATGTTGATCATATGTTCATCACATAGTAACTCCAGGAGTACAGGTCCATTGTTGTGTTCCATAATATATTTGCCAGTGACAGTGTTATTATGTTTGAATGACTTGTATACCAATCGAGTAATCAATGATGTAGGTAGAGGAGTGGTAATGTTGTGATTCGTTATCATTCTATTGAATGATTGTATGAACCATTGATTGGCATGATACTTTATCATCTTTGTAAGGTTGCCATCATTGTATAACCTTTGACCTTTGATCGTTTGTGTTGTTACACTTATAATCTTATGAATTTCTGTAACATGTTTGAAAATGCTATTTCTCAACAACTTGTTACCAAACACCAATCTTAGTGATTGATATACTATTGTACTACTACTATCCATATAATGTTATAATTATCTCTATCTTTATCTCTATCTTTAACTCTAGAAATATTTTTAAAATGAATAATTAAGGTCCTAAGATATTTTTAAAAGGTGCCCGTCCACTTGAACTTAAAAAATTTCTGATTCAGGAACTTCAATTAATATAATCAGATCAATAATGATACGACATAATACAAGAAGTACGAATCTTATCTATCAGATACACTGACACACTACCCCAACTAGATGTACAATCATCTTACAACAACATTGTGTGACCACACAGTCACACCAACCCAAACTTGAACACACTCAATCAATCAATTAATAACAAATGAATGATTGAACAAATGAACGAATACTCTTGATGATCATCACAAGATATTAGTTTATTCGCAATAATAATCAATCCTTTATCATTTAATTAATATTTTTATAGTTATTAATAATAATAATAATATAAAATGGATACTCTACCATTAATTATTATTACAAATATTGTTATAAATTTGGATAGGTTTATTGATAGAATATTCTTTTCATTAGTATGCAAAAGATTTTATAAACATAGATCTAAATATCTAAACTTTATTGGAGTTGTAGATAAGTTGGATAGTGATTTCAATAATCTACATTCATACAAAGATATTATCAACATTTCCAAACAATCATATTCATCAATTGATATCAATCTTGATGATCACTATGGTCAATCACCAAACAATGTTGAACTATTCTCATTAGGTAAATATATTATGATATTTCATTATTGATTCATTCAATCAATCAAACTAATATATTCAAACTCAATTTAGTCAAACTCAAACAAATTTTGAGAATGCCAACTCTGAAATCAGTTTGTTTCATTACCAATATGATGACGAATAATGAACCAAATACTCAGGTTATTGTACATCATCATCCGTTCTCAAGATCACATCCACATTGGAATGAGACCAGAGTGATATTGGATGATTTGGTGCTTCGACATGTTGAGGTTCAATTGATACTTGGTACTCAAATATTCCCAATGCATCATCTACCACTGTTCCAACTTGTTTATCAAGGAATGAATGATGATTTCAATTTCCAGAGAGACAACCTACCACATAAACTACAGGTACTGCTACTTCGTGTTAGACTTGAAGGCACATTGAACCAGAGTGCAAGGCCACTACCTCAGAGTCTTAAGGTATTGAGCTTCAAAGAGTCAACACAATGGAACAATCCAATAATGCCAGGTAGTCTCCCACATCATCTTATCAACATATATTTCAACAATTCATTCAATCAAGTCCTTGAGCCCAACACCTTCCCACCAACAGTCAAGACCATCTCGTTTGGTACCGGTTTCAATCAAACACTCAATGGTGTGCTCCCTATTTCACTTCTACACCTGCTCATAAACGTTAACAACATTGACTACAACCATGATCTGATCAATCTACCAGCTGGACTTCTCGAGCTAGCCCTACCCAAGTCCTTTGTCAACCGAGCCCTCAACTGTCCATCTTTGGAGCGCCTTGAGGTATACTCCTACATTCCCATCAGCCATCAATTCCCAAACCTCCAAGGACTTACAATCAATCGAGTTGATCAGAATTGTAACTTTGAGGTTGTGACCTCAACTCAATTTCCAAAGCTTGCAGAACTTTTAATCAAGGAGGGAGTGGAGATGGATCTGGATATCTCGCATCTACCTTGGACAACTCTCAAGAAGGTCAACATGTTCCAAAGTATCTTCTTTACATATCCAAAGATCCTGCCTTTCAAGTTCCCTTTGGGCCTGGAGAAGTTAGCAGTAGGAGGATACGACTTTGTTGCAGCACCACTTGGAAGTCTACCATCATCGATCAACAGTCTCAAACTATGGGATGTCAAGAATATCAGGCTCGGTGATATACCATCCTCAGTTACCAAGTTGGTGATTGAGAAATATGATCAGTCATTCGATGTCAAGATGTTGCCTATATCACTCTCCAAGTTTGTCATATCAACATTGCCCAATCAGATAGATATTGTTAGGCAACTACCAGATACTATTAGGAAGTTTGAGATACTTACCCATTTCAAGTTGATCAGAGTATCTAATCAATTGTACTTCCGACAGCCACATGATGATGAAGATCAACTCGGACAAACTCCATATGGATTCCAGACCAAGTCGACCTTAGACTCTATTATCCAATCGATTGAACCTCCACCCATTCGAACCGATATATCAACACTGCTATCCTAGATCACAATTCATTCCATCAAAGAATCAATCAAATCCATAAACACAAGAATCTCAACAATCGAAAAAGGGATTTTAGATTCAAAGTCCATCTTCATTCATTCACTAACTCATTCACTTATTAACTCATTCAATCACATAATGGAGTCACTACCTTTAGTAATACTTAACAAGATTATATTAAGTATTGAACAGTTTGAATCAAGGTTGTTTGTATCTTTGTTGTGTAGGAGATTGTATGAACATAGACACAAGTATCTAAACTTCATTGGATCATACAATACAACTTATAATCAGAGAGATATATCAGTTGAGCATCACCTTCACTCTTACAACGATATCATCAACAATGAATACCTTACAAACATAACAATGCTCCTAAGATCATTCATACACAAGACAGAGAACATTTTTGAAATGGGTAAGTCTTTCACTTGATTCATTGATTGAATGAATGAGTGAATGACTAACAGTCTGACTGCCTCATAGACAGGTTCAAACAGACATTCTTGGGCATGACCAACTTGAAGCAACTCACTTTACAGTATATTGGAGGCAATGTACCTGTTTGTGAGACAAATCCTCAATGGCCAGAGTTTAACCAAGTGCTGACTGTGTTGGCAGATAGGTCCGTACACAGGTGTTTGTACATTCTATTCGGTTCTTTTCCAATCATACAACATAGCAACTGGTCCAGTGTATACTATGGTCATTTTATGGATGATTATACACTACAACAACATCATATACCTGACAGCCTAGACAAACTATTGTTACCAACATATCGTGGTACAGTGGACAACATATTGCCCGATCACTTGAAGACCTTGGAACTATCAGGATCAACATGGAACCATACCATCTATCCGGGTACCCTACCAGGCAAGCTGGAGACACTAAGCTTGCCATCTCTATTCAATCAAGAGATCATAGAGCGATTACTCCCCGCAACAATCAAATCGTTAACATTTGGATCTTCGTTCGGAGGATCTCTGAATTGTGTACTACCTCCATCTCTCACCTTCCTTGACCTAAAGGATGTCTCAAGCTATCCACATAGCTTGGTTAACCTCCCTTCCAGTCTCACAACCATTCACACGCCCATTGATTACCAACAAACAATCCAACATCCTCCTTTGAAGCAACTCCACATTCAACAATTCTGGCAATCATTGTCAAGCTATCCATTCCCCAACCTCAAGGTGTTGTCAATCAAACAAATAATCTATGCAGGCAATGAAGGGTTGTTTACAGATCCATCACTTCAGACATCAATGTTGGGGACGATTATAAAGTCTATACAATGGTCCACACTGAAGAAGTGCACTCTACATAATGATAATTATGGATTCAAGCCGCAGCTGACTCAGCCCATACCATTTGGTGTTAAGGAGTTGTTCATTGGCAATTGTAGCTTTGTATCGGCCACACCTGGATGTCTGCCTTCATCAATCACTAGACTCACACTGTTGGATGCAAAGGGACTCAAGCAAGGCGACATTCCTACATCTGTAAAATGGTTGGAGATGAGATATGCTTCAACACTAGCCAATGATCTACAAGTGTTGCCAAGCTCTATTCGTAATCTACAATTGAGAAACACAAAGATACAACCAGACGTACACATCACGATGTTCCCAAAGTCAATCATATCAATGAAGATTGTACTTAGCAGAGTAACACTCAAACTAATTCGATTGAATGATGATCTATACTTTAGAAATGGGCCATCAATCAATGAGTATGGCTTCATCTCCAGCTCTTCAGCTCAATCAATCTTAATCGCAGCACAATAAGGTTGATGGATTTTGACATTACATCCAGTTAAAGTAATAAATTAATCATATTTGATTGGTATTTATCTGTGTTGCCCAATAGCATCGCAAACTTCTTCAATGGTGAGATCATAATCATCATCATAATCATCATCATCTTCATCGTCATCATAATCTTCGTCATCATCTTCATCATCGTCTTCGTCATCGTCGGAGTATTCGTCATCTTCATCTTCATACTCATCCTCATCATCATCGTCTTCGTCATCTTCATCTTCATCGTCATAATAGTCTTCATCGTCCTCGTCGTAGTATTCGTCATTGTCGTGAAGATGATGACTCTTCATCATCATGTTCATAATCAAGTCCTTGAAAATGTCCATATGGGGATCATACTCGGCACCGAAGCGTGGTTTGTCGTAATGAGTTGACAGACCGATGTTTTCTTCCAGATGCGAACGTAGAACCTCGTACACTGATCTCATTCCCTGTCGATTCTCAGTGTGTTTCATTGCCTTGTGCAAGAGTGTGTAGCACGATACGAAGTGGAAGGGGATGATGTTTGCGGCCGTTTCACCAAGGGCTTTCTTGTAGCACTCCAACAGTTGTTTGACGACATCACCAGCAGACTGGTAGCAGGGTCCAAGTGATGACAGAGACGATACCTGTTCTTGGAGGTATGTTATCTGTAGACAACTGTGTGGCTGGAAGTACTGATGAATGAACTGTTCTGATCGAGGCGAGATCTTCTCGATAATGTCGAATACTGTCGCCATTGTTGTGTGACCCCTGTCGCACTGATATACCTGTCCATCAAAGTCGATATTTGGTTGAGGCTCCCAAGTAAAGAGATTCCTGCTGCCCAGCGCCAGGCCACACTTGGGACATTGGTACTCGTTGTCCTCGTACGCATTGCACCGATCGCAAGTGCAATAAAAGTCAAACTCCTTCAAGAATGTTTGATGTCTGACTGTTTTGGAGAATTGTGGATCCATGTAGTTGGAGGTGATCTCATCGCCAGCCTTGATGTCCTGATTGCTGCGATAGACATACATGCCATAGTTGTCCATGTATGAGTTGGTGTTGGCCAGACAGGAGTTGTTGATAAGCGACGAGCTTGGGAAGATGCCAATAGCTATAGGACAACATTCGATAAGGTCATGTAATACCTTGGTGTTGGGATGTAGCCTGGACACTGTGTTCAGGATGAACTTCTGCTTATCCAGTCGGTTGAGGAATGATTTGCCCTTCACCATATCAAATATTGAGGTGATCTCGTTGGCCAATGGCTTGCCAGGCTCCTCCTTCTTGTCAGTCATGGAGGCTGTGTGGCAAAGCTTGTCCACATCTTGCAGCGTGTCATATATGAATGGTTTGCCATCTTTGCGCCATTGCTCCAGTGTATTCTGTTTGTTGGCCTTGCCATCCAGGTTCTGAATGGCACGAAGCACACAACGGATGATTAGACGAGTATTGGTGCTCCTGAACTTGTTGTTGGTGGAGCTAATGACCATGCATTCATTCGTATGCATTTGTTTGACTACTTTGTCTTGTTGGCATTCTTCGCACATTGTGCATTTACAACTTTCGCATGTTGTAATGTCAAACGCTGTTTGAATGGGAGAATGAGTTAGTATTGGCGCCAAGTTACTTTCAAAGCAATGACCGGTATCATACATTTTGGTGTGCTATCCAAGCAGTACGAGCAATAGGAGGCCATCTTATCTTGATTGACTGCCACAGCGAATGGAGCCACTCTCAGCAGAACAGTGCCCTTGGGTATGTCTTTGGATGCAACCATCCTCCTGCCACCATGTCGTCCAATGCCATCCCAGACCATCCTGATGGGGAAGTTGGCAAATGCCTTGTCCTTGGCGATCTTGGCCTCGATGTATGTCTTGTTGGACTGTATCCTCTTCTGTTGTTCCTGAAGCTCATCAATCATCGTCTTGATCTGTGTCTTCATTTCTTTGTTCTTGTCGGTGGTTGTTTGTTTCGATCCTTGCTGGAGGTGTGTAATGGCCTGCTCGGTCTTGCCCAACTGCACCAGGGCATTGGCCGATCGGATGTAGGCCTTGACGTTGGTCGGGTCAAAGTCGATGGCCATCTGAGCTGTGGTGGCCGACTCGGGAATGTATAGTTGTTTGGCGAATGACATCGATAGATTGGATGCAATGAGAGAGGCCGAGATCTTAGCGGCTTTGGCATCCTCTTTGGTTGCAGATTGTAGTGTGCTCATGTCTGCATGTTGATCATAACATTGCAGTGCCATCGAGAAGTATGATATCGCGAACAAAATCTCCTGTTTACTGTAAGCATCGTTGCCCAACTTCTTAAGTTCCCCCATACGATCGATCACTTCCTGTGCTGTATTATAGAATGGTTGTGTAATCTCATGTGGTGTAGGTTGTTCAACAATGGGATACTGTTTGAATCTACTCATCAAGCTATGCATATATGATGGTAGATTACTATCATTGTTGTGATGGTGATGATGAGCCATTCTTCTTCTTCTCTTTCAAGAGATATAATAACATAGTATACTATGTTATTATGTGTATGAATGAATGAGTGATTGACTGATCAATCATTGAATGAACTTGCAGAATCAAAGGGATATTCGTCAGATTGCAAAAAAATGAAAGGGTGGGTTGCAATGAGGGCAAGGGCGAGGGTAAGGGCAAGGGCAAGGGTATGAGTGTATTGAAGTAAGAGTGATATACACCAATCAATCCAAACCATTACTTATGATATCAAACATCTTGCCAAAGTAGTGAGTGGATAGATGGATTGTGTTATCCAGGTGTTGGCSGGTACTGCTTCTTGACCTCGTCCTTATATTTGTTTGATCGAGACAGTATTACCAACAATACTTTATAGGCCTCCTTATAGAGTCCGTGTACGAGGTATCTGGCATTGATGCCCAGGGCAGCATCGTCCATCTGTGGCAGTCGTTCGATTGTCTCCACCGTCTTGGAGTTTAACCTTAGCATATTGTCCACTTTTGAGAGGGCTTCATATCGTATATACCTAAGCCACACAGTGCCAACCGATTGGAAGTACTTCTGCATGGTTGCTTCAATATGTGGCAAATGTCCAACTTGATCGGCATAGCCTGACAACTCCTCCAACATCTCGTACGCCATGGTCATTGTCGTGTGGCCCTTGTCGCATATGTAGACCTGTCCATCAAAGTCGCTCGCTGGCTGAGGCTCCCACGTCCTGAGGTTCTGCTTGCCAAGCGCCTGGCTACACGTTGGACATTGATTCTCGGTGTTCACCATAGTGGCGCATCGACTGCACTCGCAGAACATATTGAACTCCTTGAAGAATATCTCACGACGTCTCGTCAATGATTGTAGAGGATCGAGGTAGTTGGTGGTGACTTCGTCGCCAGCCTTGATATCCTGGTTGCTTCGATAGACCATCATGCCGTAGTTGTCCATGTAGAAGTAGGTGTTTGGCGCGCAGTTGTTGTTGATGAGTGTCGCGGTGGGGAAGATGCCCAGGCCCATAGGTGTATGAGAGATCGGATCATGAAGCTCCTTGAGATTGCTTCCTCAATCTTGTGATTGTTCGCTGGTAATCCAACCAAATACTACCGATTGGTTGGAAGTACTTCCGAAGGATCGCCTCAAAGCGCGGCTCGAATGCCATCTCCATTTACAAAACGTCTCCAAAGCATTGTAGAGCATTGCCATTGTGGCGTGGCCCTTGCTGCACACGTAGACCTGTCCATCAAAGTCGATCGATGGCTGTGGCTCCCAAGTCCTGAGGTAATCCTTGCCCAGTGCCTGGCCACATGTTGGACATAGATACTCTGTGTTGTCGATCGCAGTGCATCGGCTGCACTCGCACAACTTGTTGTGGTAGTCAAACAATCTGCTTTGTCTCTCGAGTGCGGGACGTTGTAAAGGATCGACGTAGCTCTGACATAGGGTCCCAATGATCGCAAGATGTTCAAGATGAAATGATCGTTGAACAATGTGTATTCAAAGCTGGTGGCCCTCACACGCTTGATATGTGCTGCTATCGTTGCGGACCATTCATTGTAGTCGGGCGCATCCTGAGTCCTGGATGCAATTGGGTCTTGATAGCAGATGTTCAAAAGGTCGGGGAAGGTGGTCCATGATGAATGGCAAACCATCCTTGCGCCATGTCGCCGGTAAGTTATATTTCATATTGAGCTGGCCAGACTTGATGAGGCTCACCTCTCGCAATATTATGATCAGGGTCAGTCTTGCAAAGATCTTGAACTTCTCTGCATCATTGGTCGGTGACTTTGGCAATGTTGCCAGAAGTTCACATGCAGCAAAATGATCATGTTTGATCACACTATCATTATGACACGTATGACACATCATCATCTTGCACTTGGGACATGTATGTGTCTTCATCTCTGATGTATCGATGGATTGATTGATTGAATGAGGAGGGTTAGTGATTGGTCCTACACAGCAACAACAACAACAACAATACGGAACAACATACTGGATACGTGAGTGTACATGAAACAGGTAGCACATGCAGATTTGTCAAATATGGCACTAAGAGTTAATGCCAATGGTGCCACACGCATCAGAACAGTGCCCTTGGGTATGTCTTTGGATGCTAAGAGCTTCCTGGCATTGTTTGGACCATCGGCATCATCCTCCCACACCACCTTGATGGGTAGCTGCTCCAACGTTTTGTCCATGGTCAAGAGTTTCATCTTTGATTTAATGTGCTCTTTGGACGACGTCCTCAAACTCTGAATTTGATCCACCGAGGCCAACAGTTGTTTAAAGGTGTTATGCGTTGCATCGAGCTCCTTCTTGTTGGCGCGAGCCCTCGTAGCCTTAATATTTCGGTTGATCAACTCGATACCTGCATTGTACTTCCCTGACTTGAACAATAGGAGGGCGTGAGGTATCCACACTGAGAAGTCGGCTGCGATGATTGCGTTTCTGCTGGCGATGTTGGTCGTTGTGATCGCCTCCCGGATGAACTTCTCTCTCGTTAACAAATTCGACAGAGATGAGGCGATCATTGAGTAAAGGTAATAGGTCGCGACGTTGTCTGCGCCGGCCATTCCTTTCAAGTGGCGATGTTGATCATAGCACTGCATCGTCATCGTATAATATGATATCGTGTACAATGTATTCTTTATGTCATTCGCTGCTCTGCCCATTGACGTGAGATACTCCATGCGCTCCATCACCTCTGCTGCTGTCTTGAAGAATGGTTGCGGTGTCTCGCGAGGTCGAGGTGGAGTCGACTCTGGTGACTAAGAATGCCGCCAATATCTTTTCACAATATGCTGGTAAAGTTTCCATTCTAATATATATGTGATTGATACAGATAATACTTGTGAAAGAGAATGAATGATCATCCGTATGGTCTTTTGGTTTTTTAGTTGTGAGTGAGGCCGAGGGCAAGGGCGAGGGCAAGGGTTAGGGCATGGGTAAGGGTAAGGGCAAGAATGAATATACATTTGATACAGTGATTCGTTTATTCGATGATTGCAAAATGCAGGACTAACCAACTATGGCATAAATCTTTCCAAGGTTCCTTTGGCGAAATGAGTGGATATTTGATAGGTCTCTTCCAGGTGTTGAATATACTGTTTCTTGGCATTGATCTTCTCTCGCGGATTGCCATTGGCAACACTCGATCGATACGTGGCTATACTGTCTAATTGAAATTGTCACCAAAGTTAACTACATAGCTGTGTCTCGATCGTTTGAGTAACTGTGCAGCATTCTTGCTCTTTTTGATAATGTTCATGTTGGTATGGTCTCGCAGATACTTCAGCCAAACACATCCGATGGGCTGGAAGTAATTCCGAATGATCGACTCATAGCGCGGCTCCAAGACCAACTTTGGTTCGACTTCACAAAGATGCTCGAGGACGTGATAAACGGCGGCCATTGTGGCGTGACCCTTGCTGCACACGTACACCTGCCCGTCAAAGGCGATTGATGGCTGAGGCTCCCATGTCCTCAGGTTATCCATTCCCATTGCTTGGCCACACTTTGGACATTGATACTCTGTTTGCTCGATCGTCTTGCATCGACTGCACTCGCAAAAGATGTTGTAGTCGTCCACCAACTTCCTTCGTCTCTGGGTTGTGGGAAGTAGTGGATCGACGTAGCTCTGTGTGATTGCTGCGATAGACCAGCATTCCATAGTTGTCCATGTACGAGTGGCTGTTGGGCGTGCATGAATGATTGATGAGTGATGCACTTGGGTAGATGCCAGCGCCCAACGTAGTTTGACTGATCACATCGGTCACCTCCCTGACATTAGGTGCCATAGCACGGAGGATGTTCAACATGTAGTCCTTGCTAAGGTTGGTCACTTCATCATCATCATTGAAATGTTCTTCGAGCGTTGTGGCCCAGTCTTTCAATTCGTTATAATCCACCAGAGCGTCTTGGTCTCTAAGGCATATCTTCATAAGGTCTTGGAATGAATCGTGGATGAATGGTAGACCATCTTTGCGCCAAGCTGCTGGGATGCCCTCCTGTTTTATATGTCGCATCACAATGACCATGGCGATGCGTGCATTTGTCTTGAGCTTATTGGACTGTGACCATGGCAATGTATTAAGAAGTGCACACCCAGCTTCATGCTCCATCCATGTCACATTATCATCGCGACACATATCGCACAGTATGAGCTTGCACCTTGAACATGTATGAATCTTGATATCTGTGTTCAATCGTTCGTTCGTTCGTTTGATTGATTGATTGATTGAGTAGGTTAGTGATTGATCAAGCTAGACTCCCACGCGGCGCCTTCAACAACAACATACTGGTGTTATGAGTGCTTTGGAAGCAGGCAGAGCAATAAGAGTCCATCTTGTCAATGTTTAAAGTTGATGCCAATGGAGCAACTCGAAGCAGAACAGTGCCTTTGGGGATGTCTTTCGATGCCACCATCTTCCTACCACGATCACCATCTGTCCACTCCAACCTGATTGGGAACTGTTCAAACGACTTGCTCTCAGATGTTATCTTTGCTTGAATGTGCGCTTTGGATTCCATCTCATGCTTCTGGATCTCTGTACATGCCTCTATCAGATCTTTAATTGATGACTTTAATGATGTGTCTGGTTCCTCTTTGTTGTAGTGGGCTTTGATTAGCTCGATCGCTTCAGTGTTTCGACCAATCTTAAACAATAGGTATGCTTGAACATTTCAATCGAATGGTTGGTCGCCGCCAATACGTTACTGCTTGCTATGTTAGCTGTTGTGAAGGCCTCGGCGATGAACTTCTCTTCGGCCAACAAGTTCGACAGCGTGCTGGCCGACATTGAGTAAAGCACAAATATAACAGCTGAATCGTTTCCGGTCTCGACTCGGCCGGACACTCCTTTCAAGCTGCGATGTTGATCAAAGCACTGCATCACCATCGTGTAGTATCGCGTACCATTTAAGATCTCTATCAAATGCTGCTTTGCCAAATGCCGCGAGAAGGGTAATGCGTGCCATTACCTCTTCTGGCGTTGTGAAGAATGGTTGTGGAGTCTCGCGAGTCAGAGGAGGAGGCACCTCTGGTGACTCGACAAATGACTCCAACAAGTTGATATAATGTGATGAGAGTCCTTTATCCATTCTTAAGATATATACAGATAACTAACGATTATATGTTGATTGAATAGAAATTTGAAAGACGTGACCTTTCAATTGAAGATAGAGTTGTTGATTGTTTATCACCAAGACACTTTATTAGAAGTAGACATAATACATACCAATTAAACTTATACATTTTCATAGATATATATAATATAATATAATATAATATAATAATATAATACCTAGTAATACACATTGATACCTTTGTTCATCATGATATGGACAACAAGGTATTCCTTTCAAACTTGATCGGAATGTTGTCTTACACAACATGGCAATAGCATAGGCAGCACCATCATTACCATCAACAACAGCAGTCAGGCACGTCAAGTATCTAGTAGTCATACTTTACCAACAACAACAACAAATAGTCGACTGCCTGGCAGCCACCTTAATACATTTGTCAACGCCTGACAAGCGTTGGTAATAGACACATCAAGTTGGCGAACAATCTAAAGTGTTGGATGTTCACACAAGAGCATCATCTGCATCATCAGATGACTAGTCACAATCATGATCACAACAGCAGCAGCAACATCCAAGATATGACACTTATTGAGGAGATTGATATTGAAACCATCTTCAACGGGAGCAGTAACAACAACAATAATAACCAACAACAACAAGTAACACCTTAGCAACAACAGTTGTCCGATCAATCAATCGATGTTGCAACAAAAGCAACGATCTCATCACTACGATCTTGAGCGGAGGTCATTATCACTCCGTCCTCAACAATTAGTTAATTCAATGGAACAACCACTGATTTATATCTATACTCGGAATCCAGTGATTAATCGAAGGTCGAAGAACCTCTAGCGCGACTGTAGTGAAGGCTGTGATCCACATTGATTGTTATAATAGGTAGTTGGACTAATTTGGTTTATAATTGGATTGTCTTCATTCATTCTTTGTTTGTGTTCCAGACAGACGGGTGATGGGATCAAGCCAAAATGAATGAAAAATAAATGTAAATAATACTCTTGGAAACCATCTTCGAAGTTCAAGTTTATATTTTATTTTTTAAAATACATTTACAAGAAGTGGTGGTGGTGGTGTGCACTTCACTACTACAATTAATACTTGTCTCTGTATATTAAATATCACTTATATATATTATCTGTACACCTTCTTACTCACCTATTAATAGACTAAATGAACAATCTAGCAATTGCTCAGTTAAAGAATATTCCGGCTTATATCAAGCTATCTGAAGACGAAAAAGAGCAATGTATTGAGAAGATATGTTCATCCAAACTCCTCGGTACGCTGAACTCCAAGGCCGCAGCAGGCCTCTCTATCCAGAAGACTCTTGATGATATCCTCAAGGCAGAGAGTAAGTACAAACAATTGAGGCGCAATGTCTTCTTCAATACTAATAAACACACTCAAGCCTCTGCTGCCAATATAGGATCACAAGGTGACGCAACTCCATATACATTGGTGGTACAGAAACAACCATCGTGTGGCATATTCGTTGACAGAGTTTCAGAAATCACCAAAATGGCAACTCATTATTTGAAGGTCATTGCCATTGGCAATCTAAGCAGTGGTGAACGCAACAACTATGCGCCACCAATCCTGGCAACATCACAGATGTGGGGATCGGGCAAGACACACCTTGGAAATAACTTCATTCGCAAACTCAAAGACAGTGCGACGATCAGGGAGGCTGCTCTGGAAAAGTACGTAGATGTGATAAATGGACAGAATCCAAGGGTGAACATTCAGAAGCTCATGTCTCTTCAAACCGTATACATTGATATGAGGAACATTACCATCAATCAGGAGAATGGAGACATATCGGCCATATGGATGGCTGCACTCTGTCATTTCTTGATTCAAACTGGCATACCAATCTGTCGAAAGCCCAATCCAACGCCTTGTGAACACACTCCCAAAGGTGTCCTCAACAGTATTGCACAATGCTTCATCCACATCGATGAAATAGACCACATCTTTGCCAACAACCAGGACCGTACAAACTCAATGTCGATCGTCTATTATCTCTGGACCAATCTCTTCCAAGATCTTGCACTCAATGGCTATCCTGTCTACATCTCTGGACGATCTTCAGTTCTCTTGACAATCAACCAGCATTTGTTTGGACCTCGCTTGGAGTCTCCAGTTTCTTCCAAGATCTTCCAGATCCTTCTCGACATGTTCTCCATTGAACACATCAAAGAGTATGTCAGCCAGAGACTCAAGATTACAGAGATACCACAAAAGCTGATTAATGAGATCTTTGAGGTAAGGTAACTCACACACCTAAATAAGCTTTGTTGAACTGACTATATATTGGCATTCCCATAGCTCACTGCTGGTGCACCTCGCCTTGTCCAACTCACAGTCGACTGTATTGTGGTCAACAAGTCTTTGGAAATCAGTCGTCAAACTTTGGTTGATTATATCAAGGGGGAGAACTCGGCTGTTCTCACACCTTACAGTGAACTCTCTGACAAACACAAGTCTATGTATATCTCTCTTTGCTTTGCGTCACTCTTTAAGGTTCGTACATTTTTATTCATTGTGGCCCTCATTGACCAGGATCTAACCCTACTTTGCCAGTTGCCAATCCGTTTGAACGACAAAGTACTCGACTTGTCTATGTGGGGTCTGAAGGGCTCCAGTATCACACATGCCGATATCCTCCAATCGTTGAATGTCTACATTCAGCCGGTTCATGATCTTTCGGAGGTTGTCTTGGTCAAGATTCCCCAGATCACCATCGACTATATTATCACCAACCATCCCAAAGACCCTGCCGTCAGTGAATATGTTTCTTTCTCTTCCAGATCGGGAAAGACGGCCAAACCAACCTTTGAGACTGGCGATACTCTAGAGATAGCCTTTTCCAACAACACCCTAATCAAGTTGAGGAAATCCCAAGAGTTCCTCATCGATCCGCCACGGATTACGTTTCCAATCACCATCCCATTTCCATTCCTCCAGGTATTTATTAGAGATGAAGATGCAATTACTTTGCAAACATACTAATCACCTACATAGCATACCTTTGCTCACGACATCCAATTCACCATCATGGACTTTTCATGCAAGTCATTCCCCATCTTTAACAGCCAAATTCACGACTATAACAAAGAAAAGATTGCCACTCTCCTGGAACGTAGTGCTTATGAACCTGCACCATTCAGCTCTCCTGATATCCAAGTCAGCAACTCTCACTTTGCAAATGTGATCGAGACCAGTCGTCAATTCGTCCTTTACAAGTGCGGCCCCAAATCATCCAGCTCTGACTTTTATATCAAGCTCAGCGAATCACTCATTTTGTCCTTCATCATCAAGAGTACCATTAGCATCACGCAGCTGGCCGAGGAAGTTAATAAGGCAGTGCCAGATGACAGCGATGAGATCAATTGCATATGTGTTGTTGTGGCACTTAACCCCTCACTGTCTCTGGAGGCAAGAGCTGATCTGTATGAGGACACCAACAGTCACATCCTGCTCCGCCCAGGTGTCCGCCTTTGCAAAGGCACCAAGATCAAAGACTCAATCCAGGTAGTAATATTGAAGCCGTCAGCACTCGAGGACCTCTTTTCCACTACGATCTGGAGATCACTGGTGACCTTCACTTTGGCTCAGAAAGGCTACCTTAAGATTGGTGTACCTGCCCCTCATTCTCCAGCCTATTAACCATGTCCGGTCGAAGCCTCACAATCAATGACGCAACGTCGCCCTTTTCACTGCACCCAATAAAGCCTCCAATCACTCTTTCATTCGCCTAATTGAGCCACTCGCAGGAGAACAGTGCCCTTGGGTATGTCTTTGGATGCAATCATCCTCCCACCATCTTCCTGCCACTTTTGGACGATTGGAACGATCCCTAGTCATATTGACGGGGAACTGTTCTAACGTCTGAGCAAACTTTGATTGAATGTGCGTCCCCATCTTCTGAATCTGTACCCCAGATATGAAGAAGCCGACATAAGTGACATTATCCTCAGGCTTGCCATGCCTGCATCCACGTTGGCGCTGATAAACTCGATCACTTTATAAATGCATGTTCAAAGAGTCCAAGTGAATCAGATACCTTGCTTGTTGGTGGCCAATCAGACTGATTCAATTGAATCAGTACAGAGTGATGACTTCCAGTGGTCATGATCACATTTAGATAAATTATATGCATTTTTGTTGGAGCTGGTAGTTGAAGTGCTGGTCGTGGTCCTTGTAGTGCTTACAGTGGTCGTTGATTGTGGTTACTCCTTTCGAGCAGGTGTATATACCTTTGGCCTTGATATCCTCTGGTAGGTCATCATAGGTGAATGGAGGTACATCCGTGGCCTTTTGGTTGTACAACTACTACTATTACTACCACTTCTGTTGGTAGGGTACACCACTCGACCCGTTGGTTTGATCGATGGAAGATATACAACACGACTAACAGGTTGGCTCGCAGATCGATTAGTGTATCCACTACTAGTCACTGACTGACAGGTTGGCTCGCGGATCGAGTAGTGTATCCACTGCTGCTGCTGCTGCTGCTGCTGCTGCTGGGTACTGATTGACTGATTGGTTGGCTCGATGATTCACCGCTGGTGCTGCCACCATTGTATAACAGCAGCAGTATAACAGTAGATTGTTACACCGTGCCACTTCTTTACCTCATCATTCCACGTTTGCTATCAAGTTTAAATGATGTTCCATGTCTTGGACAGTTGTTCCGTTGCATAGTATTAACTTTATAACTTAGACTTATAACATCCTTAGTCATAGTATATGTATATGTATATGTATATGTATATGTATATGTATATGTATATGTATATGTATATGTATGTATATGTATATGTGTATATGTATATGTGTATATTTATGTAAGTATGATTGTTATGACAATGTTGTACCTGTTCTTCACAATGGAGAATGCAACATGAACTGTTCACATTTATTACCTTAAGGAAAAACGGTGTTGTCCAAAAAGGTGCACCTTTTTGGGAGTGTTGGGTCCTGCAGACATCGCTGAAGTGTCATTCTCTCTCATACTTTGGGAAGTACTCATGGATGAGTCTTGTCTTTGCCAAGGTACAGGGCAACAGTTACATCTGACTTGGGTGACTTGAGTTGACTGACATCCTTGCCAGAGATGAGTTTGGTTGTGAATTGACTCCAACAACTTGATGTAGGTCGCGTACTCGATCGAGGCCCTTGGAAACCTTTGCACTGTCGCTCTATCCTCGTTAATATTTCTCTATTACATTTGAGTTGGTAGGCATCCTGACTCCTGCTAGCACTATGTTTGTAACCAATAGTGAAGCCAGACCTTTGTTGCACTGAGTATGATTACACTTGACTTTTCATTGGTATGGCCACTAGTGTTGTTTTGCTCTGGTTGACTACTCAGTTGACTATTACCATCACACTGAATGTGCTGTCCAGCAAGATGATCTTCATTATCCTCACTACTCAATCATTGGTATGGCCACTAGTGTTGTTTTGCTCTGGTTGATTGAGGCCATCATGTACAATGAGGGACGCAGTCGCCTTCATCGAGTGTAAAATTACTAATCTTATTGTTGTGACCAACACTACTCCTGCTGTTGCTGCTGTTGTTATTGTTGTTGGACAACTGACTAATCACCTCGAGCTCAATAGCTGCTTCGCTCAATGACTCCCTCTATAGATAACTATTCAATAGAGAAATGATAGTTATTGATGTTGTTTACTACTTGTTGGTTATCCATTCTTAAAGTAGCTGTACAGATAATGTTTATATTTATGTGATACAGAGAATAAGAGTGTGTTAAGTGGTGTGATGTGTGATTGAGTGATTGAACAACATGTGTCAGTGTGTGATTGATTGATTGATTGAATGTCAGATGGTATTTATTCGATCGATGACGATATTGACCAATCTTAAGACGTATATCGTTCAAAGTCAGACTGACTATGGCATAAATCGTTCAAAGGTACCTTTGGCGAAATGAGTGGATAGTTGGATGGTCTCCTCCAGGTGTTGTCCAAACTGTTTCTTGATAATGACCTTCTCTCGCTGATTGCCATTGACAAGACACAATCGAAGCATGGCTACGTAGATCTCGGCATAGAGCGTGGGTATGATCAGTCTGCCATTGTCTCCAAATACTGTGTCATAGCTCTGTCTCAACTGTTTGAGTAGTTCTGTCGCATTTTTGCTATTCTTGCCCATATGCATGAAGGTATATTCTCGCTGATACTTCAGCCACACGCATCCGAGTGGTTGGAAGTACTTCCGAATGATCACTTTATAGCGCGGCTCCAGTACCAAATCTAGTTCGATCTCACAAAAGTGCTCGAGGATGAGATAGATGGCTGCCATTGTGGCGTGGCCCTTGCTGCACACGTACACCTGTCCATCAAAGTCGATTGATGGCTGTGGCTCCCAAGTCTGTAGATGTGACTTGGTCAGTGCTTGGCAACATTTTGGACATTGATGCTCGGTGTTCTCGATCTCGACACAACGGCTGCATTCGCAATATATGTTGTAATCCTTGAGTAGCTTGTCCCGCCTGTATGACATGGGGAACAAAGGATCGATGAAGCTGTTTGTGATCTCTTCGCCAACCTTGATCGCCTGGTGGCTGCGATAGACCAGCATGCCATAGTTGTCCATGTATGAGTTGGTGTTGGACAGACATGAGTGATTGATGAGTGCCGAGCTAGGGTAGATTCCTGCGCCGATTGGTGTTTGGTGGTATAGGTCGACCAGCTCTTTGACATTGGGCGGTATCCTTCGCAAGACGCTCTTGACAAACTCATTAATGTCGAGTCGCTCCATGAACTTGGGTCCTTTCAGATACTTGGTAAAGTCGGCGATGGACGTGGCCATTTTTTCGTAATTGATGCTCTCCTTCTTGCTCATCCGCACTGGCTCTCTGAAGCTTATCTTTTGCATGTCGTCCAATGTGTCGTAGATGAAGGGTTTGCCATCCTTGCGCCATGCTGCCGGTGTGTTTTGTTTGTGTGCCTTGCCCTCCAAGTTCTGTACAGCGCGCAAAACTGATAGAAATGTGATGCGGACGTGAGAGTTCAAGATATCATCACCCTCTCTGGCAGGGAACACAGACAGTAGTTTACAAGCCACCTCATGCTCCTCCATTGTTATACTGTCGTTTTGGCACATCTCGCATATCTTGTTCTTGCACTTTGTACAAACATGTGTTTTTCTGGCAGCTACATGATTGATTGATTGAATGAATGAATGAATGTTAGTGATGGGTCGAGTGACAGCATCAATGCTATGAGCAACATACCTGTGATGTTTTGGAAGCAGGCAGAACAATATGAGTCGGCCATTGTATCGTATAATGATGAGGCGAATGGAGCAACTCTCAATATGACAGTACCCTTGGGTATGTCTTTGGAGGCAACCATCTTCCTTCCACCATGACGACCAACACCTGTCCACACCATCTTGATTGGGAACTCTGTAAATGTCCTATCCTTGGCGATCTTTGCTTGAATATACTCCTTGTTCTCATCCTCTAACTTCATAGCTTTCTCGTTGGCCTCCAACAATGTCTTGGCCGTGTCATACATCTGTTTGTTGTCCTCGGTGACTGCGATATCTATGCCTCGCTTGAGTTGTTCGATTGCCTGCTCGTTCTTGCCCAGCGAATTGAGTGAGTTGGCAATCTGAATGTACACCAATATAGAATTTAGATCATGCTCGATTGTCATATTGGCAGTTGTAATTGACTCGGGAATGCACTTCACCTCGGTGAGCGTGAGCGAAATAAGAGCGCTGGTTATAGCGACGCGGATGCTCATTTGTTCCAAGTCCACCTTGGAGACATTGTGCAGCGTGCTCGAGTTCATGTGTTGATCGTAGCACTGCAGCGCCATTGTGAAGTATGACACGGCGTACCAAAAGTCGTGACGATCGAATGCGCTTCTGCCCAGCGTTGTAAGATGATCCATTCTTTCAACCACCTCCTTCACTGTTTGATAGAATGGTTGAGTCCTCTCCTTTGGTTGTATCTTTAACGTTGCATCAGGTGACTTTAAGAATCTACTCAACAACTTGTCCCAATTGGGTGGGAGTGATTTATGCTCCATCAACTTTCTCAACTAATGTTTGTATATATATATATATATATTTGTATGATAAAGATGTATCTGTATCTCTACAGAGATTAAGTCAGAATGAAGTTGAATGTGAGTGAGCGAAGGGATAAAGAATGTGAAGTTCTCCAAAATTTGAAAAAATGGAGGGAGTCCACACTTTCGAGTCCAAAGTTTTCCGGGATCAACATGTTCTTATTAATTAATTGATTGATTGATTGATTGATGGATTGGATTAAATTAATATATATTTACACATTCACGAATTATATTTATTCACAAATCCTTCAAACACCTTGTTGAAATAATAATGTTTGGATAGATGGAAGTTGTCCTCTAGGTGTTGTCGGAACTGCTTGATAACCTCCACAGCTTGCTTCTTGTCTTTTTCCTCCAAGGCCATATTTAACATTGTGAAGTAGATATCTGAGTAGGTTTGAGGCAGGAGTTCTTTGGCTTTGCTTCCATGCACATCCTCAAGATGCTTCATCGCCAGATTGAATGACTCAGGTGCCTTGATGTACTCTTTCCTCGCCATATGATTGTAAGCGCACATGATATGATACCTGAACCAATTGTTGCTCATCGGTTGGTTGTACCGAGTCATGATATTGTGAGGAGTCGAGTAGCTACATGTATCCACGATGGTCTGAAAGAGTGTGGCCATCGTGGCGTGATTCTTGCTGCACACATAGACCTGTCCATCAAAGTCGATCGATGGATTAGGCTCCCAAGTCCTGAGGTTATCTTTGCCAAGTGGTTGACTACACTTGGGACATTGATACTCGGTGCTCTCCATGGCGGTGCATCGCTTGCACTGGCAGTAGATGTTGTAGTCCTTGATAAGTATGGCACGCCTGTCCACCAGAGGAAGTAATGGATCGATATAACTGTTGGTGATCTCGTCGCCAGCCTTGATGTCCTGGTTGCTGCGATAGACCAGCATGCCATAGTTGTCCATGTATGAGTTGCTGTTGCCCACGCATGAGTGTTTGATGAGTGCTGCACTTGGGAATAGGCCAACACCAATCTGAGACTGTAGGATCTCATCTTTCAGGATCTTTACATTGGGTGCTAGCTTTCGCAAGAGGGCCAATGTGACGCCTGGATGTGCCTTGTCCAGAGATTTGATGATATCTGCTCCTTTGAAGCGAGTGATTTGATCCTGGATTGTTTTGACCCAGTTCTTCTCATCATCAACTTTGAAAATGTCTCTCTCTCTGAATGATATCTTTATCATATCGGTCCATGTGTCATGGATGAATGGCAGACCGTCCTTGTGCCAAGTGGATGGTGTGTTCTGTTTGGTGGCCATGCCATTCATAGATAGCATCGCTTGCCTCAAACAGAGGATCACCAACCGAGTGTACACTGTCCAGGTCGGGTCTGCTTTTGTTGTTGTTGGTATTGTTGACAGTAGTTTGCATGTATCGCCATGTTCATCTTTGATCACTTTGTCGGTGTGACACATCTCACAGAACTTGAGCTTGCACTGTGGACAAGTATGTGATTTGCAGTCTGATTGATCGATTGAGTGAGTTAGTGAGTGATTAGTGCTGGGCTGCAAGTACAGTCCATTGTTAACCATAGTACATACATTGGAGGTCTTGGAAACAGGTCGAACAATGTGAGTTCACCATGTTGTCGTATAAAGTTGCGGCGAATGGAGCTACTCTTAGAAGAACAGTGCCTTTGGGGATGTCTTTGGATGCCACCATCTTCCTCCCACCGTAATGTCCCTTTGTTTCCCATACCATCTTGATTGGGAACTGCTCAAACGTCTTGTCATTCGCCATCTTTGATTTGATGTGTTCTTTGTTGGTGCAGTTGCCTTCATTAAACACCTCATATCTTCTCAGTAGCACAGTTTGAGCATGGATCTTGTCCTTCTGATTGTTCTTTACCAGTATGTTCATCCCATACTTGAGCTTCTCGATCACTTGCTTCTCGTCACCAAGAAGTTCCAGACTGTGGGCCCTGTTGTAGCTTGCCAACATCAGTATCATGTCCGGATCAAGGATGCTTGTCCAATCGGCCGCGGCCAACACTTCGAGAGTGCGATCCTGTTTGGATAGTTCCTCCGTCAGCATGTTGGCTATTATTGCTGCGTGGTGCCTGGTCAGGACTACGTCTAGTTTGAACGATGCTGGAAGTTTGTTTAGCATGCTCTCATGTTGATCATAACACTGTAGTGCCATTGCGTAGTAGGATATCGCAAACTTTGGTTCATTCCTGCCAACTGCGTCCTCGCCCAGTGTCTTTAGTTTACGTAAGCGTTCCAAGACATCGTTTGGTGATGAATAGAATGGTTGAACAGTCTCTCGTAGTGTTAATGTTGTGCCATTATTAGATGACTCATTCAATCTCTTCATCAATCTCTCCCAATAAGGTCGATCATTCACTTTCTGCATTATATATATATATGTATTTGTATAAATATTAATGAAGTGTTAGAGATAAAGTTAAATTGAAATGAAGTGAGTAGCAGTAGGTGAGTGAGGGTGAGGGTGAGAGCGAGGGTGAGGGCAAGTGTGAGGGTTAGGTAAAGGTGAGGGTGAGGGCAAGGGTAAGGGTAAGGGTATATTATTAGACCTTATTTTGTATTAGCCAGTCAAGGATATCTTCGGCCCAAGCAAAATGAGTGGACAGATGGATGGTGTCCTCAAGGTGTTGACGGAACTCCCTAATTATATAATTGATCTCATTCTTGGTTGCAAACCCATATTGTGTCAAGAATCGCGTCAGGGCTAAATAGTTGATTGAGTAGCTATGTGGTATGATATACTTGGCATTGGGTCCAAGTGTAGCCTCGTACAGAGCACTGACTGTTTCATTATAGCCGCTGCCTCAGACATTCGAAACTCCATCGTCATGTGCATGAGATGAGCACGTCGGAAGTTGTTCCACATCAGTCCATCTCGTTGGAAGTACTTTGGAATGGTGACTGTGAAGAATGATTCATGTTTGTCTCTATAGTCAACCATCCTCTCCAATACATTGTAGATGGCGGTCATGGTCACGTGACCCTTGCTACATTGATACACTCGTCCATCAAAGTCGTTAGATGGCTGAGGCTCCCAAATGCGCAGATGCCTCTTGTCCAACGCCTGGCCACACTTTGGGCATCGATGTTCTCTGTCGCTGTACGTGGTGCAGTGCACGTGCAGTATTGATTGTGCTCAATCATCATCTGTGCACGTCGTTCCCACATGGGAAGTAAAGGATCATAGTTGATCTCAGTGATCTCCTCGCCTGCTGTGATCGCTCTGTTGCTGCGATAGACCAACATGCCTATGTTGTCCAGGTATGAATAGCAGTTGGCCGTGCAACTCTTGTTGATGAGTGCCTCGCTTGGGAAGATGCCCATTCCAATGGGTGTTTGTTGGATCGCGTCTGTCATTGAGATGATGTGGCGATTCATTAATCTGAAGAGGTTCTCAATGAACTGGTCGCTAGGGAATGTTGATCCCTTGAACTTTTTGATATTATGAGTGAGTATGCTGGCCCATAGGACATCCTCGGGATCTAAATTCTGAGTCATTAAGTGAGTGTTGTAGATGTTGATGTTGATCATAACACTGCAATGCCAACGAGTAGTATGATATTGCGAACAACATGTCTTGTTTGCTGTAACAGTCGTTGCCCAACTTCTTCAACTCCTCCAATCGTACCATCACTTCCTGTGCTGTATTATAGAATGGCTGAGTGATCTCCTTTGGTGTTGGAGGGTCCTCAACATTAGATTGGATGAATCTAATCCTAAAGTTGTGGCACCAGCTTATATGTTATATGTTATATGTTATACAAAGAGATTGAGATAATGATCGAGATAACTCGTCGATCTTTTGTTCAAAAAGTCAAATATTTGTCAAGTTGAGTGACGGCAAGGGCAAGGGTGAGGGTAGGGTAGGGTAAGGGTAGGGTAAGGGTAAGGGTAAACCATATTAATGGACCAAATTATATATTAACAAGACAAGGAGATCTACCGCCCAAGGAAATTGAGTGGACAGCTGGATGGTGTCCTCTAGGTGTTTTCGGTACTGATTGTTATTGTTTTCGATCTCCCTCTTGCTTGCATGCCCATATTGTGTCAATCGCGCCAGTGCCAAGTAGTTGTTTGTGTAGTGATGGGGTATGATATACTTGGCATTGGATCCAAGTGTAGCCTGGAAATGAGCACCGAGTGTTTTCATTATGGCAGCTGCTTCAGACATTCGAGACTCGTTCATTAGATACATGATTTGACCACGTTTGAACTTGTTCCACGTCAGTCCATCTTGTTGGAAGTATTTTGGAATGGTGACTGTGAAGAATGAATCGGGTTTGTCTTTAAAGTCTACCATCCTCTCGAGTACTCTGTAGACGGTGGCCATGGTCACGTGACCCTTGCTGCATTGGAACACTCGTCCATCAAAGTCGATCGATGGCTGAGGCTCCCATATTCTCAGATGGCGCATGTCCAACGGCTGGCCACACTTTGGACATCGGTACTCTCGGTCGTCAAACGTTGTGCAGTGATTGCACATGCAGTATTGATTGTGCTCTTTCATCATCTGGGCACGTCGATCCCACATGGGAAGCAAAGGATCGTAGTTGATATCTGTGATCTCCTCGCCTGCCTTGATCGCTCTGTTGCTACGATAGACCAACATGCCTTGGTTGTCCAGGTATGAGTTGCAGTTGGCCATGCAACTCCTGTTGACCAGTGCCTCGCTTGGGAAGATGCCCATTCCAATGGGTGTTTGTTGGATCGGGTCTGTCATTGAGATGATATTGCGAGTGATTAATCTGAAGAGATTATCAATGAACTCGTCGCTCACGAATGATGGTCCCTTGACAATTTGGATATTCTGAGTGAGTAGGCTGGTCCATTTGGCCTCCTCGGGATCTAAGATCTCTGACATTAATTGAGGTGAATTCCACACATTGTGCAAGTCAGTAAATGTGTCATAAATGAATGGCTGGCCATCCTTGCGCCATGTTGCTGGAGTGTTTTGTTTGATGGCATGGCCATTCGTTTGCTGGATTGATCGCAACGTCGTTTTGAGGGCGATCTCAATACGCTCAGAGACTTTGATCCCTTTGTCAGTGGTGTATGGTCTTAAGATGGAGCACCAATCTTTATGCTCTCGAATGATAACATCGTCCTTCTGGCACATCTCACAAAACTTCTGATCGCACCTTGAACATTTGGAGGATTCTGATTGATTGATTGATTGAGTGTCAGTATCATTCATGAATGACTGCCAGTGAGTGTGTCATACCTATTAAGAATCTGTAGCAGCCTGTGCAATACAATGGTATAGCACTTTCTTGTAATGCTGTGGCGAATGGAGCAACTCGAAAGACAACAGTGCCCTTTGGTATGTCTTTGGATGCCACCATCCTCCTGCCACCATTCGGTCGATCACCTCCCCACACCATCTTGATTGGGAACTGCTCAAATGTCTTGTCATTGGCGATCTTTGTTGAGATTCCAATCATGCTTTCCTGACCAACCTGCTTCAGACCATCATGAGTCCCCAAACTACTCTTGATAATGTCCAACAACCCTTTGTCCTTTTGGTTGGTGGCGATGACCAATGCGTGCTTGTAGTGCGGGACCGCCTCATCCAGTTTGCCAACCTGGTGAAGAGCATGTGCCAGTCTGGTCAAGGCCTTGACATTTGTCGGATCAAAGTCTATTGCCATATGTGCTGTTGTGATCGCTTCAGGTGAGCACCCTTGTTGAATGAATGTAAGAGTAAGATTGGATGCGATGATCGATACCAGCTTCTTGATTGAATCAAACTCGTTGGTGTTGCTCTTCAATATTGAGTTCAAGTGTTGTAGATGTTGATGTTGATCATAACATTGCAATGCCAACGAGTAGTATGATATTGCGAACAACCTGTCCTGTTTGTTGTACCTGTCGTTGCCCAACTTCTTCAGCTCCTCCAATCGTGCCATCACTTCCTGTGCTGTATTATAGAATGGCTGGGTAATCTCCTTTGGTGTTGGAGGGTCCTCAACATTAGATTGATTGAATCTATTCCTAATGTTGTTCAAGTACTGCGGTGGCCCCATCTTATGATTAATATATATGATATACTCTGATAGATATAGAGATAACTGTTGAACTTGAAGTGAAGTTTAAAATATGATACATGTGAGGGGTGAGGGTTAGGGTGAGGGTGAGGGCGAGGGCGAGGGCGAGGGCGAGGGCTTACATCCTTGACAATATTGTTTTAATGTATTATTGATGACAGAGTTTGTTTTATACTCAGCATTGTTGACTCAAACTTCTTTTGTCCATAATAATGAGTGGACAGATGGAAGTTGTCCTCTAGATGTTGATGAAGTTGATCGATAATGTCAATTGCATTCTGATTATTATCTTCTTTTAGAGCCATGCTTAAAAATGTGGTGTAGATTCCTATAAAGACCATTGGCATGAGGTCTTTGACATTGGGGCTATATACGGTCTCAAGGTGCTGCCTAACAAGCTTGTATTTCTCGAGAGCCTTGTCATTCTCTTTCAACTCCATATGATTGAGAGCGCATTTTAAATGATATCTGTACCATATGTCACTGTTGGGCTGGTAGTACCGAGCCATAATGGAAAGAGGAATGGAGTGGCTACACTCATTCACCAATGTCTTGTAGATTGATGCCATTGTGGCGTGGCCCTTGTTGCACACGTAGACCTGTCCATCAAAGTCGATTGATGGCTGTGGCTCCCAAGTCCTGAGGTTATCCTTGCCCAGTGCTTGGCCACACTTTGGACATTGATTCTCTGTGCTGTCCGTCGCGATGCATCGCTTGCACTGGCAATATACATTGAATTTCTGGAGCACCGTGCCACGTCTAGTCTCCAAACTATTAAGAGTTTCGGTTATGCCAATATTGGTGATCTCATCGCCAGCCTTGATGTCCTGGTTGCTGCGATAGACCAGCATGCCATAGTTGTCCATGTATGAGTAGGTGTTGGCCAGACACGCGTGATTGATGAGTGCCGCACTTGGGAACACACCAATACCCACCCCAATATCGGTGACTACATCGTTCAGGACTTGGGTATTGGGCGGCAGTCTCTTCAAGACGGTGATGTAGATCTCTGGTATATTATTGAGTAGATTCATGAACTTTGCCCCTTTCACACGCAACATATGATCCTTGATTGTCTTGACCATTCTGATGGATTCTGCCTCCTCCTCATTGTTTGAATTGGCTTCCTCTTTGAATGTTACATTATGCATGTCCTCCATTGTGTCATAGATGAATGGCAGACCATCCTTGCGCCATGTAGATGGTGTGTTCTGTTTGTTGGCCTTGCCCTCCATATTCTGTTTCGCTCGCAACAAACAGAGAATGGCAAGTCGTGTATTGGCTGTCCACTTGTTGTCTGCTCCATTTTTGATTGGTACTGATGATAGTAGTTTACATGTTACGACATGCTCTTGTTTGATCACATTATCGGTGTGACACATCTCGCAGAACTTGAGCTTGCACTCTGGACAAGCTTGTGATTTGCAGTCTGTTCCAGGTTTGATTGATTGATTGAGTTAGTGTTGGTTTTAGACTGAGATCAGTCTAGTCGGGTCGAGCCCACGGACCAGGCTACTTACATTTGAGGTCTTGGAAGCAGACGGAGCAAAGTGAGTCCTTCATAGAGTCGTATAATGTTGATGCGTATGGAGCCACCCTCAAGATAACAGTGCCTTTGGAGATGTCTTTGGACGCCACCATCTTCCTGCCACACCACGGTCCGACGCCATCAAAGACCATCTTGATTGGGAACTGCTCAAATGTCTTGTCATTGGCTATCTTTGATTTGATGAGAACATTGGTACGTCGGTCATACTCCTCACACATCATAAGTCTGGTGTACATCAAATTAAAGTGAGGGAGCTTGTGAACCTGTTGTGTCTCTTTGATAACAGAATGAGCGTACTTGATTTTCTGAATGGCTTGCTTCTCGTCACCCAATTGAACCAATCCATTAGCGAGATTGAAGAGGGCCAACAATGGTACGGTTGGATCAAAGTTGTTTGCCAACTGCCCTGCGGCCACAACTTCGGGACTCCTATTCTGTTTGGACAGTGCCTCGGCCAGCGGCTCGGCAATGCACGCTGCCAGCCAAGTGATATTTTTGAACGTTGCAGAAGGTTGTTGTCGTAGCATGCTCAAATGTTGATCATAACACTGCAATGCCATCGTGTAGTATGATATCGCGAATATTATCTTATCTGTGTTGTCTACTCTCTGTCCCAGTTTCTGAAGCTGCAGCATACGATCCAAGACCTCCTTTGATGTTTGGTAGAATGGTTGAGCTATCTCGCGAGGTGTTTCTATTAATGTACACGTATCATTATCAGGTGACTCGATCAACCTCTTCATCAATCTCTCCACATATGGTAGATCATTCATTATATTATATTATATTATATATATGTATGCGTTGTTGAAAGAGATAACATTGTGAACAACTTCGAAAGTTGGAGAAAACATCAAAATTGGTGTGGAGGGCAAGGGCGAGGGCAAGGGCAAGGGCAAGGTCAAGTCCATCTTTCTGGATGTACTTTGAATGGTGACTTTGAAGAATGAATCATGCTTATCATCATACTCCACCACCCTCTCGACCCTTGTCGCACTGATACACTTGTCCATCAAAGTCGATTGATGGTTGTGGCTCCCATACTATAAAGAAGGGCGAGGGTATATTCATCCCACCCACTCTCACACCCAAGTCTCAAAGGAAGAGGCAAGGATATTATTATTATTATTAATATTACTAATGATGATGTTCATGATTATGAGTCATGTGATGAGACACATCGTCAAAGATATCTCTTGCATAATGTGTGGACAGCTGGATGGTGTCCTCAAGGTGTTTGCGGAACTGTCTATAATTATCTTCAATCTCCTTCCTGTAACCAAAATGACCCAACATCTGAGTCATGGCCAAATAGTTGGCAGTGTAGTAGCTCGGTATGATGTCCTTGGCATTGCGGCCCAGGGTGGCCTCGTGTAGAGCAATATAGCTTTTGGTCAACTGGGTCATCTCGGGGATGCGAGACTTCTTCGTGTGATACTCGCAGAGCTCTCGTTGGAATTTGTTCCACATCAGTCCATCCTTCTGGATGTACTTTGGAATGGTGACCTTGGCCAATGCATCATGCTCCATCACCGCACTATCCACCATCTTCTCCAGTACATTGTAGATGGCGGTCATTGTCGCGTGACCCTTGCTGCACAGGTACACTCGTCCATCAAAGTTGACTGATGGCTGAGGCTCCCATATCGAGATGTTGCGCTTGCCCACTGCCTGACCACACTTTGGACATCGATGCTCTCTGTCCTCGAACGTGGCACATCGAGTGCACTCGCAGTATTGATTGTATTCCTTGATCATCCTCTGACGTCTCTGCCACATGGGAAGCAAAGGATCGTAATTGGTCTGGGTGACCTCCTCGCCTGCCCTGATCGCCTGGTTGCTTCGATAGACCATCATGCCGTAGTTATCCAGGTATGAGTTGACATTGGCCACACATCTCTTGTTGATGAATGCCGCGCTGGGGAAGATGCCAAACCCGACGGGTGTTTGTTGGAACAGGTCGGTCATCTCAATGACATTGCAAACCATCCTACGCAACATGTTCAAGATGAACTGGTTGTCGAGTCGCGCCAGGAATGATGCTCCCTTCTTCTTATTGAGTTTGTTCGTTATATTGTTGGCCCATTTGAGATACTCTGCCTCCTCGTCGTGGTCCAAGCTGTGTGATTCGTTCAGCAATGCCTTCATGTCCTCGAATGAATCGTAGATGAATGGCTTGCCATCTTTGCGCCATGATGTCGGTGTGCTCTGCTTGTTGGCGTTGCCATCCAAGTTCTGGACAGCTCGCAAGGCCGTCCTGACGGCGACCTCGATTTGAGTGGGCATGTTGTATCCTCTTGTTTCATGAATCGATGGTCTGGAAAAGTAGCTACATGCTTCAGCATGATCCCGAAGGACAACATCGTCATACTGACATGTCCCACAAAGCTTCCTACCGCACATCATGCAATTGAATATTCTGTGATTATCTGTTGATTAATTGATTGATTGATTGTGATTGAGTGAGTGAGTGAGTGTCCAGAACGAACTCGATCAACTATCTATCTGCTTACATTGGAGGGCTTTGTAGCAGCTTGAACAATAATTTTCGATAGCACCATCATGTATTGCTGCGGCGAATGGAGCCACACGCAGCATAACAGTGCCTTTGGGGACTTCTTTGGACGCCACCATCTTCCTGCCACCATTCGGTCCACTACCTTCCCACACCATCTTGATTGGGAACTGCTCAAACGTCCTGTCCTTGGCAATCTTTGACTTGATGTACTCGGTGTTAACCTGATCGGACTTCTGCTGTAGTTCATGATCGTCCAATACTTTCTTGATGTGTGTCTGTAGGTCTGTGCTCTGAGCGTTGGTGGCGATGACCAAGCCTTGCCTCAGGTGTGTGATGGCCTGCTCCAGCTTGCCAAGCTGAGTCAGCGAGGTTGCCAATCTGATGATGGCCTTGACGTTTGTCGGATCAAAGTCGATTGCCATCTGTGCCGCTGTGACCGCATCGGGTGTACATGTTTGTTTGTTGAGTGAAAGTGATAGATTGGACGCGATGATCGATGCCAGCTTCTTGATTGCGGTCATCTCGTCCAATGATGATGCTATATTATTGATTGTATCTGAGTGTTGTAGATGTTGATCATAACACTGCAATGCCAACGAGTAGTATGATATTGCGAACCACATGTCATGTTTGGCATAACTATCGTTGCCCAACTGCTTGAGCTGCTCTAATCTCGCCAACAGGTCCTGTGCTGTATGATAGAATGGCTGAGTTAACTCCTTTGGTGTTGGAGGTTCCTCAATAGTTGGTTTATTATATCTGTTCCTCAAGTTGATCAAGTACTGTGATGACTCCATCTTATATATATATATGTAATCTATATATATATATGTATATGTATTTGATATGTCTACAGTGATAGAGATAGAGATAGAGATAATGTGCACACTTATAACTTCATGTTCGAAACGAATGAATGAATTTGCAAAATGAAGGGATATCACACTTTGAAGTTCATTTTACAAGTGATCACATTCCTGGATTCATTACAGAGCATGATTGAGCATCGGGATGGCCTCCGCATGTCTGCCAACCTGGAAAAGGATGTCGCATAGCCTGACGACGGCCTTGCAATTGGTCTGATCAAAGTTGACTGCCATCTGACCCATTATGTTCGCATCGGGTATGCGCATCTGTTTGCTGAGTGATAGTGATAAGTTGGACGCGATGATCGATGCCATCTTCTTGATTGACGTCATCTCATTCTCTGTCAATGAGCTCTTGAACTTGTTTGAGAATCTGTTTAGTTGATCATAACACTGCATAGCCATCGAGTAGTATGACGTTGCGAAGCCAAACTCTTTTTTGGTGTAACTGTCGTTGCCCAACCTCTTCAACTCCTCCAACCTTGCCAACAAATCCTTTGATGTAGTGTAGAATGGTTGAGGGATCTCCTTTGGTGTTGGAGGGTCCTCAACCTTTGACTGATTGAATCTGTCATTTAACTTTAACCAGTACTGTGGTGGACTCATGATATATATATGTTGATAGTGATAGATAGAGATAGAGATAGAGATAGAGATAACTTGTGAACAACAAATGAATGAAGGGGTACCACACTTTTCGATCGTCTAAACTCTGTTCCTGGTCATGGTGCAGCGATCACACACTTGAAGACAATATCTTTATCAAGTTGTTCAAGTATTTAGGCTTGCCAAACCCTCCATTATATATATATATTAGTAATATATTATTCCAGATACAGATAACTTGTTGTTAAGTATAACAATGATCGTCTGATGAATACCACCACTCCTTCATTTTGATCACACTTTTTGTATTCAAAATGATGATTGTTGATGGAATGATTGGAATTGTTCCAGTGGGTTTGGTATCAATCAATCGATCAATCCAATAAGTAATTTAAATATTCTCTACTACAATGAGTGGACAGGTTAATGGTACTCTCCAGATGCTCACGCAGACGTTTCTTGTCCGCCACCACCTCCTTGTTGTTCTTCTTTTTGTCGTCAAAGCTGACCATAGTTAGTTGGGACAGGTAGATTCTTGAGTAAAGGAAGGGCACAGTGAACTTTGCATCGCGGCCAAAGACAGCCTCAAAGCACTGTATCACTCGTTTGAATGATTCGCGAGCTTTGGAGACCTGACCACTTGAAGCTTTAGCCACGGCAAGATCATTTTCATAGTTGACCATCAATAATCCATTCGGCTGGAAGTACTGGCGCATGGTTGCTTCAAAGTGAGACTGATACAATTCAAGTGTATTTTCATAATCTTCATTTCCACCTACCAAAACCAGTATATCGTAGAGTGTGGCCATGGTCACGTGGCCCTTGTTGCACACGTATACTTGTCCATCAAAGTCGATTGATGGCTGAGGCTGCCACGTCCTTCGGTTCGACTCGTCAAGTGCCTGGCCACACTTGGGACATTGATACTGCGAGTTCTCCACATTAGTGCAGTAGTCACACTGGCAGTACTGATAGTAGTCTGTGAGGAGTCTGCCACGTCGTTCTGATGATGTAGCAAGCGGATTGAGAATGCTCTGTGTGATCTCCTCGCCAGCCTTGATGGCCCTGTTGCTGCGATAGACCAGCATGCCATAGTTGTCCATATATGAGTAGGTGTTGGGCATACACGCGTTGTTGATGAGTGATGCGCTCGGGAAGATACCAAACGCCAAAGCCGAGTTGGTGGTGACAAACATAAGGGGAATGTTGTTGGGGCCAAGCTTGCGCAGCATCTTCGCAATGAACTGTTCGGGGAGGCTCGCCAGGAAAGAGGGCCCTTTCAGGCGCTTGATACACTCCGTGAGTACTTCTTGCCAGTTGTGCAACTTCAACACATCATGCTCCTCATAGTGGTCGACTGCCTCCAAACAAATCTTGTCCATGTCTTGCAACGTGTCATAGATGAATGGCAGACCATCCTTGCGCCATGCTGCCAGTGTGTTCTGCTTGCTGGCCTTTCCCTCTATGTTCTGTATTGCTCGCAGCACAGTGTGAATGGCCAATCGTGATTCTACGTTGATTATAGATTTGTCCTCGGTCTCTGTTGGCAATGAACCTGGGAGCAGGAAGGTGCACATAGCGTTGTGCTCTTCTTGGGCCACCTTGTCCTTGTGGCACATCCGACACAATATGCCCTTGCACTTTGGACATACATATGTGTCGATCGCTGAGATTTTTGATTGTTAGTTTGTATTCTGCTACTCTCTCTCTCTCTCACTCACTCACTCCATCATTATCACCATCATCACCATCATCATACATTTCTTTTGTTGGAAGCAAGCCATACAAAGATATTTGAAGCACTCATCAAGGATTGTTGAAGCGAATGGAGCCACCCTCAAGAGAACAGTTCCTCTGGGTATGTCTTTGGACGCCACCATCTTCCTTCCACCAATATTGTGTGGACGTCCGGCACCAAGCTGCTGATCCCATACCATCTTGATGGGGAACTTCTTGAACGTCTCGTCTTTGGCAATCTTTGCTTCGATGAACACCTTGTTGTCGTTTGCTCGTGTGGTCTGTTGTTCAATATTGTCCAACATGATGCTGATCACATCGCGCAAGTACTCTTCCTCGGGTTTGAATGTGTACTCCTGTGCTGTCTGGAGGCGCTCTTTGGCCTCCTCAGTCTTGCCCATTCGCAACGATAGGTTGGCTGCATCAATGTCCAGACCAGGATTACGTGGACCATTGTGCAATGCCATCAATAAGGCTATGCGCAATTCGTGTGCGTACTGATCCTTGGGCAACGCCATCGAGATGTCGTGGGAGATGACGTAGACCAAGTTCATCAGTCGGGACATCAGATCGGTGTCTGCTCCATTCTTGCACATGTCCAAATGTTGATCATAGCACTGCATTGCCATTGCGTAGTATGACACGGTGAACCAAGTTCCAAGCTGTCTCTCGCGAGCATCGGTGCCCATATTGTGGAGATACTCCATTCGCTCGATCACCTCTTCAACCGTTTGATAGAAAGGTTGGGCAGTCTCGCGAGGTATCGGTAGTTCGTCTGCTGCTACTGGTGACTTGTTAGACTTTATCAATCTCATCGCCAAGTTGTTCCTATAACTTGTATGGCTGTTATGGTTGTCATCATTGTGCTCCATTCATTATATGTATATAAAGATATTGATATCAAGTTATAACTTGTGAACATAGAACTGATTGATCATTTGCAAATCTGGGTATCACACTTTATGATCTTTTATGTGATCGGTCGTTGTTCATTACTTCATTGGACGATACAGGAACGCAAATTGATCTCTACTACAATGATTGGACAAGTCAAAGGTACTCTCAAGTTGCTGACGAAGTTGTTTCACCTTATCTTGCAACTCATTCCTCTTGCCCAGTTTGGCAAACATTTGAATCTGACCGAGGTATATGTTGGTGTAGATACAGGGCATGACGAACTTGACGTTGCCGCCCCAGAGAGACTCGTAGGACTGTGTCAGTTGTTTGATTGACGAACTGGCCTTGGCACTCTGACTCTTTATAAGAGAGAAGGTAAGCTTGTGTTGGTAGTTGATCATCACACAACCATTGGCGTGGAAGTACTGGCGAATGGTTGCTTCAATGTGTGGCTCAAATGATTCATCTTTAACTGTTAGCGTTTCCAGCACATCGTAGAGAGTGGCCATGGTCACGTGGCCCTTGTTGCAAACGTACACCTGTCCATCAAAATCTATTGATGGCTGAGGTTCCCATGTACAAACATATTGGGGTTAGGGCAGAAGGGTCTTGTTCATGATCATTTGATTGATGTCAGAACAGATAATGGATAAAATATCAATACTTATAATAAGAAAGATAATATCATATGTTGAACAATGTATAGATAGATTGATGTTGACATTGGTCTGCAAGAGATTGTTTGTAAATCGTAACAAGTATCTAAATTGTTTGGATATAAAGTTGATCAAAGGCAATGTCTTGTATAATGATATCAACAACGATAGTAATACTGTTGATGTTGACAACATCAATGAACCAATAACAATCAACTCCAAGCATTATCTATCATTCAATCTTTGTACATTCTTTGAAGATGCTATCACATTCAATCTTGGTAAGATCATTCATTCAATCATTCAATCATTCATACTTACTCGTTCGGACAGATAGATTCAAGGATACATTATACATGCCCAATCCTAATCTAAAGTATATGAGCTTCTATTACAATCAGGAGGGTAGTGTACATCCATTCTCAGAGTCACATCCACAATGTGAGGGCATAAGGGAGGTGCTGGAAGTGTTGGCACTCGAGAGATCAGTTAAACTGAGATTGACTATTGATCTCACAATGACACCGATCTTCCCTCTACATCATCTACCAATCACATCATTGGAGTTGGAGATGGTGGCCAGCCTACACCTCCGACCAGATCAGTATCCATCCACTCTCACTGATATGAGTCTGTCCAACAACCAGCCATTCTCAGGTACACTCAACGACATGCTACCAAACAGCTTGAAGACTTTGGATCTCAATAATTTCCACTCATGGAACCAACAGATCAAACCAGGTTCGTTGCCCAACAAGTTGGAGAGCATCGAGTTCAATAAGCGATTCAATCAAGTGATTCAGTTGCGCACATTCCCTGACACACTCACTCGTCTCAGACTTGGAGATTCATTCGACCAGCCACTCAATGGCGTGTTGCCACCTTCACTCACTTGTCTGACGTTCGGTCGTTTAACTTATGAACATGATCTGTTCGATCTCCCTGCTAGCCTCACAACCATATACCTACCAGGATTCTTCAAAAGAAGATTGGAACATGCTCCATTGCAGAGGCTGCATATATATGATGACAAAATGCCAAGAGGAGGACATTCATTCCCCAACCTTAGGAAGCTATGGATGAAGGCATGGGTGTCCAACATGGACTGGGCACTCTTCCCCGCGATCATTCGGCTGACCATCGATGGAAGCAAAAGCCCAGACATCGACATATCCACATTGCCATGGACAAAACTCAAGAACTGCAAGTTGTTCTGCGAGTATGGTTACGTAAAGTGGCCACTTCAATTCGCCAGTCCAATCCCATTCGGTGTGGAGAAGTTGGCGTTGGGCAACCTCAACTTCCCCAAGATAGCACTCGGTGTCCTTCCTCCATCAATCACTCGTCTGGCACTCTGGAACCCGGTCAGCATCAGACATGGCCACATCCCGTCATCGGTCACATCGTTGCAGATACACAACTGTGACCTGGAGTTTGATCCACGGGTTGTACCGCCATCCGTCCGCGATCTGACATTGACAGATGTCCACGTCTCTGACAATCTACCAATAATCAAACGAGTTCCAATCACAGTGATGTCGTTGACAATAACATCAAACTGGTCGTCGTTCATACTTAGGCGAATATCCGATCAATACTTCTTCAGAAGTCCATCACTCAATGTTAATGGATATGGATTCGTCGACAAGGCAACACTCCGCAATTGATCCAATAAACAATTTTTCTCTCCAGCTAAATAGGCATCATCTTGTTATTCATTTATTGATTGATTGATTGATTGATTGACGATGTTACTCCCCGAAACAGAGCTCGAATAGTTCAAGGCAGCTGTGATTTGATATCCGGATGGTGTCTTCCAAGTGCTGTCGGAACTGCCTCTTGACCTCCTTCAACTCCTTTGCATTCTTCTTTCCATGTTCCATCGCTCTGATTGTCGTAATAAAGCATTGACTATAGTTGAATGGGATGATGTCCTTGACATTGTTGCCCAACACGGTCTCGTAGTATTGCTTCAATAGTTTGATGCCATACATTGTCTTGCTGAAATTGTTGGTCATATGACTGTAGTTCAGATCGCGTTGGTATCTCATCCAGAGAGCACTGATGGGCTGGAAGTACCGTCTAAGAATGGTATCCTCTCTTGGTTTGGCACACTCTTCCTCCATATACACCTCCAGCACTTTGTAGATCGTGGCCATAGTGGCTTGACCCTTGCTGCATACGTAGACCTGTCCATCAAAGTCGATTGACGGCTGTGGCTCCCAAGTCCTGAGGTAGGACTTGTTGAGTGCATGGCCACATTTTGGACATTGATACTCATTGTCCTCGAGTGCCTTGCAATGATCGCATGTACAATAGATGAATCCATGATATTGGAGAGTGCGTCTGCGGTCTACAGTGGGCAACAATGGGTAACTGAAGTTGCCAGTGATCTCTTCTCCCTCCTTGATCGCCCGGTTGCTATGGTACACAAGCATACAGTGGTTGTCTGTGTAAAAGATTGTGTTTGGCACGCATCCGTTGTTGATCAGTGCTGCGCTGGGGTAGATGCCTTGGCCCTGATCAAAGTTGGTAAAGTCAATAATTGGATGAATATTGGTGAGTGTGCACAGGTCTTGGATGAACGTCTCGTCCAAAGGCTTCAGGTATGAACTACCCTTCAGAGTATTGATCGTGCCAATGATCGACTTGGCTTCCTTGGTGCCATGAGCACTCCTCTCCGGCGTGGCGTAGATATTCTCCCAGAAAGACAGTCTTTCCAAGTCCTCCAGAGTGTCATATATGAATGGCAAATCATCCTCGCGCCACTTTCTTGGTGTGTTCTGTTTGTTGGCCGTGCCGTTCTTGTTCTGTAGTGCTCGGTTCACTGCTCTGTAGACCATTTGAGCTTGAGTATCTTTGTTAACCGAAACAAGCTTACATTCGACCTCGTGTTCCTGTTTTGTTATCTTGTCATTGTGGGACTCTATACATATCTTACTCTTGACCTTTGGGCAAGTGATCACTTCATTGAGGTCTGTGAGTTGAATGAATGAATGAATGTTAACATATTGAGAGAGTTTGTTGATTGATTGAGTGCTTGCACCAACTATAACATACACCTGATATCTTGGTAGCACATGTTGCAAAGCTTGGCCCCTTGATCTGCTTGCAATGATGATGCGAATGGAGCCACTCTCAAAACGACAGTACCCTTGGGTATGTCTTTGGATGCCACCATCTTCCTGCCACCGTATGGCCCATCACCTTCCCATACCATCTTGATTGGGAACTGCTCAAACGTCTTGTCATCTTTGATTGAATGTGAGTCTTGCTGTCATGATCACGTTTCTGTTTATGCTCATTCACCATAATCTTCAGTTCAATCTGCTCTTGAATGTCTTTGATTTGTACATTGGATGTTGGGACCAAGAGACCTTTCTCGAGGAGTGTGATCGCATCCGTTGTTTTCCCAAGCATCATCTTCGCTCTGGACAAGTGAATGTAAGCTTCAACATTGAATGGATCCAAGTCAATTGCCATCTGTGCTGTTGTCTCTGCCTCTGGTATATATCTGTTGGAAGAATGACATCGATAGAGCAGATGCGATGTTCGATGCCAAGATCTTCACAATTGCCAAGTCTACAACCGAACTTTGTGCAATCCTGTCCTTGTGTTGGTCGTAACATTGAAGTGCCATTGAGTAGTATGAGATCGAGAACCAGAACTCATTTGGATCACGTTTGTCGGCATGTTGTTGTCCCAACTCATTTAACCTCTGCATACGTTCAATGACCTCCTCTGTAGTAGAATAGAATACTTGTGTGTGAGAGTGAGTTTGCAAAATTGATTGACAGCCCATCATTGAGCTGCCAGGATGAATCATGGCGGGCGATAGCTCGAACTGTTACAGGGGAACAGTCAATACTTCTATGACAAATAGTTCTGTTCAAATGGAAGGCGCAGACGATGAGAACAACCGATTGATCATGTACAGATCCAGGCACAACGTGGGGACGATAACAGCTACCAACTTGTTAACTAACTAACACTGTGTTGCCAATGGTAACTGCACTGGCGCTTTTATTCAAAGTCCACGCAAGGACTCAATGTTTGACTTGGCTTGACAAGGGAAGGAGTGAGAGAGTGATGGGATTGGTTACATGGGTGGTGCCGAGGGCATGGGAGCGACGGCAGCTGCGGGATGAACGGCCGCAGGAGCAGCCATCTGTGCCATCCATGGATACTGCTGTGAGTACTGTGCGTAGTACTCGGATAGTGCCTGGTTGTAGGCGGCGGCCAACGCCTTGGCCGATTGATACTTGACACCTCCCTGTGAGGCGACTGGGAAACAGTCGTCGCAGACGCGCACAAACTTGGGATAGTTGAGCTTGGTGATGGGTGTTGTCTTGGCTGTGCACTTGCCGCAGAACACCTTCATGCAGTGACGGCAGTGATGCTTGCGATTGAACAGACCAAAGTTGCTGCGACACTTGCCGCAGTGAGCCACGGCAGTCTCGTCCTCCCATGGGTGGCGGTAGCTGACGTCGGGTGGCAGTGGCGCTCCGGGGGGCTGGGGTGGCACGGTAGAGTACAGATACTGTGGCGCGAACAGTGTGAGGGGCAGGGGCACGTGCAGGTCGATGGCGCCCGGGATATCAAACTCAATGTCGAGGATGTATGTTGACTTTACGTGGCCGCCCGAGAGCGACGATGGCTTGAGGTCGACTGGGATGTAGAAGGGGATGTAGCGCTTGCCGTAGTAGCATGGCTGGATGCCTGGGTACTCCTGCTTGTAGACGCAGTGCTTGATGACCTTGGTGTTGTGCTGCGCGCGCAGCTCGATAGTGTGGTGCACCTTGAGCGAGATGCGGCGCGTTGGCTTGACCGATGTGTTGTTGATCTTGAGCTTGCCGACCAGTGTCTCGCCTGGGATGTAGGCGTTCTTGTTCAACCAGGCCTTGGCGACGATCTTGCCCTTGGTCAGGAAGAACGACTTGCGATTCTCGGCAAACGATGGCTGGACCAGCTCGTTGCAGCGCTCGTTGACGACGAGGCGACATGTGTGCTTGAGGTCGTGCTTGTGGTGAACGTCCACGGTGGCCTTGACCTTGTAGAGCACCTTGGCGTAGAAGGGCTGTCCGTATGAGTCCTTGTCCTCCTCGCAGAAGGTGCCGGGTAAGCTGGGCGGCAGCTGGTACTGGAAGGGGAAGGAGTAGTGGCCGGGGTTGACCTGGCCCTGGTGGGGGTAGACGCACAGCGTCGAGCGGAAGAACTCCTTGTTCTCTTTGCACTCGTAGGTGCGCTGCACGCTCTTGCGGTTGCTGCCCTCGCCCTCCCACTCGGTCTTGGTCTCGGTGAAGAAGACACGCTCGAAGCCCTTGAACTTGACCAGCACGCCCTTGGCAAAGAACGGCACGATGCAGTCCATCTCCACTGTGCCCATGAGCATATCACCACCGACATATGACGACTGGCTCATTGTGACCCATATCTTATTCCTATTGTCAATGGGCACGAATGCCTCATGTATAGCACTGACCACTCCACCAAAGAATCCACCTGATGATCCTGTGACACTACTGCCTCCAATGTTGACAGTGAATGACATTATCTATATATTATATATGTATATAAAGTTATTTGTATGATTGATTGAATGATTCGATGCGAATGAAAGAATGATTGAGTGATTCAGTGAGTGATGGAATGAGGGCACTGATCCGTTGTCGGACGGGAGAGGTGCTTAAATGATTGTTTTCCCCCATCAGACAATGGACCAACCGACTCAAGGACTCGTGGCAAATGCTAGCAAACGTCAAAAAACATCCTTTTCTCACTCCACCAACCAAGAATCTGATTGTTTTCTCCAAGACCATCACCCATTCGCACCCTATCCCAATCTCAGCGAATCAAAACTCTAAAAAACGACCATCACTCGGAAAATAGATATTTATGTTTGTAAGCCAAGGGGTTACCAAATTGATCATTTTTGTTGATGACATCACACTTACACTACATTTTGATCATTTATTGGTATCCCTCAAACTTCAAGACTGTTCATCTTATCTTTACATTCACCATCCAATCAATCAAATACCAATACTATAACAATCAATAATGGCAACAGACGACACATTCAGATTGTTGTTTAATAACAATTTGTTGAGAGTTACAATCTTTAAGCATGTTAGTGATATACATAGATCATGGAAACAAATTGTACAATCACACTCAACGATCAAAGGTGCCAAGTTATATAATGATGGTGACCTCGTTCAAATGTTAAAGTACAACGCAACACAATGGTTCTTGGAAGCCTTCACTCGTATCCCTGATCCCAAGCCATTGTCACTTGTCTCACGTCTATTGTTCAACGCATTCAAATATAACAATACTATTGTTGCCAAATATTTGATGATTGGCACTTCAACAAGTTATACAAAGTTGGATGCCATCAGTAGCATCATCCAACATGGCAACACAGAGTTATTCTGCATCCTTTTCAATGTGAGTGGTAGTGCCACTGCCTTTATACTTCCAGCCACTCTACTACTACCCTGCATCAACACTGGCAACGTTGACTTTGTTCGCCTGTTACTCAAACATAACTGTTTCGACAATCTCCAAGAAAACGTTGTCAACCAAGAAACATTGGAGTTGACCAGCCCTCGATGCATCACAGTGGACATGCTCAAGATGTTACACGAGGAGTACAACATATTGTATCCAAGCAAGAATAATGTAGTTTGGTCAGAGGCACTTGAATATAGTATTCGTCACAACCTGCCAGATTGTGTAAAGTACATCATATCAAACATGCCAGAGTTTGTTGACAAACGATATTTGGAAGGCTTACTTGGATTCATTGTGAAGCATACCAACAATGGCAATGTTGAGATATTCGAATCATTGTGCGGCACTGTACTTGGACCAAGGCCACTACTCAATCACCTCTACCTACTACCATTTACCCAAACATCCATTCATCGTGGACACTTCAATATCATCAAACATCTTTACACACTCCTCCAACATCCAAGTGTAAGAGATATCAACACCTCCCAATCAATGACGCTCATCTGTGAATACTTGGGTGTCCCAGTCCCCAGCCCCAACTCAAGTTCCAACTCCAATGATGTGGTGGCCACCCTTACCAAGGGCGCGATCAAAAATGGTGTTGAGGCCATTCTTGCCGAAGACTTTGACCTCACGGTGGCACTCTTGAATGAAGTGGAGATTATTGATGCTGATGTCTGGCACAAGATGTCAATCAAGATGGGGATGTTCATCACTGAACCAAGTCACAAGGACCTTTCACCTTTCAACATTGTATCTTTGGATGGTTTGCTCGAATCATTCTCAATGCCAGGCTGCACGCTCACTCAAGACATCATCCTCAGGTTCATTGACAATTGTCCTTCAACCTTGTATGTTGGGCAACATCATTCAGATGATGAGGAAGACATAAATGATAATGATGAAGGTATTGAATCGCTCAAGTTGGCTGCTGCAATATCACAGGTTGTAGTTAGGAGAATGCACAGTCACTTCAACATCGAGTTCACGACCGATAGTCTGAGAGACGCGTTGATCAGTTCCGACAAAGAGACATTATCGATGATATTTGATCAAGTTGATGAGGACGCTTTGGAGAGATGGTCGAGCCAAATCCCCGATGTATTGTCAGCACTACATCAACTTCTGGCAACAGGCACACTCGAGATGATCACATATGTTCTGTGTGAAATGAAGGATATCCAGTATGATGGGGACGTTATCATTAGTACACTTGCAAGCAGACATCTAGAAGTCGTTAAGTTCGTGTTTGGAATGTTATCATTTGAGGAGATACAAGCAAACATTGAATTGATCATCACTCAGATTTACTGCATGGACAACATTGATGCACTGGCATGGTTTGGAGAACTATTTAATGGTGCTGGCCAGACACTTCCCAAGGCAACACTCCGTAATCTGTTGATGGCGACCAGTGGCAACGCATACCGATTGCTCGAGCTATACTTCCAATCTCCAGATTTCAACAACATGTCCAAGGTACTCAGACATCGTACCATCAACGCCATCATGTACAGTGCACAATCGATAGGAAACACACGTATAATTAACCATTGTCAATCACTGATCAAGCTCATTCAATCAAATAGGAAGAGGTATGTGTATGTTGGTTCATCAAAGCACATCCAAGTACTCACTCACTCACTCATGTAAACTCATTCATAGGGATCGAGACCAGCATGATGTCAAACTGGACGTGAACGTACAAGCATCTGAAAGATTGGAAACAGCAGTCCATAGAGTGTTCATGGATTATAAGATGTCCAGGAAGATCATGGACAATGTTGCAGTCGTCCATCAATCACTTGGTATCACAAGTTGTGTCAAAGGTAGTCGTCTGCTCTCAATGAATAGCCTTGAAGAATATATCAAGTATGGAGCATCTCAATGGTTCCACCAGTCATACCAGGTATTGGACAACATACCACCAATGCATCCCAACACACATTTACTTGAGTTGGCCATGCTCTATCCAAACACATCAATCCTTGATACATTGCTTGCCGATCCAAGGATGGTATTTATGCCCAGCGTTGACTTCTTGGAGAAGTTCATTGACTATCACTCACTATGCGATCGTCCAGAGTGGGAGAGAGTATTGGATCAATACATTGCGATCACACTTCAACAACCAGATCAGGTAGTGATCAGAGAATCCCTTCTTGAACGAATCAAACATCCATCATTCATACGCAAGTTGCTCAGTCTTGGTTGCATAATCAAACCAATAACAGACTATAGCTTGGGTCTAAAGTTTGAGAACCCGTGGCTCACCAGTCCTTGGGCCTTGGAGATGTTCACAATCCTGCGAGAGAACAAATTGATTGATTCCCATTTCCAGCGTGGACTTGTGATGAGGTCAACGCGACTCAACATCCCTTCTATCATCCAATATGTCCTTGATCATATGAATGATGAGGACCAGCAAGGCGACAAATTATACAACAATCCAATCAATATTTGTACCCAACCTAAATGCCATCCTGATATCATTGATTTGGTGCTGCCAACTTTGCCTCCAGGTTGGATCGACAAATGTCAATTCCAAGCGATGCTACGGAGTGTAGCTTACTCTGGCGACACAAACAAGTTTATCAAGTTGCTCAAGTATGATGTATCGGCATATGATGGACTGGTCACCGCGTTAAAATACAACACACACATGGACTTGGTCAACTTCATTCTTAGCAGTGAGCCACCAAGCCCCAACAGCTCATACATTGTGACAGGAATCAACTCGGCAATAATATCGATGGACTTGATCGATCGCTTGGCTTCGCATCCAAATGTCAATTGTAAATTTGACACGATACTAGGATCAGCCATCAGAGCTGGCAAGAGAGATATAATTGACAAGTTTAAGAACTACCCATCGGGAAAGAGCTACATCGATGCTTTTCAACAGGCAATGGCCATTGGAGATTATGCCACAGCAAAGATGATCATCCACTTGGATGGGTTCATCGATCAATCATGGAACTATCGCACAATGATGATCAAGAGGGATTCTCTTGTGTCATCGATTGCCAGTGGACACCTCAGTGAGGACGACCTTGTGGACCTCTTAGATGTGATGGTATCTTCCAGTTTCATCAACCAGGAGGATGTTATAATGCTAATTGATGCGGCATCCAAGAATTCACATCGACATGTCAAGTTGGTCATCAATCACTTTGCCTCCTCGTCATCATTACGATCTCTGAGCGTGCCGATTGGTGACATCCAACGACCAATTCGATCATGTATTGACAGAGGAGATATAGAATCAATTGTATCCCTGGTGGACTTTGCTCAACTAATCACAAGATCTTCCAAACCTTGCCAACTCATTCCAATGGAATCGATATCAAACCCAACGATATTGTCATTTATCCTGGACAAAGGATATTTCAAGTTGGATGACGACTCTCACTTGATGGAGCACTTGGTTGATTTGGTGTGTCAACATGGACATATTGATGTGTTGCGTATGATTCATCAACGATGCTCAACACCTGTGCAACTCAGAAGGTATCTTCCAACATTGATCACTCTACAAAAGACATCGACCAACAATCAATATGATACACTCAGGTATCTCTTTGAGGATAATGAGCAACAGGTATCCCCCTTCAACAATGTTGGCCTTATCCAATCACACTTTGTTCACATCTTGGATGTGGTTGGACTAGCTGCATTGCAACATGGTCACATCAATATCATCAAGATGTGTAATCGTATTAGAACTAAATAAATGTTAGACTCGATCGCTCATTCATTCATTTATTATAAATTGGTTGATATGAGATGTAGAACTGCCGACATGTCCATGAAGCCCATTTGATTGATTGGTAGATCAGAACTGCCTTTGGTTGTGGACTGACATCGGAAGAATAGTTGGTCAGACAGTCGCCTTAGATGGACTTGCTTATCATTTAATGCTTCAAGTATCACAGGTGAATGTAGTAGCCACTCTAGTGTCAATGATGTCAAAGATGGTAACCCTTCGATGATGTGTCCAGGTATTTGAGTCCGAAATAATGTTAAATGACGGATTGATGGAGGTAGTGCTTCAATTGACAATTTGGCCGAACAATGCCATAAGCTCAATGATGTCACTGATTGAGGTATATCACCTGGCATGAGGTCTTGGATTGGGCAATTCCATAACTCTAGACAAGTGATTGATGATGGGAGGCATTCTCTGATAACCTCAACATCTAGGCGGCCACCTCCAAGTGCCAACTCCTCTACACCATATGGAATTAGTGACTTGTTGGCATTGATTATCTTTCCAGTGATGCCTATATCACTGAATACGCGACACTGTCTGAGTGAGGTCCATGGCAGTGATGGTAAATCCATGGTCACATCACCATTCAAGATTTCCAACACTTTGAGGTTGGGATAATTCGAAGCGTCAAAGTAACTGTTCATATTTAGAAATCTAATCGTCAGCTTCCAGAGGCCGGTGAGTGGTCTGTAGGGGAGGTACGAGTAGAGATTCAAACTCCTAAGTTGGGTATGTTTGACATCCCTTCTAAAGAAAGATGGAAGACGAATGGAGGTGAGACTGTTTGGGAGATTGCTGAGATCCTCAGAAAATGATTGATTGTCCCATGGAAAGATGAGTTTGGTGAGCGATGGAGGTAGCAGGCCATTCAGAGGATGACGAAACTCTTGCCCAAATTGTAGTGTCTTGATTGAGGGCGGGAATGTAATCTCTTTGATCGGTTGATTGAATGATATGCTGAGCTTGATTGTTTCGAGCTGCTTGGGTAGTGTTCCAGGTGTGATTGGTTGGTTCCAACGTTTGATCATTGAAAGGTCTAATATCTTCAATCCGTCTGGGAGTGAATTGTCAAGTGAGCCTCTGATATCATTCAAGATGATTAATTCGTTAAGTGTGTTGGGGAGGTAGCCAGGTTGAGGTCTGTAGCTATAAATGATGAGTTTGTTCAAAGGGATATGGTTCATTGATTTGGGCTTTGTTGGCTCAATATGAGAAAGACACAACTTCACTGATCTCGCAACCAAATCCATAAGGAACTCTCTAATATCATTCCATTGAGCATGTGTCACTTCAAAGTATTGATTACAAGCTGAAGTCATAACGAACATCACTTCTTTGAGGTTGGACTTGTTCAATATCTCCTTGATTTTGTCTTGATTGATTGATTGATTGATACATGTATATATGAGTCAGAGAATGAATGAATGAATGAATGTACACTAGGTTGATTGATCACATACCTAATTCTAATGATTGATCTTGTTCATTGATGAACAATACAAGATGTAGATCAAAACGATCTTTGTTGACATTGTACTCATTGTTGATTATATCATTGTAAGAATTGAGATAGTGATTGTCGTCATTTAATATTGCACCAGTGCCCATGAATGTGAGATACTTGTTGCGATGATCATACAGCCTCTTGCACACCATTGAAAAGAACAACCTGTCAACAAACTGATCTAGATAAGATACTATATTTCTTAATATTATTATAGGTAATGACTCCATCTCTATTTTTATATCTGTAAAGTGATAATAGTGTTGTCTTGAATGAATGTGTGAACATGTGGCAGGCCACGATCTTTGATCTTCATTTTGTAATTTCAAATCGAATGGGACAGTCCAAATTTGGGGTGTGGGGGTGGGATAGTTCCAGGATTGATCTAAAGTTGGATATTAATATATTAATGTAAGCCTTGGTTTGTCAACGAATCAAAGTCATTAAGAGACATTATTCCTCCACTTTCGGGGACGGGTATTGGACATTTTAGGAATAGTTGATCGGCCAGACGTATAAACTTGAGGTACATTATAGGTCTGTTCATTATAATGACCAACACCATGTTTGATAATGGTATGTTATCAAGATATTCCTCAACGCCTGCGTTGAAGTACAATGTCAAGTGTCTAACAGTTGGTGGTGGTGGTGCCTCCATTTTCCAAGTGTTGAGACGCAACTCCAATGAAGTGATTGATGGCGGCAGCTCTGAAATCTTGACCTGTCTTACATACCATAGTGTAAGACTTGTGATTGAGGATGGGAACACAAAGCCTGGTTTGAAGCTACATCTGCCCAACTTCAAGGAGTGCACGCCAGAGGCAATGTGGTCTAACTCTTTCACAAGGAATGTCAAGCCAAACATGGCTTTAGAGAAAAGCCTACATCGAGTAAGATTGGGCGTGATCACTCCTTCCAATGTTGTGTCCGCCTTGTCCTTGCGAAAATCTATCCGCAAGCATTCAAGGACTGGGAAGAATGATCGATCATACTGGCTGAGGCGCTCGAGGATCTCAATGCGCAGTCGTTTCATGTTTGGAAATGGTCGACTGAACTTGGGCATCTTGGAATAGATGCGGAGACGCTGAAGTTGTGGATGGTCCAGTGTATCTTCGTAATAGTGTGGCAGACTGATTGATGTGAGGCTGCTGGGCAGGTCCACCAAGTCCTTGCCATACACTGTGTTTTGATAAAAGTCCACACTGGTGATCGATGATGGCAACACTGATTGATTGATCGGTTGATTGAAGCTTGGTCCAAACCTTATTGATCTGAGTGTGGCGGGCAATGTGTTTGGTAGGATACCATCACTGAACATATCGCGGCCCATCAGTAATGTCTGGAGTTGGCGTGGTAGCATTCCAGGAGTGAGTTCTTTTTGGCTAAAATGGGAGTTGGTCGCCAATGTAAGATCCAACGTATGTAGGTCATCGGGTAGTGGTAATGAGCCACTTGGCTCATGTTTGATCACATATGTCTCTTTGACTATTAAGTGTTTGAGAGTGCTTGGCAGTAGATCACCACGCGATGGATAATAATCAGAGACGATCAAACTTGTCAAGGGCAGATGTTTGAGTGAGGATTCTATTGAATATGTTTTCCAACATAGTTGTACGGCACGTGTCTTCACAAGATCAACTAGTGCCGTACACAGTGGATGACTAGGGTTTAACAATGGTTGGTCCCATATCTCGGGACCTTCACCCATAGACAACTCGACCTCCCTAAGGTTGGACATTGAGTTCAACTGATGAATGATTGTATCCACTATGTATGTTTAAATGATTGAGTGAATGATTGAATGAGTGATCGGAATGGTTCCAAGTATGATAGAATGAGTGAGTGATCGAATGATTGAATGAAAGAGAGTACATACCTTGGTTTCCTTTATCGAGTGATAGTAAGTGAATGGTGAAGTGAGTTTTGTTGACGTTGAACTCATTGATGATGTTGCTGTATGAGTTGAGATGGTGTTTGTGAACAGGGTTCACGTGAACATACGTATCGAATAGGTTGATGTACTTATCACGTATTGTAAACAATCTTTTACACAACAATGATACAATCAACCTATCTTCAAACAGATTCAAGTATGATATTATCTTCCTAATGATTATAATTGGAAGTAATTCCATTATGTCTTTATATGTTTATATTTATATCTCAGAGTGCGATCAATCATTTGACATTTTAATAAACAATGATTGAATGGTGGACAGGTCTATGAATCCAAAATCATCTTTGAATTTATGGTCGTCCGCTTGGTCCTTGAGAGGCACGTCTAACTTGTTGTATCAATGTGTCCATGTCAATGAAGCCATAGCCTTGTATCGACACCTTTTGATTGTTCTGAATGGTCGGACACCGGAAGAACAGTTGATCAGTCAGTCGCAACACTTTGAAATAATAATAAGGTGAGCTCATCGTTAGAGATGTGATTGCATTTGGTAGTTGTTGGATCGTGGCGTCTAGATTCCTTTGGATTGTTCGACAATCAATATCAAGACTGCGCAGTGACAGTGGAAGGACATTGATGATGAGCCGTGTTTGGAACAGCTGCAATGATGTGACGGAAGATGGGATGTCGCCTGGCTGCAGGTCATCAACACATGACAGTGACAAACTTGTGATTGTCAATGGCAAACAGTTATCTATCGTACAATGACTGAGGTAGAGCTTCCCAACGGACAATGATGAGATGTATCCAATGGTATTCAGGCTTATTACATTAAAGAATGATAGCTTACAATTTTTAAGACGAGTCTTTAACATTGATGATGCGATCAGTTGTTCGGCAAAGTTTCCAATCGAGAGACTTTCGAGGTTTGGAAAGATTGATACGTCCAGGCTGCAACCCAACGACTTGATATCTAGTCTTTTAAGATTGTGTAATGGTCTGTTGAGTGTTGGTACGACTGAATGAACATACAGATGGAGCAGTGGAGGATGATCAATTGCTGGAGTAGTGAATCCTTTTGGTAAATGAATGGTGGTGAGGCTTTGTGGGAGGTTGATCAAGTCATAGTCGTAGCTCGGGTCATTCGAGAGGTCCAACATAGTGAGTGATGATGGTAATACTCCACTGAGTGATTGATTGAATGATGAACCAAATGTAATTGTCTTAAGTGCAAGAGGTAATGAATGGGCTTGTAGCACATGGTTAAAGTCCTGGCTTAGACTTAGTGACTCAAGTGTGATTGGCAATGACCCAGGTGCAATGGGCTCTTTGTAACTCCATCTTGCAATGTCCAGCGTCTTCAAGCTTTCAGGTAGTATTTGAACGAGTGAAGATTCACGAAGTGGGCCAGTTGCAAGACAACCTGGTCCAACATTATCGCTCATGCTCAAGTGTACCAATGGCACTTGACGGATTGTGAATTGATCACCCGTATCAATCAACATAAGGTCCAATTGTACTGATCTCTCATTTAGTTCTGCCAGGACTGCAATGATCTCACCCCACTGCGGGTGCGACTCTGAGAATGGATGTTGATATTTTGAAGTCTGATGCACCTCAGTCTTTGCTGGGGATCGCCTGCCTCTCCTCCTTCCCCGAGTATCAATGAACTTTACATTCTTGAGGTTGGTCATGTTCAATGATTGTTTGAACTTGTCTGTATATGTATGTTTGTGAGTTAGGTAATGCCATGACATGACTTGCTTGTCGATGATAGTTGGACTTACTTACCCAATGAGAATGATTGATCGTCTTGTATAAAGTCATCGAGATTGATTACAACATCACTCTTGTTGTCAATGAACTCTTTGTTTATCAATTCATTGTATGAGTTTAGACAATGATCTGTATTCTTCTTTTCAAGCATATATACATTTGTATCTAAGAAACTAAGATATCTATCTCTATTCTCAAACAATCTCTTACATAATAATGATACAAATAACCTATCTTCAAAACTATCTAAATATGATACTATTAGTCCAATAATAAGTAATGGTAATGACTCCATTCATTCATTCATTATCTTTATCTCTATCTTGTTTGTGTTTGAGTGAATGAATGAATGGGCGAAAGAGCGGTTTCATCCACGACCAAGTCAACGGAAAATTCTAAAAATGACTGAACTTGGCAAGTTCGTTAACTTCAACTTCATTAATAATATGATGAGATCATTGAGGGCAGTGTATCTTTGTCAATGAATCCATAATAGTTGGTCCATAGTCCATGTCTGAAGTAATGTCGATCATCCAATCTTATAAGATTGAGTGTACCTCCTATTAATGTTAATTCCAATGTGATTGATCCGATTGTTGTTGGCAGCTGATTGATGATGGCACCCTTATCATGAGCACCCCTGTTCAATGTAAGATCGGTAACTGATATAGGCAGTACATTTACATCCAACAATGTGTCATGTTTGATACTCAATGATGTAACTGAATGAGGTATATCACCTGGCTTCAAACCAACTGGATATCTAAGTTCAAGACGTGTGATTGATGATGGCAGACGTCTAAAGTAAGGACTGGTTTGAGCAAAGTCACATTTGGCAAGTGCCAACTTGGTCACGCCGAATGGGATGGGAGCTAACATTGGTGCTGGATGCCCTCCGCGGTTCAATCGGCAATGCTTCAGTGTGCCCGACAACTGTTGCACCTTTGACAAGTCCAACACCATATCTCCATCATAGATCGACAGCCGAGCGATGTTTGGAAACAGTGATGCATCAAAGTTGGTTGAGTCCATCAAGTAACTGAACGCCAACTTCTCGAGCCGAGGGAATGGGTGTCCATGTGGGACATGAGAGTGAACCTGTAGACGTTGAAGAGGAGGATGGTCCAGTGCTTGTTGAAAGAATAGAGGCAGTTGGATTGATGTTACACTCTGGGGCAGGCTCATGAGGTCGTGTGAGTAGCCTCTGGTCAGCGTTAGATCGAGGAAGGTAAGTGAGGGCGGCAACACCCCATTGAGAGGATGATTAAACGACCAACCAAATGTGATCGACTTGAGTGACAATGGCAATGAGTGTGCTTCAATCACTTGATTGAAACTACTCGATAGCTTGAGTGTCTGTAGACTGCTCGGCAGAGAGCCTTCCGTGATCGGTTTGTTCCATTGAAGTGAAGAGACGAGGTTCAATGTCTCGAGGCCATCGGGCAACACATTGTCCAGGGAACCTTTGAACGTTGGCGGTAGTGATAGAGACTTGAGTGACGTGGGCAGATGATGTCGTAGAAGATCAAAGCGATGTTCAGATCTGAGAAAGTTGATACGAGACAAGTTGGCCTGGCGTAGCTCAATTGACGGAGATAGAGTTTGATACAACGTCAACTCAACCTTCCTGTCATTGACCAACTCATTCAACACATCACTTATCTCCTTGCAAAGAACATGTCGTTCACTGAATGGATGAAATGAACCTGCAACCTCTCCAGCATTGCGGAATGTTACCTTCCTAATATTAGACATGCCCAATGTCTGTTTGAACCTATCTATGTGTTGCGCGATGTCAGTCATGTCTGTCCATTCAATCATTCAAGTCATTCAATGACATACCCAAATAGAATGAATAATCGTCAACATTGATGAATGATTGAATGTCGATGTCACAGTGTAGAGGGTTGATGTTTAGCTCATAGTTGATGATATCTTTGAATGAGTTTAATCGATGTCTTTGAGTGAGATATGATCCTGACTTGGTATTGACAAAGCTGATATACTTGTCTCGATTATCAAACAATCTCTTGCACACCAATGACAAGAACAAACAATCAACAATCTCATCCAAGTATAATACAATCCTCTTCAATACAATAATAGGTAATATATCCATCTATCTCTCTCTCTATCTGTTTGTTTGTTATTATTTGTTTGAAATTGGAAAATGGAAACAATTAAGTTTGATCAGTTGAGACCATGGTCTTGTTGTTGTGAGGCTGATTGAGGTATGATGATAAGAGTATGGGTAAGTTGGTCATGGTAATGAATCCACAATCATTGAGCCATTGTCCAGTTCTAAAGAATATTTGATCAGTCAATCGTATCAACACCATCTCGTAATTTAAATTCCATCCAGTCAATATTATTCTGATGATTGATTGCGGTAGTCGTTTTATCGTTTCCATAACATCATGGTCAACATTACCAAAGTTTAACGCAATCTCTCTAACATTGACTGGAAACAACATATTAATATTGTTGACGATATCATCCAATGATCTTTTTAAATCCATTATTTTTAGATCCAATGATGTCACTGATGATGGTAGGTCGCCTGGTCTCAACTTGAAGATTGAGTGATCAATTGAGAGTCGGGTGATTGATGATGGGAGGAGTGACCCGGGACTGGCCAGCTGAGACAGTTCACATCTTCCAAGGATGAGCTCCTCCACACCAAATGGTATTGGTCCAGTGATTATCGTTGATGGTGCATTAGCCTTGCCCGCACAGTATACCCGGCAATATTTGAGAGTGGACCATGGTAGCGATGTCGAGATGTCAATTGGCTCACCTCCATGATTGATTGTTAATCGGACGAGGTTTGGTATGAGTGGTGGTGTTGATGATGATGAGAATGAGTGATCGAGGTCACTGACCTTCTCAAGATATTTGATATATAGCACGGTTAGTTTGGGGAATGGATGACCGGTGGGCACGTGAGAGTTAACGTGTAGTTGTTGAAGGGGAGGATGTTTGAGTGAATGACGGAAGTTGGGTGGCAATCTGATTGTGGTGAGACTGGAAGGGAGGTTGGTGAGGTCGTGGGCATAGACTCTAGGGCCAATTGAGAGATCTAGTGACGTGAGAGATGGCGGTAACACTCCATTGAGTGGCTGATTGAAGTTTGATCCAAACATTATGGACCTGAGTGACGAGGGGAATGTGCCGGACTGAATCACCTGATTGAAGCCCGGCAGGCTGATGGAGCGCAGTTGGTTTGGTAGTGAGCCAGGCTTGATGGGTTGGTTCCATTTATATGCTGGTAAGAGGTTCAATATATTCAAGCCATCTGGCAACAGGTCGTCCAGTGTGTCACGGAAGCTTAATGGCAACACGAGATACTTGAGTGTGTTGGGTAGGTGGTGTCGCTGAAGATTGAGTCTGGAACCATCCGAATCAAATGTCAATCTTGTCAACTTTGCATTCTGAAACACTACCAATTGATTGCTTGATACACTCCTTATTGACGTCTTTACATTCCTCTCATACAAATCATTCAATACATCATATATATCACTCGACTGTGGATGTGATTGATCAAATGGATGATTCGGTCCAGAGTAGCTGAAGGATACTTCCTTTAAATTGCTAATGTTCAATGTCTCTTTGAACCTATCTATGTTTGATTGAGGAATTGGAATGATTCCAGTGAGTGATCAAGTATTAATGAAATGAGTGATAGAGTGATTGGATTGATTCCAGTGAGTGATCGTTCTATCGAGTGGCGAGTGATCGAGTGATCGAGTGATCGAGTGATCGAGTGATCAAGTGATTGGAATAGTTCCATTAGCGACCGAGTGTGATTGAGGACATACCGACTGAGAATGATTGTTGACCACTGCTGACATCTTGATTGATGAATGATGTGAGGTCTAGATCTAGTTGACGACAGTTGATCTTGTATTCATAGTTGATTATATCTCTGTATGAATTGAGATTATGTTGGTCCACGTTTGCAGTCATACTCTCTTTAGTATCTAGGAAACTGATCAACTTCTGTCTATTCACAAACATCCTCCTGCACAACATTGTCATAAACAATCGATCAACTACACTATCAAGATGTAACAATATCCTCTGTATAACAATCAATGGTAATGACTCCATTCTTATTATATGTATTATTATTATTTGTTTGTTGATTGATCGATTGATTGAATGATTGAATGAATGGATGATGGTCCAGTGATTAAGGTGGCAAAATAGTTGTGAAATGAATCAAGATATTTATTTGATCTGATCATGGGATAGTTCCAGTGTGGTGGGGGGAGGACCAACCGAGTCAGATCAGACCATCGACTTCACAATAGAGGTAAGATCAACAATGAATCCATAATCCTTAACATATTGAGAAGTTGTGTTGGTTGGCAATGAACATTTGAAGTACACTCGCTCTGATAGACGTCTGAGGTACACTTCATTGGCACCTGCGCGACATGGACCAAGTGTCAGCGACACGATGGACAATGGCAAGGGATGTTTGAGGACCAGGTCATCCATCCCCAAAACATTATCCAATGTAAGATGTCGTAGTAATGGCAGACATGTTGCTGACAAAACTCCAGGATCCAAACTCTGCACATCATAATGATAGAGCCCAAGACTGGTGACTGATTGTGGGATGTGACCTGGCTTGAGATTCTCTACATTGTTCATCCTCAATGTTGTGAGTGAGCACGGCAGGCTGCCAGCGGGCACATTGATAAAGTTGCAGTTGCCAAGCTCCAACTCCTGGACCCCGAATGGGATGGGCTTTGAGATACTCGAGGTCATTGCCTCTGGGCCAATGAGCAGACTGGCAAATATGAGAGATGACCAAGGCAGTGTTGAGATGTCCAAGTTATGCTGGCTCGCGCCAATATACAGGCGCTCAATGTTTGGAAAGCGCGACGCGGGGAATTCCTTGCTCTTTAGCAAGCCCATTTTAAGGAGAGTGAGCTTGGGGTACGTGTCGTTGTTCGACGGCATGAAGAGGAGCAGGTCCAGGCTTTGAAGAGGCGGGTGGTTGAGCACGCGACTGAAGGACTCGGGCAGACGGATCGAGGTGAGGCTGGCTGGGAGGTTGGTCAAGTCGTGAGTGTACTGTCCAACACGGACGAGGTCGAGGTGAGTGATTGATGATGGCAAAGCTGTGCCACGGAGTGATTGATCAAACGATGCTCCGAGGCTGAGTGATCTGAGTGTTGATGGGAATGTCTTTGACTCCAAGATTTGATTGAATCGATCGTTGAAGATGATCGACTCGAGCTGGCTTGGCAAGCTGCCCGGCTTGATGTAGGCATTGAACATGAAGAGCTCCGAGATGTTCAACTCCTTGAGTCCAGGAGGCAGCATCTCGATCAATTTACTCTTTGGCTCTTTGTGGCCACCAAGCGAGAGATGAGTGACGCTGCTGGGGAATGGGTTATCATACACATGATCTACAACACAACATAACTTTGTCAAATGTAGATGGGCCATTGAAGGCAATGTAACCGAATCATTGACCAAATCTAATTGGACTGATCTGGCCGCCAACTCATCCAGTACCGTCTCCATGTGATCCCACTGAAGATGAAATATCGCTAAAGGATGTATCAAGCCAAGCCTGTATCGCAAGATGGACACTCGCTTGATCGCTGGGTTGCTCAGACTCTCTCTAAGGCCCTCTGTGGACGTGGTTTGATCGTTCAGGTTAGGTCAAGTCTGGTCAGTGCAGTGATCACTTGATCAAGTGACAAACAACATACCAATGTCGATTGAGCAGTCAGATTGGAAGAAGGCAACTAGGTCCACTTCGTAGGTAGTTGATGATGATTGTTTGGTGGCATTGTTGATGATCGGTTTGTATGAGTTGAGGTAGCAATGATCCTTACTTCTCATGTACACATTGGTACCGATCAAGTTGAGATACTGCTGTCGGTGATCATACAGTCTCTTACAGACCAACGTCACAAACAGTCTATCAACTAATCTATCGAGGTATGATATTATATTACCTACTATCAACAATGGTAATGTATCCATCTTGTTTATATATATCTAGAGTGATTGATTGATTGATTGATTGATTGATTGATTGATTGATTGATTGATTGATTGATTATGTATTTGATTGATTGACTGATTGAGAGAGTGAGTGATTGGAAAGATTCCTTAATCAATCGTTTTTTAAGTGTCTTAGTCGTGATTCTTGTTTGCCACCAACAGATATTTAATGAATGAGTGACAGAGATAGTGACAGTGAGAGTGACGTTGATGGCGACTACACAACAACAGAGTTGAGTGATGAAGCATTCAGAGAGTTGTTGCTACCCAAGTTCATCAGCGATGACCCAGTGTGTCCAATTTGTAACATATCATCAGGTATATATATGATTGATGAGCTTGATGATGATGACAACAGCTAACGATATGAATGAATGAAGGATAGATTGCGAGTATTACACTGAACACATTCAAGACTGCTCTGCGAGGTTGATGTTCGAGTTGGTGGAGAGGGAGAAACAACCTTCGATTAATGGTGGGCCACTGTTGAAGAAGATACTTTACAATGCATTGGGACTATACTGTGAGGACATTGAAGAATGCAGGTGGCAAGCCAGACTGAATGGGAAGCATCATGTCGGCCGATGGCAACGACATACCATTCTCAGTCGCTGGAGTGATCCAAGTTGGCGGAGAGGGCATATATTCTAGTGATTGCCGCATCTTTATCAATGGAACTAAGATTGGCTCAAAGTTTGACATTGGCCATACATTTGCTTGGAGATGGGACAAACGTAACCTATATGATCATGTAATGTCCATAATGAATTGCGTATAACATTATATATAACCATCCAATAATTATCTATCTCTTACTTATTAATACACTGAAGTGCATACTTTCAAAGAATGACAAACAAATGAAGGGTACACCCAAAACATCAAGTTGAAACCCTTCATTTGTTTATCATTCCATTCACAATTATAACAACAAGAACAATGAATAGTACACCATATATACCAGAGTTGATAGCAAGATCAATATATTTATTGTTGAATGATGAGATGGATATAGTCTGTCTATCATTAACATGTAAAAGATGGTATTCTGTACTTTACAATATGAATGCATTGTTCACATGGTCTAAAGGTAGTTTCAAATGCACTTGGAACAAGGTCAATAAGAATTCAATCTATGATTGGGTAGAGAAAACAAGACAAATTCCTCTTCAAGATCCAAAGTACTTCCATTATATACACGGTGGAACATTGCCCTATCAGTGGCCATCAAACACAATCACACAATTGACATTGGGTAAAAGTTATGAACAAGATATACATGAAGGCATGCTGCCCAAGTCTCTCAGGTCACTCGTGATCAGTACACCCAGGTTGTTCACACTCCACCCAGGCTCATTACCAACCAAGTTAAAGACACTCATTCTTGGGCCATACTTTGACCAATTCGGTGTGTTGAGCATCATCCCAAGGTCACTGCGTGTACTGATGTTTGGACCACGCTTCAATCAAGCCCTTGAGCCAGGCTCACTACCTCCCAAACTTCGTTCATTGTACTTTAACTATAGTTACCAACAAGTGATCCAACATGGTGTCTTGCCCACAACACTTCAAACCTTGAACTTTGGACACTCTTTCAACCAGCGTATCATGCCTGGGTCACTACCGCCATCACTAAAGACCATTATCTTGTCAGATTCATTCAATCAGAAGCTGTTGGCTGGCTGCCTTCCTGAGTCCCTCTCATCATTGTCGTTTGGAGAGAGCTTCAACCATGACAGAGAGGCTCAATGGAATGTTGAGAAGCTAGAGTCACTGGGGATTGATCGAATCGATGACATGCCATTTCAAACACAGAGCGGAGGATCACAAGTATATGGTTCCAGTTTCAAACAGTCACCCAAGAATGTTGTCCTTCCAAGCAGTCTCACGACTCTGTCTGTGGTCTCAATACATCAACTCATGTGGTTGGCTCAATCTACAACATCAATGATCATTCTGGATACGGTGGAGGTGCGTCAGGCTGTATATATACATAATCCAAGGATTCTTTCGGAATTGAAGCCGTTGATGAACATAAGTATCAAGACTCTGATTTTTGAAAGACATTATTCTGTTACAGAATCATTGAGATCCTTTAGGTTTGTTGCCAATTTCGTTCCATTGGTTCAAACTTATAAGCAACACTTTCATATGCATGGGCTGGTCTTTATCAACATTGCCACTTATCGCCATATTGATAACAACACCGCATTATTCCTTCATCGAGATGAAGTATATGAACGATTATACTATGTCAATCATAAGCCAGGCATTGAGCCAAATACTTATGAGCCATTATATCAAAAGAAACAATCAAACTCATCATTGTCCAAGTTTGGACGATCAATCAAACAACTGTTAATGATCAATAAACTTCCAAAGAAGAAGTAAGTAAGTAAGTTCGGAAACTAAGTAAGATCTAACCTCTGTTTTTAGTAAAGGTATCTGTATCCCTCTCTTTCATCCTGCTCCTGCGTCTCCAGTGTTAGTTTCTTGACAATACCACCGGACCAAGTCGATAAGTATCAAGTCACCTCATTGAACAAGAATAGTAGGAGGTGCTGATTACCCATTCCCTAATCGCCAGGGACATGCACAGGTTTCAGTTCTTCACTAATCAAAAAACGTGTGGAGTGTGGGGGTGATGGAATGATGAGTGTGTGAGTGTGTGTGAGTTGATCAGTGCAAGCTGGCACACCTTTTAAAAGGGCCACCAATTGCCAACAACAACAAAGTATTACCTTCACCAATTATAATTATACGTATAACATATATACAAATAATAACCGAACAAACAAACAAACAATATATAGAAATGAAGACCATTTTGATAATTTCATTACTTTTGATAGTTGGTAGGTTGATGTGATGAGATCGACCGAGGCCTTGATCAGTCCTGCCAAGTGTATATATGCATACTAACAAACACATATATTATTATAGTATCACTATCCAATGCCTATCAATATGATACATCATCAACAGCACCAAATGTCACTGGATGTGCTACTAGAACATCATGCTCAGACTGCACAAGTGACACTGATTGTGTCTGGTGTCACAGTGCCGCCAAGTGTACCTCTGGCTCATTCTACGGCTCCAACCCATTGGACACCTGTCGCGATTTCATGTGGATGCAGTGCAACATGAAGGGTATCTACACTCTTTTGATCTCTGCCGGTATCCTGTTGGTGATCATCTTGTTCTTCATTGCTCTGATATGCTGCTGCTGCCGTCGTCGCAAGACCGTCATCTACAACAACACCTACACCATCCAGGATGATGAGGCCAAGAACCTCATCTCTTCGACGCCTGTCACCGATCAGCGTCGCGAGCAGATGAGAATGAAGTATGGAGTTGGTTCATACCAGAACAGCAGCTCGTCCTGGAACTAAGGTCATCCAGTACATGCACACCTCCCCTCAACTCCCATGTTTGTAAATACAAATAAAGACCGTCTTAGTTGTTTAGAGTCTATAATACATTCATTCATTCATTCAATCATACTTTCCCTCGAGGACGAACTTGTCGCAAAGCTGGATCACTTTGAGGTTGCCATTCTTGAAGGCAGAGTATCTGGCATAGTTGACAGTTCGAACAATGAGCGCTGAGTTGGATGTCATTGACGACGAATCAAACAATAGATATTGGATGATTGGTAGGTGGTTCCTTTTGGCCGCCCGACCTAATGAGTGCTGTGTTGGTAGCATTGATGGCCATTGGGTATGGATGTACTTGATCGCATCGAGATTACCACTCTCACATGCTTGATCAATCACTCTTTGGATATATCTTTGTTTGTCCACCAGAATATCCAGATATTGATTGTCCACCAGTAGTTGAAGTACTGTTGGGTCCATGATTGGCGACTTGAGGATGCTTTTGATGAGCACAGGCAAGGGTGAGCTAGAATCACTCTTGGACACGGCCAACTGAATGAGATTACCAACATATTGATACTGTCCACGTGATACCAGTAGACAGATGACCTCGACAATGTCTTGACAATTGATGTGCTTGGAGATCAATTCAATCAATATATCATTGCTCTCGATAAGCTTATTCATCGCCAATGACCCGGATGTAGCAAGCCTATGAAAGGTCTGTGAGAGACGAGTGCCATTTGGAATTCTGACTCCAGACCATGTGTTGATGAATGCTACCACGACCTTCTCAGTCATCATGGTGCCAGGCCAATCGACTGCATCCACAATGTTGTTTAAGTCACCTACAGTGATGGACCGACTCTTTGCTTGGAGGTTCTTGACGATCATCTCTGCAATTTCTGGACGCACCCCATTCCACATGCACGGTAACTCCTCTCTGCCAAGACCAATTGATATCTTGTTTGGCATAGGCAAGTAGATTCTGTTCGAGTCCATAATCATCCTCATTGTGATCGTGTCTCCAACATAGGCTGCAGTGCTCATTGCGTGGCAGTAGTTTGTACTGATTGGACATTCATCATTGATTTGGTTGTCCAAAAAGTCGATGACAGTCCTGTCTCCAATTACAATGGCTTCAGACATGACTAGACTGAACGTGCATTTGAATAACTGGGGCAGGGCCATCAGACTCTTCAACAATGTGATCGATAAAACACTTTGGTGGATACAATCAATCTTGAGTGGTTCATTCTTTGTATCGAACTCCGTGACCAGAAGTTGTGCCAGAAGTGCCTCCAACAAGTCGATATGTCCATACTGAAGGGCAACCCTGCAGCCAGCTGTTAGTTGCCTTAAAGGGATGTGTGGCAACAGGATGTTGAGCATCTCAATGTGTCCACCTTTACAACATCTATGGACTAAATTGTGACCAATCTTAATTTGATGGGCCATATCGCCAAAGGATTGCTCGTTGATGATGTATTGCACCAGGCCCGTTGCGCTCCTCTTGAGTGCCTTTCCAAGCAATGTGTTTTTGTTGATTATACTCAGCATATCATTGACGTCCATCAATTGGAACATATCCACTGCCCATGGCTTGGAGATCCATTTGACATGTTGGAAGTTGAACTGGTCGGAGAAGGAGCCGACTCGGGCGCCAAGTGATAACAATCTTTGAAGGAATTCAGGATGCTCTATTGCGATCAAATAGTTATCACCTTCAATGATTATCTGTTCGTTGGATGTGACCGACATGATCATGTCCAAGATGTCTGACCAATGTGGATTATCACACGACGACAAGCCAAGCAATGCTGTTACTATGGTCGTGACTTTGTTCTTATAATCAAGTGACATTGATGGATGTTTGAGCAAAAGAACCAAAGCATGATAGTTGTGATGGACAAGTGCTGCCTTGACCAAATGATGATTGATTGATCTTGTTGCTAATGGATGGGACATCAAGTCGTCCAATGACTTGGCGACCCAACTATTGGCACCAAACTTGATATAAGATAATAGTGATTGGCTGTCCCAAAGCTGACGTCCTTTCATCAAGTTGGACTCATCAATCATCAAACAAGTCCTATGTATCCTTCCAACATGTCCAAATATGATTGAGGATAGCTTAGCATCAGTAAGAACCAAGTGTATCTTTGACGATGATCCTGTTGTCGCCACCTCTGGAGTCTTGATAGCACTACAGAGTGATTGAGTGTAAGTGTGACTGTGGAGGAGGTTCGTCAACAATCTCAATGACATACCTCACATGATCATTATCTGGTTTGGTGGATGGGATGAGTTTGGCACACATTTGAATGATGCGTGTTAGTCCACAATCGAATGCAGTTTGATTGATGGTGTGCAGTGATCTGAGCAGTTGACCATTTGAAAGGGTTTGGAATGACGATGGACTTGTAACAAACATGTACTCTAGTGATCGATATGAGTTGGACTCTGCTGCCTTTTGAAGTTTGGACAAAGTGGGCATTGGAAACTCGACTAGGTCATCATTGATATACTCTCTCAAAGCTCTCAAGCTGTCTGGCTTATCATATCTGATCGCTTTGTTGATGATTGACCTCAAATGCTTGGTCAATGATTCAGGTGAATGCATGTGCATCACATGTAGGAACACCTCCAATGTGTTACGAACGGCATAGGCACATTGGAGTGGTTGCAGCTCGTTGGGAAGACGTTCCTTAATGAGGGATATCGCTTTGATTGAGCCAGATGTCATTAATGCCTTCATGGACTTGTGCATACTTGATCGCTCAATATAAAAGCCATCGGGTTGATTGAGTAAGAACTCCATTGTCTCGAAACATGATCGCTTGATTGATCGTGCCAGACAATATCCATCATATGATTCATTGCTGACCCTATTGAGCTCCTGCATGAGAGGTAGTGAGATGCCAGCCGCCACAACCACTGGTTCGCTAAACTCCGGAGCGAGATAATGATAGCCTCCAACTTGAGGGCATTTGCTGAGAAAGGTGACGGCCTCGTTCACGGTCAGCTTGCCTTTTTTAACATACTTGATGATGTAATTGAGCTGCCAGACACCGATGCGACGTGGAATGTTGGGGCGACGCGTCGCAAAGTACCTGCACTGTTTCAAGCTGATGTTGCTCCAGACTGGAGAGTCCTCACCAAAGGAATTAGGGTGGGCGTCGAGAATGGCGTCCGCTCTGAGGTAATCACGCGACTTTAGGGCGCCCGTGAATGCATCGGTGTTCATTCGATAGAGATACTGGGATGCCTGTAGCTGGTCGATCTCGCCATTGTGTATCGTGCCTATCAAATCATTGAGGAGAAATCCATCACTTGGGATCCGGGTCGGGCCAAATGAGTGAAGATACTCAATGATGTGAACATGTCCTCTCCGAGCTGCGCATCTGATCGGTTGCTTGTAGTCCCAGTCTCTCGCATCAGGAAACTGCATGAGAACTTTGAGAGTGGCCAGGTAACCATGTGTGGCACAATGAAAGACGCCCTCCTTCACCTGCCCGACATGTTTGTTGTTGGTGCCCGGCTGAGTGTTGTCCATGAGATACTTGATGGTGTCGGTGCTGTCACACATGAAGCTGGTGCGGAAGACTGTGTAGCGAATGCCTTCATGATTGAGTATGCCAAGTTTGTGGAGCATCTCGACCATGCTGAGCTTGATGTCGGCGCAAGTGAGCTCAATTGATTGGTTCTGAGACATCCCGGTACACAGGCCAAGTTGGTGTATAAGTTGTACAAAGTGTTCGTCGCCGTGGTTGACGGCCCAGAGTATGTCATCAGCTTGGAGGTGGCATCCACTCTCCAATATGTCGGATACACTTCGCACTGCGTTAACCAAGTCTGTTGAGCCACTCTTAATGATGTCCAATATTATAGTCTTTGTATCATTATCAGGATCATGTACCAACAACATGTTCATGTTGTTACTAATGAGATGACTGAATGCTCTTTGATCATTATAATGTATTGCTGCAGGTAATAATGTAATGTTGATAGGGTATGTATTTGAAGGTATATTGTTGAATGTTGTAATGAACATTGAAGTAGCTTTGTACTTTAACATCTGTATAAGGTTGCCATCTTGATGTAGTTGTTTGCCTTTGATCACTGATATCAATGTAGTGAGCTTGCCACTTGACGACCTTGCACTTGCAGTCAACACCTTATTATCAATATATTGACGATGTATCCAACTGATATATTCAAATATCAATCTCCACAACAACTTATTGTTGAATACTGAATGACATGCAGTATCCATGTTATGTTTTGGTTATGACTTGTGTAGACGTGAAGTTGGAAGTTGAGTGAATGAATKGGGGGATGTGGGGGATGCTCATGACTATCTTCCAACCTTTTTCCTCAAGACCTAGAACAAGGGGCATGCTCTACCATAATGTCAATGAATGGATAAGTGATTGATTGTTCAAAGGTTGATGATGGTACATGGATTGGATGGGGAAAGGACGTCCATCCACAACATATTGAGGACGCAATCAACTTCTAAAAAATGCCCAACTGGTTGGGCATCATAACAATCATGGATGGATTAGATACCTTCCCTTTTGATGATCTGGTAATGATCAATCATGGATATGATTGATTGATCGAATGGATATTATATAATATAGAGTTTGATTTATTACCAACATGCTACAACATCATCATGTTTGTATGATCAATCAAAAACAATTTATGTTGTTATTTTTAATCATCGGCATCCATTGGTCCTTGCTTGGGTGGCTTGGGTCCACCGGCTGGCTTGGACATGATGATCTGATCGACTCGCAGAACGGTGGTGGCAGTGTTGGTGGCTAGGTTGAGAGCGTACTGCTTGCCAGCAAAGAGGTCCAACACCTCCATCTCGAGTGCGCTGCGTGAGAGACCGGTCTCAATGTCGAGACCGTGGTCGGTGGTGCCCTTGGTGTGCGCGGCGTAGATGTTTGAAATGATCTTGGTGGCATCGTGACCCGATGTCTCGGCCAGAGTTCTGGGGATGATCTCAAAGGCCTCGGCGTAGGCCCTGATGGCGTACTGGGCCAGGCCTGGTGTGGCGTCGGCAAACTGCTGCAGCTGACGTGACACCTCCAGCTCAAAGGCGCCGGCTCCGGCGAGGAAACGTCCGTCCTTGCACATGCCCTTGAACACGTTGACTCCGTCGTCGACGGCGCGCTCAATGTCGTCCAGGATGTTGTTGGTGCTGCCACGGATGACAATCGTCGAGATCTCAGACTCCTCGCGGGTCTGTCTGAATATGACACACTTGGAGCTGCCGACCTCCTGCACCAGCACCTCATCACAGTAGCCAAGCTCCTCGGGGATTGGTGTGCCCAGCTTGACCAATGGTGTAGCGCCAACAGCTTTACACAGTCTTCTCAATTGGAATTTCGATGGAAGCTTGACCAACATAATCTTGTGTCTCTCTATATAGTGCATTGCCAACTCTGATACCGATGATCCAGAGATAATAACCTTGATTCCAGCTTGTGCAATACCTTCAATTGTCTGTTATATATGTTATGTGTTTGATTGATTGATCGGAATGATACCATGATTGAATGATTGATTGATTGATTGGGCGTGAGTATGTGATTGACTTTGAGTCGCAAGCTACACTACATACAAGTCTGATCGAATCCTCCTCACCTCTGGAGAAGCTCAACAAGTCGGTATCGTTTGTAATCAACACCTTGCCAGTTGTCTCTGTCTTTCCTATATCGATTCCGGTTGCGAATACGGCAACCTTGGCCTTATCGACACGCTTGATGGTGCCCTCGGAATCGCCTGGCACGACGAGACCCTTGACGACGGTGGTGTCGCTGACGCCTCCGCCCGGCACCTTGGTGACACGCACGTTGTCCACGTTGAAGTTGCTTGGCTTCTTGGGCAGCACCTGAATGCAAGCCTTGCCAATGATCTCCGAGAGGAACGACTCGTAGCCGTACTGCTTGGAGGCCAGCACCGACTTGAGGCACTTTCTGACCTCCTCCAATGATCTGACGTCCTTGATCGTGTAAATGACCAAGCTCTCGATGATGCTCTGTGCCTTCTGACCGGCCATATCATAGCCGTGAATGATCTCTGATGGATGCAGTCCCATCTCGAGCAATGCTGCAGCCTTCTTTAACAATTCTCCTGAATAGTGTAACAACAAAGTTCGTTCCATCTCCAATCTATGATTGTTGTTGTTATGTCAGTAACCTGTAATCTCTGATCAATCACTCAATCAATCAATCATTCAATGATTCGTACCTCTTGCTCCTGCATCTGTGCAGCCAACACGAGCATCTTGGCGGCTGGATGCATGACATCGAGCTCCTTGATGATGGTGGCAGCGTCGTTGGTGACGAACAACTTCTCGAGATGATTGATGATCATCTTGTTCATTCCATTTGGTCCCATAGAGGTACGAGTGATCTCTGCCAACTGCTTGGCAGCGTCGATATTTCTCAAGATCGCTTCATCCTTGCCTGAGAAGTGCTTTGCACCATCCTTTAACATTTCGCCCAATGACAGCATTCTATTCTATTCTTCTTGTTTATGTAAAATATATATATATAATGATATGTAATATATATTATATGCTGTGTGATGTGATGTGTAAAGGACTTCAAACACAAGTCTATCTTCCCTCCTTGTCTCGCTCGAGTGAGGACCTTTCATTCATTCAGCATCTTCACCCACACTTCACTTTCAAAAAATCAAACTGTGGGTGACCTTCATAAATGCCCGGGCTTTTATTTTCTCAAACAAAGTGATCTCTCCTCATGATGAACAAATATTCCATTTATTTATATTAATAATATACTGATGGAAAGATAATCCTAAGGAATATTATATTCAAGTCTTATAAAAATAGATGGATGTCAAACTATTTTGGTCAACTTAAATAAATGAGTTGGATTTTGGAGTGATCACTTTGTTTGATTGAATCTTATCATGAAAAGATCAATTCAATCAATCAGATACTTAAACAATAGATAGATACATATACATAATAAATATAGATATATCATAGGAATGAAGTCAAGAATACATATAATTAGATCTGTTGTACTTTTAGTTTTGTCAATAATAGGATTGATAGTTGGATCAATTTATTATAAATATCAATATAATAATCAAGTTATAACAAGATGTACAGTAATTGATTGTAAAGTAATAATGTCACCATGTACAGACGATAACAATCAATTATTCAATCAAATAATGTCATCTGCTTTATTTGGTACACCAGCTGATTTCATGGTAGACATTGACAAGTATTTATGTTATATAAATGAATATACATATACTCTCAATCTAAATGGTACAAGTTATACATCAACCGAATCAAACAAATTGGATGCAATTAAGAAGTCAAGTGCTGAACGATTATGTCAAGATAGTTCATCAATTACATGTTATCATCATGTTGGTAGTGCTGATCATCTTACAATAATAGAGTCAAAGTATTTTATGAATAGTTTTACAGTTGTTGCCATATCATTGGTAACATTCATTGTAGCCATCCCCTATTTCTTCGGTACCTTACTGTACATCCTATGCTTTGAACGTGTCCAACTTCAAGCCACAAGAATATCCAGGAATGTTTGAAAGGTTCATTCACTAAATTAATAAAATGTGTACTCCCCCTTCAAATAAACGAACGAAAGATCAAATCAAGCCGTCATTCATTCATTCGTGTAATAACTTCAAGATATAGATAAACAGAAAAGAGAAAGAGAAAGAGATGGTATTATACTTGGTCGGTCTTGGTCTTGGTGATGAGAAGGATATCACTGTAAAGGGATTGGAGGTTGTAAAGGCTTCGGATAAGGTGTATCTAGAGTTTTATACATCATTGCTTGGAGGTTCAACTTCAGTCGAGCGTATGGAGGCATTCTATGGAAAGAAGATGATATTGGCTGATCGCGAGATGGTCGAATCAGGTTGCGAACAGATGCTAGAAGAGTCAAGAACACAAACAATCTCATTCTTGGTAGTTGGTGATCCATTCGGGTATGTTTGATTGATTGATCGTGAGCGAGATTGAACAGGGACTAACTTGTGATTAATAGTGCCACAACTCATACAGACTTGGTTATGCGTGCAAAGGAGTTGAAGATACCTTATCAAGTGATACATAATGCATCGATTATGAATGCTATTGGATGTACAGGATTGCAACTTTATACATTTGGTCAGACGATATCAATGGTGTTCTTTACAGAGACGTCAAAGCCAGATAGTTGGTACGACCGCGTCAAACTTAATAGAGCAGCTGGTCTGCATACACTGGTGCTACTGGACATCAAGGTCAAGGAGCAGACAATGGAGAACCTGCTGCGTGGTCGTCCAATCTACGAACCACCCAGATTCATGACCGTCAATCAATGCGTGCAACAGCTGCTCGAGATCGAGGAGCTGCGTGGAGAGGGCGCCTACACAAAGGATACGCTCTGTGTTGGTCTGTCGCGAGTTGGCCAAGACACACAACAGATCATCAGTGGCAGACTGGAAGAGCTGCTCAACGTCGACTTTGGCGCACCCCTTCATTCATTCATCATCGCTGGCGACATGCACTTCCACGAGCAAGAGTTCTTTGATACATTCCGCGTCAACTCTGAGACCAAGTATCTTCCAGTCGTCGCCTCTGACGACAATGATGATAATTAAACAACATGGAAGTGACTTCAATCAATCAATCAATCGATCAACATCGTTGTGCCTGGCAAAGTCTACATTATGAGTGGATTTTATTGATGGACAAGACATCAGGATGCTAGGCTCACGCGCCAAACCCTGTCTTGCTTGTCATTACCGCCTGCGTCCATACTAATGTAGTGGATATCTCTATCTCTCTAGCTATCTATATATATATGTATATGTGTTTGTGGCAGGTAGTTATTAAGGGTTGGAATGGATTGGATTGGAATGGAATGGATTGGAAATGGGAGGGGAGTTTGCAGCTTGATTGATTGGTTGGTTGGTTCGAAATGGATTGTCCTTCGTCCTCTTGCCATGGCGCGTACCGCAACATGGATCTTGGTCTGTGGACATCCTGTTGTTGTTTGATTGAATGATTGGTTGGTTGGTTGGTTGAGGGGAGAGAGAGTGCTGGGAGGTGGAGATGGAGGGGAGGAGGAGAAGGTTGATTGATTGGTTGATGATGATGATGGGTTCATTGTAAAATACAGTTCTTGGGATCCTTTCCTTCCTTTCTTTCTTTCTTTGTCAGCTGTGCGGCCATCTCCTCCTTGGAGGGTGGGAAGAGAACGACGCGACCAGCCTCCTCAAAGACGGTGGTCAAGCCGTCCTGAGTCAGCGCTGAGCACTCACAGTACTTGTAGGCACCGATCTCTGCTCTCATCTGCTCGCCCATCTCTGTGGTGATTGGTTCCTCTCCATTCGCCTTATGTTTTGAGTTGCGCAGGTCGAGCTTAGTGCCAACCAATATGATCGGTGGCAATACATCCATATTCTGTGTGATCTCAACGAACCACTGAGAGTGAACGATCGGTAATGAGTTAGTGATTGATCGATCGATTGTGAGTTGAGTCCTCTTGATCATGCGGCTTTACCTTCTTTATAACATTCTCGAAACTAGTCTGTGATATTAAACTAAAACATATAAGGAAAACGTCTGTACCAGGGTAGCTCAGAGGTCTAAAGCTGTTGTATTCTTCCGATCCTATTGATTGATTGATTGTTGTGATTGATTGTGAGCATTGTGCGACGATAGAGAGGGCCTTGAAATGTCCTCATCCATTTGATCTAAACATACCTGCTGTATCCCAAAGTCCAAGGTTCACTGGTGTATTATTTACAATTGCGTTGGCGTTATAGTTATCTGTAAATAGAGGGAGATGTCAGTCGATCAATCAATCTTGTGTCATAATCAACTAATCAATCAAACATACCGAACACTGTTGGGACATATTCACCTGGGAATGAGTTAGTTGTATAAGAGATCAAAAGACATGTCTAGATGATGATTCATGATTGAATGATTGAATGAATGAGTGTGAGTACATTGGGTCTACTACCATCACGTGGTCTGTATATTTGTCTGTCTGTCTATCTGTCGATCTATCTATATGTGCGTCCATTCGAATTCTTCCGTCCATCCCATCCCTCTCTCTTCTTTGTCGTCAATGATCGATCGTGTATCAATATATGTGTACCTTTCCAACACTCATGTCTCCAACGACCATAACCTTGATATCCTTGACCATTGTTTATGCTGTGTACTGTACAGTGAACAAAATATATAAATATATAGAGAGAGAGAATATATATAAAAAGGGAAAGTGGTTGATACCTCTACTTCCTCTTCTGAATGGATACTAATAATACTAAACAACAACAATAACAATACTAAACAATAATAATAATAATAATAATAATACAACTAACAACAATAGAGACAATAGATAGATAAGATGAGGTAAGTTAGGTCTAAGAATGATAGTAGTGTGGGAGGGAGACCCCATTGATCACTGACAACACCTCCTCTTTGTCCCCCTTTTTCAAACCAAAACAAACTAATAAATAAAAAATCAATTCAAAACAAACACCCACCCCAAACAGACTCTTGATCGTGATCAGAAGTCGACAAAAGAATAACCTTGAATAGTTGTTGTTGGATTGGATGGATGGGAGGTGATGTTATAAATAGAATCATATAATTGTTGTTGTTGATCATATGACCATCGTCTTTGTTTATTCCAACCATTTAAGTGTTCCCATCAACAAGAACTTGGTTGGTAGATCGCCTGGACATGGTGCCAACACTGTGATCCTCTTTGTTTCCATATTGACATCCTTGCTAAATATACATTGATTGATTGATTGTGTGAATGATGGTTAGTATATGATGCTGTTGGCAAGAGATAGAGAGAGGAGGGTAACTTACACATAGAGGAATCCAGCTACATTGCTATTGAGTATACCTTGTGCGTTCTTGGCATAGGAGACGGCGAGGATGGAATGTAGCATGTCGAGTGATGGTGATATCTCTTGTAGTTGTAGTGGGTCCATGGCTGAGGTGGCGCCAATGGGTAGCGCAGAGAGTGGTGCAGCGGGACCACCGCCAGTCCTGTAGATGACGACGTCCTTGAAGTCCACGATGGTGATGTGCGGACACAGGTCGCCCAGCATGCCGTAGAAGTACTCTCTGATCCTCAGATTCCTGGTGTTCTTTCTAAAGGTCGACGAGCGCAGGAACACTCCGCCCGACTTGGGCAGCTTCATCACCTTCATCTCGGGTGAGCTGTATTCGCGCGCCAGCTCGCTATACAGTTTCTCATTGTCGATCACCACGATCATGTTGATGCGCAGCAGAGTGATGCTGGTGCGCAGCACCTCGTAGCCCAGACCCTCGATCCAACCACATGTGTTGACCACAATGCCAGAGACTCGAGCATTGTTGTCCTTCTCGCAACGCTTGTCGATAGAAAGTGCCAATGATTGAATCTGGGCCTTGTAGAGATTGGGGTTGAGGTCCAGTGATGTGTGGCCGTAGAACTGAACGAATGGTACGCTGTTGGAGAGTCCCTCCTCAATGTCCACTGGTTTGTCCACGATTGTCGCACAGAGTGCGCCGGGCAGTGTCACGCCTCCCTGACCAGGGTCCAAGTCCACAAAGCATGGAGCAAAGCCAAGTCTTGCTGAATAACCAAGTAATATCTTGCACAATGTACTCTTACCAACATCTGTTGGTCCTGCTATCAGTACCTAGTGAATGATTTAGGTTAGTGTGAGTTGTAACACTCATACATTAGATGGATGATACTCACTCTTGGTCCTTGATCGCGAGTGTCAATCACTGCAGTGCGGTGATTATCAATATCCTTGTGTATCTTTGAGTAGGCTAGCATTGGTGTTTCATTGGCAATGTATGTTCTGACACCAACAGACATCTCCAACTCACATCCAGACCATGTAAACACAGCACCTCTTGCATTTGCACATAATGTATACTCTCTGTTCACTGCAAGTTCAGTACCAAAGTACTCTGCTGTACCCTTTGTCAACTACAGGTAGTTATATGTATGATGCATTGGTCAGTTATATGTTCAAGCTTGTACCCTTCGCTTGCTTCACTTACCTTTAGTTTTGCCTCTTTGTCCACCTCGAATCTGAGTTCATGCTCTTTGTTCAACTTGTGTGTCGTCCAAACAGGCTTTGGTGGTAGCTGCTGTTGTTGTTGCTGTTGTTCATCAATCTGTTGATCTGACATCTCTATCTCTATCTATGTATCTTTATATGTTCAACTTGTACATGAATGACTGACAATGAACTGAAGTCGCAACTTTGAAACTTCAAATTCGAACCCTCATCCCAACCCTCGCCCTTGCCCTCATTTAAATTGTCTTCAAACTAAAGTGATAACAATCAGATACTAACTTGTTTGAATGATTAGGGTATGTATTGTTGTTTATTGATATTGATATTGTTGTTGATTGATTGACTTGTATTATTTACATAAACAACTTGGTGTGACATACTTTACAATATGGCTTGCCATTGTTTGTTGAGTATGATCCTCCAGCCAATGGATTCATACTGTTTATTAAGTGGAGATGTTTGTTAGAATGATTGAACGAGAGAGTATGGATAATTGGAGTACTTACCAGAAAGCACAAACGAAATGCTCGGGATGCCACTTCTTGTCGAGAGCGTCTACACAACGACCATTGATGGTCTTGCCACATCCACTACAGATTGAACCGGATTGTTGGTGATAGTGAATGTCACAGTAGGGCTTGCCACCAAACTCAAAGAACAGTCCATTGGCAAAGCTCTTCTGGCAGTACTGGCAAACAAAGTGCTCAGGGTGCCACTGCTGGCCCAGCGCATTGATGCACTCGCCACGAATCGGCTGGTTACAGGAGCCACAGCGAGTGGCGTATGTCGAGAAGAAGTCCACCTCGCAGTAGGGTCGGCCCTCACGCTCGTAGAAGTTGCCGCCGTCGAATGGCTTGAGACACTGGGTGCAGACAAAGTGGTGCACGTGCCACTTCTTGCCCAGGGCCGTGATGCAACGGTCTGTGATCGACTCGTCACAGTGTGCGCAACGGATGCAGAATAAGTTCTGGTAGCACGACTCGCAGTGGGGGCTGCCCTCCTGCATGTAGAAGTTCTTGGAGCCGATGGACACCTTGCAGTTGGTGCATACAAAGTGCTCGGGATGGTAGTGCTTGTTGACCGCCTGGATGATCTCGCCGAGGATTGGCTTGTGGCAGGCATTGCAAGTACCCTTTGGAGTTGGTCCCTTGTCATCGATATGGCTCATCTGCGTGGTGAGGTTGTTCAAGAGGTGGTCCAGATCATCGCCAGCTAACACCTTTGCCTGCGGCAACTTGGAAGACACCTGAGCATGCTGTGGTTGTTCATGATGGTGATGATCGTGGTGATGGTCATGGTGGCCTGGATGATGGTGATGATCGTGGTGATGATCGTGATGGCCAGGATGATGATCATGATGTCCGTGATGGTCGTGATGGTGATGTCCAGGACCATGTGGATGGTGATGGTCGTGGTGATGGTCATGGTGATGATCATGATGGTGGTGGCAGTCAACAGGGTTTGCATCTAGATCCTTCAAGAGTTGATCAAGGTCCTCAGTACTGGCAATTTTTTGTGGTTGTTCCTTCTTCTCATCTCCATGTTGTTGAGGTTGTTGGTTGATTGGTGGTGCATACTCTAATACAGCCTTTGATACACGTAATGGTTGTTTTGGTATTATTGTTGCAGTTGATACTAATCTGATTGGTGCTGGTGCTGGTGTTGGTGTTGGTTTGGCAACAGAAGTATATGATATCTTATTAATTGCAACTGCTTGTTGACCATCTATCTCATTGTTCAATGACTTGTTCAATGAATCCATCAATGCATCCAATTCATCACCTTTAACTGGAGCTACAACTGAAGTCGCCTGATGAGGTTGATAATGTTGTTGATGAGTTGTCACTTGTGCCACATGTTTCTGGACATTATTATTCATTCTTGATGGTTCTGCCTGTTTAGCAGACCACGACGAAGCTGGTGGAGCAGCCTTGTTTGGCTTTCCAAGGTCTGCCAACAATGCATCCAATTCATCCATCTTTAATCCTTCCATTTCAAAAATATTTATATAATTAATTATTACTTATCGTATAAGTTGACTAATTGATTGATTGATAATGATAATGAACTGGACTTTGAAAGTGTTAATAAATGGTATCCACATCCAAGTTGTGTGTATAATTATTATTATTATTATAATATAACTGTATGATATATAGTTGTTATACAACTTGTGGTCACACCACACGGGCCATCATCAATCTCTTATGTTGTGCCTCCTCCTCCAATTAAGATGGACCCACTCACTCACACATGTGTTAGATATATCCCCACCATTCCATCAATCACATGATCAAACACACACAACCCACACATCAACAGTGCACTAATGTTGTTATAGATTGATGGAAGAATGGATTATGGGCTTTAAATAGATACATTGGTACGTGTGTGTTTGGCAATGGATAGGATAGAGCCGACACTACTTATAGTAGGGAAGGGTAGGGTCATATGGGTTAAAATGGAATCGAAGTACAATGATTGGCTTGTGATCATTGGGTCAACAACATCCATCAAATCCGATGACCAGTGAATGAATATATAATATAATAGTTGGTCCAGGTCAACCTGGGTCATCACTTGATTGTTATTTGTTGATTCTGAAACGATTTGAGATCCTTCAACACCTTGTCAATGTCGTGTGGCGGTGCTATTGAACGTGCTCGCAGGTATCCCTTGATGCCAACCAATGTGCTTGGATTGAATCCCAACATCATATCCATCTCGGACATTTGATGCTCTTGTTGTTCTTGTAATTGGACTCCTTGTTCCAGTTGATCTTGTTGTTGTTGTAATTGACGTTCCAGATATCTCTGCTTTTTAATCGATATGTCGGAAACGGCATGGCTGACATACTCGTGGACCACCTGTGATGTAATACTGATGTTGCCTCGGATCAATGACTCGATGACGCGCTCGGCCATTGGCACATTGCGCGTCTGCATGAAGCCAAGTGTCAGTGCGTTCTTGAAGTGTGGGTTGAACAGCAGTAGCTCCTCGCGCGCAGAGTCTTGAAGCTCTCGCAGTCCACGCTCAAAGTCTGCGCCAATCAAGAACTGCAGGTATCTGGACTCAAAGTCGCTGGGACGCTTCTCTGGTGTCAACGAGTTGACAAACTCATCCATCGTGCCCATGCTGTAGGTCAGACGCAACAGACGCTGCGTGGTCGAAGGCGGCGTGCTGATCTTGTGCTCAGCCAAGCGCACAAAGTACTTCCTGGCGTTGGCCTCGTCGTTGAGGCCCATGAAGTAGTTGATCAACTCGATGCATCCATTCCTGTCTGGCTGGTTGGCGTCGAAGCGTGCGTCCATCTCGCTGGTGGCCTCCTGGACCTGCGAGTTCTTGAGCAGATGTGAAATGCGGCCGGCAAACTCGAGGTGTGCCACTCTCTGCTGGCCAGTGCCAGTCGTACTTAGCTCGGCCAACACCTCGCTCTCGCTCTCTCCTCTCTTTTGATGCTTCTTCTTGTTCTTCATATGGCCCTGCTGGTGAGCATGTGACTGCTTGATGAGACCCTGGTACATATTATCAATCTCAATGTTCTCGTAGCAGTCTCTGTCCTGTGGGTTGTAGCTCCTCTGCACGAACTGACCCTCCTGCTGTGTGTTCTTGTAGTTCTTCAAGTAGAGATTCTCGGGACGGTTGATACGCTTGTACAACTCCTCGAATGGCTCACCCTCAGCGTGCGTCATCCAGTCGAGGAACGTGCCGTCCGTGCTGAGGTTGTTCTTGAAGTAGGCCTCGAACGCCTGGGGCACGTTCAGGTTGATGTTGTTGTCGGCCGCTTTCTTGAACCAGTACTCGCAGAGATCATACTCGCCGCGCAGCTTGTGGAAGTAGAAGAAGGGTAGGATGGCGAACGAGTCGATGTTGATGCCAAAGATGTTCTGGCGCATGTCCAGCCACTTGAGCGCCTTTTGGTAGTTGCCCGTTACGAGCAGCAGCTGAATGATCTTGGTGATGTGGATCGAGACAAAGGCGCGTGGACACTCGTTCAGCTTGGCGATGAGGTACTCGAGCAGAGGCTCGTTGTTCTCCACCTCGAGATGAACAAAGATGTGATTGATGCCGTTGGGAACTTCATTACCCGCCTGGAACACGTAGAGGATCGTGTCGTTCAGCGCCTCAAAGTCCTGATGCGCAAAGTAGAACTTGACAATGTCGCGGAACAGTGCCACCTTGAAGTCGTGGAACTCGCCCAGAATCTGTTGCTCGAGGATCTTGCATCCCTCGAGGTCATTGCACTTGATCACCACGTTGATCAGCGAGCGGAACGTCAGGAACGTGGGACGGATCGTCGCGATCATCTTGATGTACACCTCCAGGTACTCCTCCTTGCCACGCAGGAGCGAGAGCTGTCGCAGGATCACATTGTACGATGTCAGGTTCAGCATCTGATTCTTCTCTAGCACGGCGATCAGTTGCTTCAACTGCTGGTCCATGCCGGCGCTCAGCAGGCCGTACACAAGGACGCCCAGTGGCTCGGCCTTGGCTGGGTCCTTGGCGGCACCCAGCACCTCCAGCACATAGGTCAGCGCGTTCTCCACCTGGTTGTGATCGATGTACGACTTGATTAGCGCAGAGTATAGGGTGTCGGATGGGCCCAGAGCAAAGGGCACACGACGGATGATGTCCTTGGCCGTATTGAAGTTGCCCAGCCTGCTGTACATCGACACGAGCAGGTAGTAGGTGTCGATGGAGGCCTGCACGTCGTACTCGTACATCTTGGCGTAGATGAATTTGACGGAGCGCAGGTCGTCGTGGACCATGGCGTTGGCGATGAACAGGTTGAAGTTGACCGTGGTGCGCATGTCGGCCCAGCTGATGAGGTAGTAGAAGCAGCGCTGGAACAGGCGCTCGTTGTCCTTGAACTGGCTGCCAAAGCAGCTGAGTATCACCGAGATAGTGTCGTCGTTGGGCACGAACGACTTGTCCTTGAGCGCCTCAAACAGCGCCAGCATCTCGGCGTTGTCGCCCACGGCATGGTAGTGTCGCAGCAGAATGTGCATTGTGTTGATGTCCATTATGGACATTTGTGCCGGTTGTTTCATGTGGGCCAGCAGCTGCTTGATGCGTTTGGCGTCCTTCTGGATATCGATATAATACTCGAGCAGTATATTATACACCTCTGTATCGACAATATCCATCTTTACAATCCACTTATATATATCCTCGTAGATATCTTGGTTGCCATATTTGATTGCCGAGAGGAAGGCTTTGACGCTATATAAGTTTGATTGATTGATTGAGTGTTAGTGACATGGTTCCAATGAGTGATTGAGTGATTGAAATAGTTCCAGCGAGTGAATGATTGAGTGATTGAGTGATTGGAAGTTCCAGCGATTGAGTGATTGAGTGATTGAGTGATTGAGTGATTGAGTGATTGAGTGATTGAGTGATTGGAATAGTTCCAGTGTATGATTGATCCATCGAGCGAGTGATGGTGAGGACTTACAATTGAATGGAACCTTGGACATATTCAAGCTCGATGAGTTCCAGGATATCCTTCCTGGTCAACAATTCGAATCCTTCATCTTGATCTTCAATAGTCTGCTGGGCTTTAGAGCCTGGTGGAGATGTATCTTGCACCCATTGTTGATGATGTTGGTGAGGCTGGTGAGGTTGATGAGGATGAGTTTGATAAGTTTGATGATGTGTCGGTTGTGATTGTTGTTGATATGACTGTTGTTGTTGTTGCGGATGTGATTGTTGATGTGATTGTTGTTGTAGCTGTGTCTCTTGATGTGATGATATCTCTTCTTGCTTCTGTAGTAATTGTTGTTGTTGTAGTTGTAGTTGTTGTTGTAGTTGTTGTTCTTGAGCAGTGAATTGTAATTGCTGTTGCTGCTGTTGCTGTTGCTGTTGTTGTTGCTTCTTTGTAAACTTTGGAGTACTTGACGACTTGTTTGTTGGAGGCTTGCGTGTTTTATTCCTCTTTGATTCAGCCATTACAATATCATCTATCAATGCTGATGTCGTTGATGTTGATGAAGCAGCAGCTGTTGCAGTTGAAGCATTCCTTGTCAATACTAAACATCCACTACTACAATGTTGTGATGATGCTGATGATGATTGTTGTAAAAGACGTTGTTTGATCAATGTAGATGTTGATGAAGGTGATCCAATGGACCTATATAATATGTTATTCATTGTTATATATAATGTATGTATGTACACAGACAGACACACGTACTATTGGTACGTGTAGTAGTTGGAGTCGATCGAATGAATGGTGTAATGTGCTCAACACATTGTTAATCAATTTAAACTAATGTCCTCGTGGTTTTAGACTCGTTCGTCGTTTTTTTGCAAATTGACTCAAAATCGCACTAAATTCATACAACTAATCGTTTCGTATTCATCGATTGTCTCAACTCAATTCGATTCTTATGTCATAAGTATGTGTACAATAATCTGATAATATATTATTGACAATTAATTAATTGTATTGATTGATCAATCATTATTATACAGAGATAAACTTTATGACTTTGATAGAATGAATGAATAACTTGAGTTGTTGAGAGTTAGTGTTGTGTTTGTGTTTGTTCACAAAAACCAAAGATGGGTGATTGAGTGAGGAAGCGAACGAGACGAAGGAGATTGTAAACACAGAACAAATAGTTAGAAAAAGAATACAGATAAATATATATAACAATAGTATATATATATAAAAGATAAACAAACATGGATGGTAATGATATGTTTGCAGTGTTTGACACTCCTTCACAATCATCTTCAAAGTATAACAAGAGGAATAGAGATAACAACAACAACAATGATAATGATGAGAAAGAGTATGTGTTACTGATTGATTGAATATCATCAATATAGTTGTGTAGGGTACTAACAATGAATGATCATTGAAATATAGGAATGGAAAGTGGATAAAGCCAAGAGATGATAATAATAATAATAATAATAATAAGATGGCAGAGGCTAAAGAGGTCAATGTAGCAGCATTGGATAATGAGATACAACAGTCAAAGAAGAAGATGAGAACAGATGCACCAGGTAGACAAGCTGATATATCAGTAGATGCTAGTAAACCAGATGAAACATTGAAGCAACTTAGACAACAACAGCAACAACAAGAGAATGAGGATACTACTATGACATCAACAACATCGACATCGACTACATCTACAGGATCATTCACATTGCCAAAGACTTGTACACATGATGTTGCACTCCCACCCGACTATGTAGACAATGATCCCGAACTGTTCAACCCTAAGGATCCAGTCAAGCCCGCGCGTACCTATCCATTCAAGCTGGATCCATTCCAGGCCACATCCGTAGCATGCATCGAGCGCAAAGAGTCCGTCCTAGTATCCGCTCATACATCCGCAGGAAAGACAGTCGTAGCAGAGTATGTTTCTCGCCCATTGATTGATTGAGTGCACTCAATCACTAACTCACCCAATCAACCTTTAGGTATTCAATTGCAGTAGCATTGAGAGAGGGACAGCGTGTGATTTATACATCGCCAATCAAGGCGCTGAGTAATCAGAAGTATCGTGACCTGCAGGAGACATTCCAGGATGTGGGTCTGATGACAGGTGATATCACAATCAATCCAAACGCGTCGTGTCTGGTCATGACAACAGAGATTCTTAGATCGATGCTCTACAGAGGCTCGGAGCTGATGCGTGAGGTGGCCTGGGTCATCTTTGATGAGATCCATTACCTGCGTGACAAGGAGCGTGGTGTCGTCTGGGAGGAGACAATCATCCTGCTGCCAGACAGCGTGCGCTTCGTATTCTTGTCGGCCACCATCCCCAACGCCAAAGAGTTTGCCGCGTGGATCGCCAAGATCCACAGCCAGCCCTGCCACATTGTCTACACCGAGTACCGTCCCATCCCGCTGCAGCACTACATCTTCCCGTCGGGCGGCGACGGCCTGCATCTGGTGGTCGACGAGAAGGGCACGTTCAAGGAGGAGAACTTCCTCAAGTCGTTGTCCAACCTGCAACAGAACGAGCTGGGTCGCAAGCGCAAGATGCAGAAGGGCACACAGTCCGACTGCTACAAGATCGTCAAGATGATCATGGAGCGCAACTACCAGCCCGTCATTGTGTTCTCGTTCAGCAAGAAGGACTGCGAGTTCTACGCGCTGCAGATGTCCAAGCTGGACTTCAACTCGGACGAGGAGAAGAAAGCTATCGACACGATCTTCTCCAACGCCATCGACTCGCTTTCCGAGAGCGACAAGAACCTCACCGCCGTGGTCAACATCCTGCCGCTGCTCAAGCGTGGCATTGGTATCCATCATGCCGGTCTGCTGCCCATCCTCAAGGAGATCATTGAGATTCTCTTCCAGTACGGCTACATCAAGGCTCTCTTTGCCACCGAGACCTTCTCCATCGGTCTTAACATGCCTGCCAAGACAGTGATCTTTACCAACGTGCGCAAGTTTGATGGAGAGTCCCAGCGATGGATCACTGGAGGCGAGTACATTCAGATGTCTGGACGTGCCGGACGTCGTGGTCTGGACGAGCGTGGTATCGTCATCCTGATGGTCGATGAGAAGATGGAGCCTGCCGTCGCCAAGGGCATGGTCAAGGGTCAGGCCGACCGACTCACATCGTCATTCTGGATCGGATACTCAATGTTGCTCAACATGATGAAGGTCGAGGACATTGACCCCGAGGCATTGCTCAAGCGATCATTCCATCAATATCAACAAGAGTCATTGATACCTCAACTCAAACAAAGTATGTTACATCATTGCCCGATCAATCAATCATGCAAGTCACTTACCATCTCCCTCCACCTACTCAAACAAACAAACAAACAGAGATCGAAGACTTGGAAGCAGAGAAGCAATTGATTGTGATCAAGGATGAGTCAGCAGTCAATGAATACTTGAACTTGAAGATACAGCTGAACAAACTGAGGGATGGAATGCGCGACTTTATCAACCAGCCATCATATGTGCAACCTTATCTCCAGGCAGGTCGAATCGTCAAGGTGCGTGAGGACTCTGTTGATTGGGGCTACGGAGTGGTGCTCAACTTCCACAAGCGACCAATCAAACAACAAGGCATCTCAGATCAATCATTCGAGATCGTGGCTGACATGCTGCTAAACACAGACGCCACACACACATCAGCGCCAAGACCCTGCCCAACTGGCGGCCAGGGCGAGCCACAGATCATCCCCGTCTCAATCAAGCTGTTTGATGGCATCACATCAGTGTGTCTCAACATCAAGAAGGATCTGATGCCCAACGAACTCAAGACTCATGTGTACAAGATGCTCAAGGAGGCCGACAATAGATTCCGTAAGGAGGGTGGACTCCCATTGATCGACCCCATCGAGGACATGAGGATCACAGACCCCAACTTCAAGAAACTGATCAGAAAGATCGAGACACTCGAGTCTCGCTACGTGGCCATGCCCATCTTCAAGGAGGCCGACGTTGAGCAGCGCACTGAACTCCTCCAGAAGAAGCTGGACATCGACAAGGAGGCCAAGGCACTGAAAAAGAAGATCAGAGAGGGCGACGAGGTCATCCTGAAGGACGACCTGCGCTCCATGAAGAGAATCCTCAAGCGTTTGGACTACATCAATGGCGACGACGTCGTTCAGGTCAAGGGCAGAGTGGCCAGCGAGATCTCAGCAGGTGACGAGTTGGTCATCAGTGAGCTCTTGTTCATGGGCCTCTTCAACGACATGACCAGCGAGCAGTGTGTTGCCGTGCTCAGTGTGTTTGTGTTCCCACCCGAGGGTTCTGCCGACATCAACAACGTCAAGATGAAGCCAGAGCTGGCACCCTTCTTCAGAAGTATTCAAGACACTGCCAGAAGGATCGTGCAGGTATCACAGGAGTGCAAGCTCACCATCGATGAGAAGGAGTACCTGAACAAGTTCAACCCATCGTTCATGGACACATCGTTCGCCTGGGCCAACGGTGCAACATTCGCCGAGATCTGCAAGATGACCGAGACATTCGAAGGAAACCTCATCAGAGCCATTAGGCGACTGGACGAGCTTCTCAGACAAATGGTAGTAGCTTCAAAGTCGATTGGAAACACTGATCTGGAGGTCAAGTTCTCGAATGCCATCGTCAAGATCAAGAGAGACATTCCATTCGCTGGCTCTCTCTACTTGTGAGCATATGTGCGAGTGTTTATTAGTAAGCCTGCCTCTCTTGGATACATGCCATTGGGTCATTTGGTAATGAGGCATGCTCCAAATAAAACACGTTTGTCTACAGGATCGTCATCATTGAGCAATGTCCATGTGTCATGTTCTTTTGAGTAGATATAGTTGTCATTGTTGCCACCAAGGTATATTATTCCAAAGGGTGGAGTATGTACCAAGTGGATAAACCTTCTATAATTTGGATGTGTGGACAGTATGGTCACCTCTTTAGTAGTCAATGAGTGCCTTGTAAATGATTCCTTGGTCAGAATGTAAACATTGCCATCAGAGTCGAAGCAATTGTTACTTGAATCAGTGGCGAACACACAACTCTTCACAATCTCCTGGACTTTGGTCTGAACATTGAATGAGATGATGTCTTTGTTGTTCCGGCTGCTTCCATCAGAATATTTGCAACCGCCTGCCATATAGATTGTGTTGTCGTTGAAATGAATGGTTGGCCAGCTCAGTCCATGATTCAAACTTCCAACTGTACTGAACTGTTGAGTGTCAATATCGAAGCAATCCACTCGATTTAATAACCTTTCATCTTTATCACAGCCACCGACCAGATAGATGTGTTTTTCTCCGTCATAACATGCAGATATGTTGGAGCCACCACTGACTCCACTACCAACAATGTCACCTTCATAGCACTGCCTGTCTGCCAATGAGTACCGGGAGAACTTGGTAGATGTGCTACCGTCACCTCCAAACACATAGATGTTGCCACGAGCAAAGACGTAAGAGTTGAATGATGTATTGAAGTTACCTTTGAACGTATTCTCTATGGTTGTCCAAGTGAATGATTGAGGTTCGAGCATATAGAGTTTGTCTTCATCTATTGAGACAACGACCTGGCGCTCTATATCCTGCTTCTTGATATTGGGATCAATTAGTTTAAAGCATGAACTAATCTGTTTCTTGATCATATCCAACTTGTTTATATCAGTCTTGATTTGATATGCGTGTAGACGAGCAACATCCTCATAGGGTTCTTGTTGCATTAGTTGAGTGTGTTGACTGATTGCTGCCAACAATACATCGTCACTTGACTCTACTTTGTTGTTGTTGTTTGCTTTATGATCATCATCTTGTCTTTGGAGCAACAATGTCCGAGTGTAAGGCATCTCGATGAATTGATCGATTGATGTGCTTGACATGATGGCCTCGAGTAGCTTTGGACTGTCTCTTGATGACTGATCATATCTTTCACCGCCAACATATGATGACGATTGATTGATGATGAAGTGATTGATGTCAATGATTTCATCGACGATGCTGTTGATCGTTGATTGAATGTGTGTCATCTGAGCATTGATTGGTGTCTTGATCTTGTGCTCTTGAGCCATCAACAACTTGAACATTTGTTCAAAGTGATCGCTCACCTCTTTGGAAGTGACCTCCAACGATTGATATGACGATGCACACAGTTGAAGTGTCTTCCAGAGATGCTCCATCCTTGTTGTGAACCACAATGATTGATCATTGCTTGACAGACTCTCTTTGATCCTTCTCAAATGATCAATCTTGTGACCATTGTGTGTCTGCTGCTGCGACAAGCAATCAGTGCACACCAACACATTGCATTGCAAGCACATGAACTCAGTCTTCAAACCATGAGTGTCACATGTGATACTAACATTCATATTGTCCATATATATAATGTTTGTGTAGTTGTATGACTAGACGACAAATGAACTACTCAAATGACAACAACTTTGAGTCATCGAAAGCATGATCAAAAGTGAGAGTCACTGATTCATTCACTCATTCATTATTATTCAATCGATCAAACAAATACATATAACATCATGATCGAGCCACATAAATAGATATGTCAGATCATAACAATACAACGACGACAACAACAACAACAACAACGACAACGACAACGACGACAACGACGACAAACAATGCAGCAGCAGCAGAGGGAATGATGTTGACCAAGCCTGAATCGAGGTTGCACTGTCTTCATTTGGGCTGCACAAGGTCCTCCACAGATTATGGCAACTTGGGCAATCATTGCGCAGCGGATCATGCTTGTACAAAGACTTATGCATCCTGTCCCAACTTCAGAAGATATCGCACAAAGATGTTCATTGCCAATGCCGACGACAAAGACTCTATCGAGATGATGCGGGCCGATGGACTCAACAAGTGTCTGCACACGACCTGCCTCCACTTCTTCCCCTCGTTGATTTCCATGGGCCATCACTTGGCTTCGAAACGTGGAGACCATCAATGTCCAGACCGCAACAGCTGTCCAGGATGTCAAAGAAGTGACAAGTTGATGGCAAGGTACACACTGCCCAAAGTCCTTCCTGTTATCAAGTCGTTTGTCTGCCTGCACGATGGTTGCTCCAGAGAGTACGAGATGTTTGGTCTGTTGCACAATCATTGCAAGGATATTCATTTCTGTCGATCGTACGCAAGTTGTATCAATGAACAACGCTATCGAACAATGCACTTCACCGCAGCCGCCGATGACACCGAGTCAATCAAGATGCTGAAAGCCAAAGGTCTCATCAAGTGCCCAGTTGCAACATGCAACCACTTCTACAAGACCAAGCCATCATTTAGAATTCACTTTAAATACTGTCACCCTAGTCTCGATATATCATCCATATGGCCATCTCTGAAGCGCAAACGATCCAATGTAAGCGACGAAGAGGAAGAGGAAGAGGAAGAAGATGAAGAGGAGGATGAGGGATACCAGGATGAAGATGGATTAGATCAAGGTAATGATGATGACGACGACGACAATGGACAAGATGAAGATGGTTATGATGTGTCACCAACCAACGAGTTGCCGTCATCCAATGACATGATCAAGTGTCTCCACTCCAACTGCGATAAGCACTTCACTCTGTGGAACAAAATGCTTCAACACATCAGGAGGGACCATGATAGAAGTGAGCCGTGTTCCGACCAGAGCTGTCCAGGATGCGAGTACCGACGACTCTGGGCGCCAAAGACACCTGATCCCTCCACCATGTTCAAGTGCCAACACGATGGATGTACTGCCTCTCATACGGTGTATGGGTCATTGCGAAAACACTGCCGATTCGAACACCAATGCACCTGGACATACGCAGCTTGTCCAAACTATCAGACCTATCAAATTATGAAATTCAAGGCCGATCCTGATGACACTGAATCAATCGCAATGTTGACTGCAAGAGGATGGGTCCAATGTCCACACACATCGTGTGGACACTTCATGGCGACACGCAAGGCCAAGGGTCATCACCTGGCAAAGGACCACCAGTGTCCTGATCCTGCCAGTTGTCAAGGTTGTATTGATCAAAGCCAACTTCACCAGACGCGTTCATCACGAATTGACAAAAAGCAGAAGGGCAAATTCAAATGTATGCATGGTGCTGACTGCACCAAGATATACCTTAACATCGGCCACTTGTATCGGCATTGTAAGGAGAAGCATGAGTGCCAAGAGACCTATGGATCATGTCCCAACGTTCGAGAGTACCGCGCTCAGAAGTACCATGCATCACACGGCGACACTCAATCAATCGAGAGATACTTGGCTGAAGGATTCCTCAGGTGTGATCATTCACAGTGCATCTACTTCTTCAAGACCGAGTGCGCCAAACACTCTCATATGTACCAGAGACATGTATGTTCCAATCCACATGGATGTGAAGCATGTGTCATTCGCAACTTCCACATCGACAACGGTGAGAACAACAGTGACGACCAAGATCAATCCCACTCTAATGGAGGGCGAAGAGGAAGACTACTCAATAGGCAGCGCAAGGTCATCAGTGGGACCGCGGTTAGTTACAAGAAGAGAAGCACGACAACAAACAGCACCCTTGCCAAGCCTTGTCAGGCTGGAGACTGGAATGAGAGAATGTTCAACTTGATCAAATGTCCACATGTTGGATGTGAGGAGTTTGGTCAGCCAAGTGTGATCAACCAACATCTTCGACTGGATCACACTTGTCCAGTGTCACTACATTTTGATGGTTGCCAGTTGTCTCGTCATAGTGAACATCAACATGATTGGTTGCTCGTGTGATTAATCAAACGAGTCAAGAATATAATCAAACCTTGGTACACACATTCATTCATCACAAAGTGATTGTTTATGGATCACTGGTTTTGAACACTCTTATTCAATCACAAGTTTATTTATTCCTAGTCAACTGGAGATAAGACAAGATCCAAATCCATAACGATTGTTGATTGAATATGTGTCATCTGAGCATTGATCGGTGTCTTGATCTTGTGTTCTTGTGTCATCAATTGTTTGAACGTCTGCTCAAAGTGATCACTTACCTCTTTAGAGGTTACTTCCAATGATTGATAAGATGTTGCACATAGTTGAAGTGTCTTCCAAAGATGGTCCATCCTTGATTTAAACCATAATGGATTCTTTGTTGATAGTCTACTTTTTATACATCTAAAATAATCCATCTTGTGACCATTGTGTTTCTGAACTAAACATTCAGGACACAGCCATACCTTGCATTGCAAGCACATAAACTCTTTCTTCAAACTATGATCATCACATATAATAGTAATAATATTATCCATCTTCTTCTATTGTGTATCCAACTGTCCACACAAGGTACACAATAAATTAATCATTAATGTTCATTCGCAATGACCAATGATTCATTAATTAATTAATTTTATTATTTATATATACTATATACAATATAATAGTATATATAAATAATAAAATTAATTAATGTAATACTTTATTTGGCACTAGATATGCCAGGTCAATCAAACCACCCTGTATCAGTTACCTTTTACACATGATCCACGTCCTACGCGAATGGGCACAGGGTCATGATCATAGAGCAGAGTCCATTTGTTATCTTCAACAGAGTAGAGATAGTTCTTGTTTGTGCCGCCAAGATATAGGACTCCATGTGATGGAACAAACCACAACTTGATATGGCTCTCAAACACTGGACAGTTTGCCAGTTGGGCTGACTGCTTGTTGGTGATCGAGTGCCTTTTGAACGTCACTCCATCCAATGAGTATATACTGTCGCTGTTATCAAAGCATATTGAGCTGGTATCTCTAGAGAGCGCTGCTGCTATGTATGTTTGAGTGACCATTGTTCGAACATTGAAAGCGATAACATCTCGATGATTGGACGCCAAGCTGTTGGCCATCGTCCTTTGGCCTCCAACCATATAGATCGTGTTGTTGTGGAAGTGGATGGTTGGCCAGGCCAACCCAAACGTGAGCTGTCCAACTTTGCTGAACTTCTGAGTGTCAATGTTGAAGCAATCAACTCGCTTCCTCATCTTATTGTTCTGATCGAATCCACCAACGAGATAGATGTTCTTTTCGCCGTCGTAGCATGCCGAGATGTAGTAGCCTCCATTCACGCCAGAGATATCATTGTCAAACCGTTGTTTGTCCACCAGGGAGTATCGAAGGAACTTCTTCTGTCGGTCCTTCCCGCCAAACACATAGACATTGCCACGTGCATAAACGAACGAGGTGAATACTTGATCGTGGTTATGGCCAAGTGCATCTGGGATCGTTGCCCAGGTGGACGATTGAAGTGAGAGCATTGTGAGGTCGTTGTTGTGCGCTGCGACAATGTTCACATTGGCAATGGGTATATCGATTTGTGCAATATTACGACCATGCTCGATCAGTAAAAAGCATGACTCGATCTGCTTCTTGATCTGATCCAGCTTGCCAACATCAATCTTGATACGATGTGCTTGAAGACGGTGTGTTGACACATCGTCATAGGGTACCTGACGCATATGCAGGGCGTGTCGACCAATCTTTGCCAACAGTTCATCGTCGCTGGGCTCCGGTTTATCAACATCAACGTCATCCGATAGGAGCAACAATGTCTGAGTGTAGGGCATCTTGATGAATTGATCGATTGATGTGCTTGACATGATGGCCTCGAGTAGCTTTGGACTGTCTCTTGATGACTGATCATATCTCTCACCGCCAACATATGATGACGATTGGTTGATGATGAAGTGATTGATGTCAATGATTTCATTGACGATGTTGTTGATTGTTGATTGAATGTGTGTCATCTGAGCATTGATCGGTGTCTTGATCTTGTGCTCTTGAGCCATCAACAACTTGAACATTTGTTCAAAGTGATCGCTCACCTCTTTGGAAGTGACCTCCAACGATTGATATGACGATGCACACAGTTGAAGTGTCTTCCAGAGATGCTCCATTCTCGTTGTCAACCATAATGATTGATGATCATTGGTCGATAGACTCTGTTTGATCCTTCTCAAATGATCAATCTTGTGACCATTGTGTGTCTGCACCAAGCAATCAGTGCACACCAACACATTGCACTGCAAGCAAACAAACTCTGTCTTCAAACTATGAGTGTCACATGTTATACAATCAAGATTAATGTTGTCCTTGTTACTCATTCTATATATAATTTATTATTATCATTACTTATAAGTATTATCTCTTTTCTACAACTTGTTTGATGATCAAATAAAAATGAACACTGTGTTGCGCACTTAGTTGGAAATAATGCATGAACCATGTGATGATCTACCAATCACAGGGTCATTGTCTTTGAGCAGTGACCATTTGTCATCCTTCAATGAGTAGAAGTAGTTGTTGCCTGTGCCACCAAGCGATATTATGCCAAATGATGTAACATATCTCATCTGAATGAAGTTGACAATATCGTGACACTTCAATTTGGACTCTGAGTCTTTGGCTGCCAGTGAGTACCTTTTGAATACTTTCAACGACATAACATATAAGTTGCCAATGTTATCAAAGCAAGCAGAGTATAAATCATCCGAGATGACATAGGTCTCTACTTTAGCATTGACCTTTGTGTGGACATTGAACGAGATGATGTCTCGATTGACTTTGTCGACCTTTTTTCCACCAAATATATAGATGATGTTGTCTTTGATGTTGATGGTGGGCCAGGCCAGACCTTCCTTAAGGTCTCCAACCTTACTGAACTGTTGAGTTTCAATGTTGAAACAGCCAACTCGGCTCAATATAGTGTCATTAAGCTCGCCACCGACAAGATAGATGTTTTTATCTCCATCATAACATGTCGAGATGAAGCTGCCTCCAACAATGCCAACAATCTCGCCTTCATAACATCTCTTTTCCTCCAATGAATATCGCGAGTACTTTGTCTGTGTGCCCTTTGCGCCACCAAACACATATATATTGTCACGAGCATATACATATGATGTATACACTTCATCAAAGTCACTGTTGAAGGCATCTTTGATTGTTGTCCAGGTGGATGTACCAAGTGAGAACAACGATATGTCCCTCAGATGAGCTGAGACAACCTTACCATACATGCCAACCGGTTCTACATTTGGACCAATCATTTCGAAGCACGACTCGATCTGCTTCTTGACCTGCTCCAACTTGCCAACATCAATCTTGATACGATGTGCTTGCAGGCTTGATGTGACAACATCATCGTAAGGTACATCTCGCATGTGATGAGTGTGCATACCCACCAGGGTCAACAACTCATCATCAGTCGGCTCCAACATGATGTACGATCCATTCATTAAGGAACGAGTGTAAGGCATCTGGATGAATTGATCGATGGACGAACAAGTTAAGATTGATTCAAGGATCTTGGATTGATCCCTTGGCTCTTTGGAATCATCATATCTAGGTGGTGATAGACGATGCTGATTGATTGACGACGAAATGATTGAGATCTACGATCTCATCGATGATATCATTGATTGTTGATTGAATATGTGTCATCTGAGCTTTGATCGGTGCTGTGGTCTTGTGTTCCCGAGCCATCAACAACTTGAACAGTTGTTCAAAGTGATCTCTGACCTCTTTTGTTGTTACTTCCAATGATTGATGTGATGTTGCACAGAGTTGAAGTGTCTTCCAGAGATGCTCCATCCATGTTGTGGACCACAATGATTGATGATCTTGATCATCTCTATGATCCTTTGCTCCTCTCGACATACTTCTCTTTATACTTGCCAAATGATCCATCCTATGACCATTATGAGTCTGCACCATGCATTCCAAACACATCAATACATTACAATCCAAACAAATAAACTCCTTTCTCAAACTATGATGAGCTCGACACAATATAATATTATTATTATTATTATCCATTATATATATATCTCTATCTCTATATCTATTGTGTTTATTCATCCTTTTATTTGGGAGATGCCAGAGGAAACTTTGAGATCTCAAGTTGCTTTGTTGATCGAGACACTTGAGGATTGGATCAAAGTCTTTCCAAGAAAGATTTTCGGAAGGCATGATTTGAAGACCAAGGCAGACAAGGAGAATCCAGCCAAACAGGACAAGAAGAGGAGGAGAGCCTCATCAGAGAAGGACGATGAATAAATGGCTACCAATCACAGAGGAGTTGTTATCCCCGACTGAATAGACAATTTGCAATCCTTCAATGAGTAGGTGTAGTTGTTGCCATAGTGCCACATAGCGATCGATCAATCAATCAATCAATCAGTTGGAAATAATACATGAACCATGTGCCGACCGATTGACAACTGGGTCATTGTCTTTGAGGTGAATCCATTTGTTATCCCTGACTGAATAGAGATAGTTCTTGCCTGCTCCACAAAGTGATACGACACCATATGTTGGGACAAACCTGAGCTGAATGAAGTTGACAAGATCGGGACACTTCAATTTAGTGGTCTGCATGGTGGCCAATGAGAACATTGAGAATGTGTTCAAAGACAGAATGTAGATGTTGTCACTGTTGTCAAAGCAAGCAGAGTACAATTCGTTGGGTATGGCATAGTAGGATACAGTAGCGGTAACCTTTGTGTGAAGGTTGAACTAGATGACATGTCGATTAATCATGTAGGATTCTTTGCCGCCTATGATATAGATCAAGTTGTCCTTGGAGTGGACCGTTGGCCAGGATATTCCATCCTTAAGGTCTCCAACCTTACTGAACTGTTGAGTGTCAATGTTGAAACAGCCAACCCTTTTCAATATCTTGCCATCTAGCTCACCACCGACAAGATAGATGCTTTTATCTCCATCATAACATGTTGAGATGAAGCTGCCTCCAACAATGCCAACAATCTCGCCTTCATAGCACTGCCTTTCTGCCAATGAATATCGCGAGTACTTGGTCTGTGTGCCCTTTCCACCTCCAAACACATAGACACTGCCACGTGCGTATATATATGAGGTGTATACTTCATCAAACTCGCTTTTGAAGGCATCTTTGATTGTTGTCCAGGTAGATGTGCCAAGTGATAGCAATGATATGTCTCTCAGATGAGCTGATACTATAGTGTTATTACTATTATTAGTCTTGCCAACCTGCTCCACATTTGATCCAATTGGCCCAATCATTTCAAAGCATGATTCGATCTGCTTCTTGACCTGCTCCAACTTGGCAACATCAATCCTAACTTGAGGTGCTTGCAAGCTTGATGTGACAACATCGTCATAGGTACATCTCGCATATGTTGAGTGTGTAGATCGATCAGAATCAACAATTCATCATCGGTTGGCTCAACCTTGTTATCCAGCCTATGCATTAATGATCGAGTATAAGGCTTCTGAATGAATTGATCGATGGACTTGCATGATTTGATCGACTCGATAATCTTGGATTGATCCCTTGGTTCTTTGTCATCTCTGTCAACATCGATCTGTGGTGGTGCTGATTGATTGACCACAAAGTGATTGAGTTCAACGATCTCATCAATGATATCATTGATCGTTGATTGAATATGTGTCATCCGAACAGTTATCGGTGCCGTGACCTTGCGCTCCCGAGCCATCAACAACTTGTACAGTTGTTCAAAGTGACTTTTGACTTCTTTAGACGTGACATCCAATGATTGATATGACGTTGCACACAATTGAAGTGTCTTCCAAAGATGATCCATCCTCGTTGTGAACCACAATGACTGATGATCATGCTCCTCATTATTATTATCCTTTGCCTTTGTCTTTGACTTTGTCTTTGTCTTTGTCTTTGACGTTGACATCATTGATGTTGACAGACTTTGTTTTATAGTCTCCAAATGATCCATCTTATGACCATTATGATTATGTACCATTCATTGTAAACAAACCAATGTCTTACACTCCAAACAAACAAACTCTTTTCTCAAACTATGATCAACACATAATATAATATTATTCATCTTATCTCTATCTATTGTTGGTATTCATTTTAATGAACATAAGTTGTACTTTCACCATTCATCTTGATGTGTTTGGTTGAAGTTCTTTTGATTGTAAATTGATTGAAATTTCAAAAGTTGTCCATTTCACACTTTGATGAAGGTGAAGTTGTTTATTGTCATCACTTTGAACTTAACAATTTAATATCTGTTTTGTTGTTTATTTATACAAGTACAATATATATTTTAGAATGGCATCTGTGACATCAGTGGCATCATCAGCTGAGGCTGATGGGAATAAACAACAGCAACAACCACATCAACAACAACAACAGAAACATCAACTTCATCATAGTCAGAATCATAATCATTATCATCAACAACAACCACATCAACATGATTTAGTAATATTCTTTAAGGTTAGGGGAAAGATGAGATCTGTTGTATTCACAGGCCACTCATTAGAAGACCTCAACGATGTGTTTGTTCTCAACTTCCCAGAGTTTAGCAAGGATACACTCACACCCTTTGTAATCAAACATCGCCAGAGTCGCATTGTCTACGAGCTAGAAGAAGTCTCAGACCTATACCCAGGCTGCATACTCGAGATGCGCAAGAACACAAGTGACTGTATGTAGTTGATGAATCGCGTCCCAATCAATCAATCAACTAACATGTGACTCATTGATGTAGCGATCGTTGAGGGCAAGAGAAGAAACTATGTATACACAGGCTTTGAGTCCAACAAGATTGTGGTGGTGATGGTGGGCATGCCAGCATCGGGCAAGACGTTCATCGCCAGGAAGATTAGGAATCTACTTAACTGGATGGGAGTAATGGCCAAGGTGTTTACTGTTAGTGACTACCGCAGGAACAGAGTGGGAGCAAAGCAATCAGCAGAGTTCTTTGATCCTGGCAACGTAGATGCATCGTATGTAACACCATGGGACTTGGCAGCCAGTCCCCTCAAGTACTAACCTTTAATCAATCAATCAAACAGACGTGTCAGACTACATATGGCCGTTGCTGCCATTGATGACATGATGTCGTGGCTAAACAGTGGCGCACAAGCTGGTATATATGACGCTACCAACCTGACGGAGGAGCGTAGACAGCTCATCCTGGCAAGGTGTACAAGAGAAGGTGTCAACAAGGTCATCTTTGTCGAGTCCATATACACAGATCAGTCCATGATGGAGGAGAACATGCTTGAGAACTGGAAGCTCTCTCCAGAGTAAGTGGATTGATTCGAATCATTACAATGATGCCATGACTAACTCAATCAATCAAATCAATCAATCATAGTTACGCTCACAATGTAAGTGAGAGTGAGGCAGCCAAGCACTTTAAGGAGAGACTATTCTTTTATCAGAAGGAGTACGTGGCGATTAACGACGACCTCCAGTACATCAAGTTGTACGATGTCGGAAAGAAGATCATTGCCAACAAGATCACGGGTTACTTGCCTGGCCGCATCATGTACCTGCTGATGAACCTACACCTGCACTCGCGTCCCATCTGGCTCTGCCGCTCGGGCCTCAGCGAGTGGAAGGCGCAGGGCCGCAAGGGCGGTGACTCGGACCTCAACGCCGAGGGTGAGACGTTCAGCCATCTGCTGGCCAGCTGGGTGGAGGAGCACACCAAGAACAACGAGGAGGTCACCGTGTGGACGTCGACGCTGAAGCGTGCCATCCGCACGGCACAGTACATTCCACATCCCAAGGTGCACGTTCGCGCACTCGATGACATTGAGCGAGGCGAGTGGGTTGGACTGACACGCGAGGAGATACTCAACCAGATGCCAGATGAGTTTGGCGCTCACTCTGATGACAAGCTTGGCTATCGCATTCCTCGTGGAGAGAACTATCTAGACGTCATCCAACGACTAGAGTCTGTAATTTTAGAACTTGAACGAAGTATGTATCGTAAACACAATGTATATTTAACAATGACCGATCCAAGGCCATTCCAGGCCCTCTTATCAGGGTCCGATGATGACGACAATGACTAATCACACTCCTCCTCCACCTAACCATCTCACAGCAAGAAACACCTCATTGATTGTCAGCCATCCAGCACCATTGCGATGCCTTTATGGATACATCACTGGCGAACCGATCGAGAAGTTCCCCTTCATCCAAATACCGCTGCATACGGTGATCTCACTCAGGCCTTCAGCCTATGGATGCGAGATCAAAATGTATCCGTTGGCCATGCCAAAGGATACTACTCACCATTAGCCAAGTTGGAGTCCACCAGGCCAAGGACTCTGTGTGAGTGTGTGTATGTATAGATAGACCAGCCATGGCGATTGTGGGGACCCCCCTTTAGTATCCTGCCTCCGAACAACTCTGTGTTGTTGAGGGTGGGGTCTGGATGTTGGGGCGGACTCGGCCCTCGCCAAGGTGTCTCACCGTTCGTTCGTGAAGAGACGCATGCTATGGATGGAAGATGGCATGGCCTGCCCACACATCCTACCACCTGGGGGCGCATGCCAAACAGTGTCATTGGGTTGGAACCCAAATGTGGAGACTCCGTCTATCGGCCAAGCAAGTAAGAAAGTGTTTGTTTGTGTGAGTGAGCGGGTGATGTMWACAACCTTGAATAAAGCCCGAATTAGTGTCATGGTCAATCGTCTACGCGTCACCTCACGTGTCTGAGTTGAGGCTATTTGTTGAGTAATGGGCAACAAAAATATCGATTGCGGCCCACGCAGCAGCGAACAACAGTTTTCTGGGCATTGTCGCCGATAGAAGAGTTGGTAATTTAGGATCTGTCACATTCAAGTGTTTGTTGTTCAATCAATCAACCATTATCACCCCAACCTTGTATCCACCCATTCATTCATTTCGTTCATTCATAAGTAGTCCAACTTCAAACTCATTGCAACTTAAGTTTATCTCTTATCTCTTCCCTTTATTATTCGTTAATAAATAGAACAACATCAACACACATAAGTAATAGATAGATACATATACATACATAGATAGACACACCACTCACACCTAGGGTCATTGACACACCTAATTATAATATTACAGTAAGTGTCGTATGTCCACACACCAAGCTTATCAACTTGGAACAATCACCGTCACCACCATCTCAACATTGACATGACATCTTTGGCATCGCCTGTGTTTCCATGACGTAGTTGAACATTGTCAACAACACAATGTGTGTGTGTCTAATCATTGCAACTACACATTCATTCACACACGTGATGGCAATGAACAATGACGGGGTTGTTAGTGTTGTTGTTCTTGGTCTTCCTTCTTCATTCTTTCGTTCCCCCTTACCACTACCCCACCGTCACCAGACAATAATAGATCCTCCTCCACCCACCCATCCATCCACCAACCCACACATTCACGTGATCACATACACATACACTAAGAAGAGAAAAGTGAGATGCTTAATCTACTTCTATCTATCTTAAACAAACCATCGATCACCCACAACCACAACACTCCTATTGTCATCTCAACAGCTTGCTCCTTTGACAAACAGTGTGAGGTCTGTCCGATCACCCAAGGGTGATGTGTTCAGAACCATATCACACAGCATATGGATGAAGCGATGGGGAGCCTTGTTGTCCAACATTGACACACACACATACCTGTTCGACGATACAACACCATTGCATCCAACCCCATTGATCAGTGTGTGGGGCAAAGGTTAAGCTGATCGTCGTTGCCCAAGTGTGGTATGTGTTTGTATTTGTTTGATTGTGTGTGTGTGTTGTGTTTGATTGATTGACTGAATGATAAAGTGTAATGAGTGTACTCGATCAAAGGACACTCACACACAATAATTCAAACACAATGCTGTGTGTACCTCCATCAGCCACTATTATTAGAATGATCGTCGTTGAACCGACCTATCCCTCCCTTACCCTACCCTTCCGTATTACTTCCTGTTTGCCATTTCCTCCATCCCCTCTTTGTTTATTGTCTGTTTGTGCCCGATGCCTGGGAAAGTAGTGTGAATGAGTGAGTGTGGAGTGATTGATTGATGAGTGTGTGTGAGCTGATTGAGAGGTGGACGCGGAGTTACGAAGCAGTAGATGAGGGCATGCCAAACTTGTTTCCAAACAACCAATCCAACAACAATCCAACAACAACAACAAATAACCTGTATTAATAGAGAGAGAGAGAGAGTGGAAGTGAAGTTAAAGAGTGTCGCAGCAGTCAGTCCATTGTCATCAGCAACGAGAGTCTCGATTCCATTGCCAACCCCCCTCATCCCACCACTACTTGTATCATTACTATTGTATCATTATCATTATCATTAGCAACATCATCAACAATAACAACAACTTTCCTCAACTCGATTTCCCTCAACTATCTTCATCAACATCATCATCCATCATCCATCCTTGTACTACCATTAGCCTGCCCAATAATTAATTAATCAATACTATGCTTTGTTGAACCCCAATAACTTCCCCAACCCTCAACTTCACCAGCCCTCATTGCCATTGCATTGCCCAAATCCAAATGCTGTACTATTAGTCCATCTCCATCAATCCATCCACTTCACTCACATCATCATCATCAATCAGTTCAACATCCAAGTTTAACAAGTTAGTTTGTCAACCAACAAATTTTACTTACCTTGGAAGTTTAATAACTTATTTATTCAATCATCATCAATCACTCCCAATCAGTATTATTAATTTCATACCAACATTACCATCACCATCTCCAGCCAGCCAGCCAGCAAGCAAGCCCAAGATCGCAAGCAAGCCAGCCAGCCTAGACCAGCCCATCTCTAATATTGTACAATACGTAAGTGAACACTTAAACAAACAAAGCCATCCGACCCGACATACACCTCCAAGGTGCACCCGATCACCTCATCATCGTCCCCATCTTCATCATCATCATCACCATCACATCTTCATAATCCTCAACACGATCACCGCCATCCATTGCATAATTCAACGACAATCAACAGCCAATTATCACATGACAGTTGACTGGACCTCTAGGTCAAGGCCGCCACTCATATTCTCGATTGATCACGATCATTTGATGGGTGCGCGAAACACACACAACACATCACACTCGCACACAAACATTTGTGGGCGTCGTTTGATCGCACCCTCCATCACCCGTCCACATCCAATTTCCAGTCCAATCAACTTTTGAGTTGCCTTTTAAACACGCCAACAACAATCAATGTAACAGTGAGTGAGTAAAGTGATTGATTGAGTTTGTTTGATAGATGGGGAGGGCATCTAGGACGCATCTGTACCCAATTCAATTGATCAGATCCTTCAACTCTTGCCCATCCGCATTCTCATCACACCTCACACTCTCCACATTCCACACACAATCAAACGCACTCATACGCATCCAATGGGGAAGGCTTAGCCCGACAGGGCAACATCTCCCCTGGATCCCACGTATTATTAGGAGTTGTGTCGCGTCTCCCCGCTACCAACCCTCCACCAACCACGAGAAGCAAAGAGTGGAAGGGTGCTTTGCTGCCAGCAACGAACACCTTCCCAATATGTCCTCACCGTGCGGTGATCGCATATGCAGAGATGAGGGCAGAGGGCACAACGTGGATGGATGGGTGGATGAATGATTACGGTACTTTCTTACTTTTTAGTAAGTGATGACCAATGATCATGTGACGACGGCGTTGTTGTTGGATTAATACCAAGCAAGCAAGTACACCTATATTATCTCTCAATCACATACATACACACACAATATATATAACTTGTTGTTGCCATCTCGTTGTAAGTCTACCTTCCTTAAGCATTACCATGACCATTACCATAATACACCCTCCTCCTCCACCTCCGATCACTCACTCATTCACTCAATCACTCATACAATAACTCATTCATTCAATCAAACAATCAACTTACTCACTCACTCAAAGGTGATTGATGCCCCTGTTGTTGTTTGGTTGTACAAACTGGGCTTGTTTAACACTTGTTTGTCATTGCCGCCCTCGACAGTGTGTACCAACAACACTTAAACAATCACATCACTCTATAAATATATATTATTACAATACTTATGCAGGCCTGATCAGCGCTGCCATGTATGTCCAAATTACCGATCCAGCTGATATCAGTCTGGATCGCACTCACCACACACAACTCCCCATCATCCACAACTCTCTCATCTCTCAATCTCTCATCTGGATTCTGTTAATGGTCATATGATCATATATGGAAGGCCCTTGGAAAGGCCATCTCCAGCCAGCCAACCAACACATCAACATAACAACCACAAACCACAACAACAACAACAAACACATATACCATATCTACTTATATATCCAACAACCCTCAATCTTCATTATATATATACTACCCATCGATGCTGAGGATAATGCATCTGGAGTAGTATGATGAGGAGGCGGCGGCGGCTACGGCGGGCCACCAATTGGCATTCGATCTGTTTCCGCACCACACCATCTACATCCAATCCATCCAGCCAACACACCACACAATCATTCATTCATTCTCCGCGACACATTCGCAGATGCATCCAAATACAACAACCAGCTGTTGGTTGGTTGGTGCTGCGCTCTACGCATAAATATCTCACTCATTCCTCATTACTCAAACCATCAATCAATCAATCAAACTGCCCAATCTTGGAACACAACAACTAACTCCCAATCCAATCCAACCCTTTCTAAACCTACCAGTATAATAATACTTTTCCAATCAATCAATCAACAACTTATATTCATTCATTCATAAATATCCTGTAATACTACCATACTATACAATCAAATAATCATCACAATGGACTACTCAAGAATCAACAACTTTATCGTCCTGTTCTGCCTCATTGTCTCGGTGCTGACTGCCACCTCCAGCGCTGAGCCCACCATCAATTATATTGGCGCCAACGACAATGGTGTCAGCTACTTCCCCGTCTTTGACGGCCTAAAGATGCACATCCGCTGCTACTCCAACCCCAATGCCTCCAAACAACACGGCCCCGCCGCCATCTTTGACTCTGGAATGCCATTCAGCTCATTGGCCTTCTCCACAATCATCTCCACAATCCTCCCCGATCTGCCCTCGCTCAATGTCAGCCGTCTCTGCKTTTTTTTGACCGTTATGGCTACGGCTGGTCCGATGCCTCGCCATACCCCCTGATGTCCAGTGACACTGTCTACCGTCTGCACGAGTCTCTGCAAATTGCCGCCATCTACCCACCATACATCATGGTCGGCTGGTCATGGGGCTCTATCGACGTCCAGAACTTTGTGCTCTCCTACATGGACGAGGTCGTCGGCATGATGACCCTCGATGGCACTGACTCTGGCTACGCCTTTGACCCAGCCAACCCACCCACTGCCTCGTACGCCACCGGTCTCGTCGAGAACTTCCTTCAGTTACCCACTGCCGTCCTCCAGGGCGCCGCCGACGCCGGCCAGATCCCACTGGTGTTTGGCTACTTCCAACCATCTGACAACCTGCCCGCCACCGCCAAGTCTGCCAGCAACCAGTGGTACGTCACCAGCAAGACCTTGACTACCATCCTGCAGGAGCTCCAGATTATGATCCCAAGCGCCAACGTGCTCAACTCAACCTACATCTCCAAGGGCACCTCCAAGCCCCTCTCCAACATGCCCTTTGTCGCTCTGACCGCCGATGCCAACGGTGCCGACTGGATCTCACGTCAGAACACCCTCGTGTCGCTCTCATCCAACAGCATCCACCTGCATACCAACGCCTCCCACTTTATCCCCTTGGAGGAACCCCGCTGGAGCTGTCAATGCCTTCAAGCAGCTGCTTAACCTCATGTCTATCTCGCCACCCGTAGTGCCTCTCTGGTAAACCAAACCAACCAGTGTATATTTATATTATATAGATAGATAGTTCGATGTTTTAGTGCGACGACGCCCCTTCCTCCCTCCTTCCCTCCTTCCCTCCCTACCTCCCTCCCTCCCTCAACTTCCATCCCTCGACGATGAATAAATAGAGCGAGACACACTCTTTCCTGTGTGTCTAGACACACAGCCTTGTAGGAACAATCATCATCTTGTCCCAATGCTTGTCCATACCCTTACTAACCCTCATCCCCAATGACTGACGACTACTGTTGTGTTGCGGGCTTGTGTGGCAGCATAAATTATTAGGGAAAGGATGGACTGATCAGGTCTCTCTTTATGTGATTCAACCAAAGTGTAGGGACGTACATCAATCCAATCTTGTATCCATTGCGGTATATATATGTACAGCTATAAGGTAAGGGAAGGGGGAGGATATGGGAAGGGGAAGGGGAGGGTATGTATGCAGAAGATGGGGAGGATGCAGTCCTCTCATCTAATCGTTGGACTAGTTAAAGTCCAGTCCAATCTATGGCTGGCCTAGTAGTGGCCGACGTTCTTCCTTGGCGCCAATGGCTATTTGTGGGTTGATGACAAAGATGTGATCGGACTCCTCCTCGTGCTTGGGCGGCTTGAGCAGCAGATTGATGCCGCAGAAGATCAGCATGAACTCGCCCACGTACAACGGAATGAACATCTCTGTGTATTGAATCGCCAGCTGGCCCTCTAGCTTGAGTGCTAGCAGGACCTTGAAGGTGATCGAGCAGAAGATGAGTATGAGTAGCGAGGACAGCTGGAAGATGGAGAAGCTCGAGTTCTCGCGCGAGCCCAAGCTGAACAACAGTAGGAAGAAGGAGAAGCACGCCGCAATGCCATCGGCCGTGTAGAGCGGGATGAAGCAGATTGACCAAGTGAGATCGGGGTGCACGCCGTGATAGCGCATCGCAATCATGATGACACTGGGCGTCAGCGCCAGGCCGATCAGGAACATGGGCATGCCACCCACGATGTACTTGGTCTTGCGTTGCGGCCTGTCGTCGTTCATGTGCAAGCCGCGGACGAAAGAGTAGAGGCCGCCCAGCAGCGTCGTGAAACTGAGCACGAGGATGGGCGCCACCATGATGACGGGCGACAGCGTGCTATACTGCAGATGGATGATGACAAAGAAGGCAAACACTGTCGACGAGATCACCCAGATGTTCCAGGTGAAGCGGATGATCCACGACACGTAGTTGGAGAGCGCACGCGACGACGTGATCAGGAACGCAATGAGCAAGATGGCAAACATCGGCATGTAGATGTACCACCACGACCAGTGGATGTAGCCGTCCAGCTGCAGGCCGTACAGGATGTTGAATGTGAGCGCCAAGAAGCTGACGCCCTGGAACAGCATGCCGACCTTGCGCCAGAACTTCTCGAGGCTCTTCTTTTTGAACTCGCGCTCGATGCTCTGTGGCGACTGTATATCGTGCAGCATTTGTGCGCGCATCGAGCTGTTGCGGCTGCTGCGGTTGCTGTTGCTGGTCAGCTCGTCTGACGACTGGGGGAAGGGCAGCGGAGGGCGCGCATAGTCTGCCCCCTCCAGCTGTTGTGCTTGGACGTAGTCCACATTGTCAGAGTCTGCTGGTAGATCCAAGATGTTGTCAGACGCTGACATGCTGCTTGCTTGTTTGAACTATATATATCACCTACTTGACTTGCGAGGTGATTGATCTGATTTGTTTGAGTGTTGAGTTGAGCTTAAATAGTTGTTGACGTGGATGATGACGAAGATGATGGATTGAAGTGTAGATGAATGAAGTGATGTGATTCGTGATGACCTGTGAATGCAGTATGTATGTGTTGGTTGATTGGTTGATTGAATGAACAAATGAGTGAGTGAGTTGAGTTGAGGGGAATGAAGGGGAGTGAAGGTTAGATTGGGTGACGTAGGCATGCGAGTCGAGCCATCATTCACATCGATCAAACATATGATTGATTGATTCGATTGATTTGAATGATTGGTTGACCGTGATTCATTGGTTGGTGGAGCGGTACCTACCTTGGTAATGGGATCAACACATTGAATTGGGGGGGTTGTATTACTTAATAGTGATGAGAATATACGAGATAAAGATTGATTGGTTGGTTGACTGACTGACTGATTGACTGACGTTGATTGGTCACTTGAGAGGTTCTAAGACAGGAGAATGGATGTGTGCGTTGGGGGTTGGGTTGGGTTGGATGGTAGATAGAAAGATGGATGTCCTTCCCGAGTCTAGACTTGGTCTCTGCACACTCACTCACTCAGACCGGTAGGATACTATTATACTATTCTCAAACTACTACTATGATGGCCTGTACTCTATCTTTCAAATAGGAGATGTTCTTGGTTTGTTTGGAAAAGAATGGTTCGCTGAGCCCTCTGACTTGTGTGTGTTGGTGATTGTGTGTGTGTGTGTTCTGGTCTTGAGCTTTATCATTTCAATCAGATCTTTATTCATTCATTTGATCATTCATCCATACCCCTCACTTACACTAATCACATATTCTACCTTGAGGGTCTTTAGGTGGCAACCAGTTTTTGGTTATTTCTGGTGATGGTGATGGGCCGCCATTCCTAGTGATCCAGGCGCTCGTATTAGGATTGGTCAGCATTGTGTGTTATGCTTCATACAAATGCCCCTCATTTGCATTTGCATCACCTGGGTATCAATCCCGAAACTATGAGGCTCTTTCAAAAAGTTGATCACTCGCAAAATTTCTAAAGATATTTCCACTGATGATGAAGTTGGAAATGAACTTTTGGCTACTCATCCTTGAATGATTGTGATTCGAAAGTTCTCGTCATCGGGTTGAACAGATAATGCAGTTTAAGACTACCCAGTGCACTCGACATAAACACCAGGACATTGTTCGTGTTCGGAGTTTGGTACATATATATCACATCTTCCCCAGACATAAGAACATCTAGATGATTTTACACCAGGCATTCATACTTCAAGTTCATCGGTACCGATTCAACCACCGATCGACTCACGATGACAATGAACTATTATGTCTTTGACTCTGTCTATCAATCATTGTAGTATCTAATCTAAACTATTGGTTTGTAGTTTGTTGTTGACATGTAGTTATAACAAAAGTTGTGTATTAATAATTTTATACTTCTACTTGTTTGATAAATAGAATTGGTTGAATATGATGAGTGAATTGATGAATGAATGACCACCTTGTCTTTGAATCCCAAGGCTAGGATCATTATGCACACAACAAAGCGAATTGGTAAGTTTGAGAATCCAAGTTGTGTTGGTGTGTGTGTGAGTGTGAGTCACTCAAAGTGTCATCCATTTATCATTCACAATTATCTCTCTCTTATTCATTACTTGTACATACATACATACTATACAATATTCATTCACATACATATTACATTACATATATACATACATACATTATAAATATTAGTAGTTTAGTTTTATAATGCAATATAACTACAATAACAATTCAACATCACTGGATAGTTACAACAACAACAATAACAACAATAACAATAATAGCAACAATAATGCTCACTCAAACGTGATATTCTATCCAAGTCTACAACAGACACAACAACAACAACAGCAACAGCAACAGCAACAACCTACACAACAACTTAATGAGTCAAATGATGTAAGTATAGAAACATGCTATACTCTCTAGAGTTGATACTAATTAGAGTTGTTTATCGATATTATTATTACAATCAGCTACACTACGAAGGATGGCTACAAAAGAAGGGCGAGATGGGTGTTGTGCTCACATGGAAGAAGCGATACTTTGTAGCCGATATGGAATCAATCAAATACTTTACAGAGGTCACTTGCAACAATCTAAAGGGTATCATTCTATGGGAGCACATTGTCAGCATCAAAGCATCAGCATTTGCCGTGTGGAATGATAATCGTTACTTTGAAATACATACCGTATGTATACAACAACAACCTATGATGGCTATCCAAACACACTCTTAACATCCATCCTTTAACAAACAAACAGAATAGAGCAAGGACATATTATCTCTTTGCAGATGACCAAGCAACATCATCAAGATGGATAGAAGCATTGACTAGAATCAACACTGCATACACTGCTCATTTGAAGGCATTGGAGCAACATGAGCAGCAACAAAAGAAACAACAACAGGAGCAATTGTTGCAGCAACAACAGTATCAGGAGCAACAGGAGCAGTTTGAGCAATACTCCCAAAAGACCTTCAACTCACCCTACAAGGACTATCTCAACTTTGTTCAACGCCAAGGCTATTCACATTATGGAGCGATGGATGACTCTTCAGACATCATGTCACAACATCATCAACATCATCACTCGTCAGCACAAGTTGACTCTGTTTTCAACGTTCCAGCACGTCCACCTGAGCCCCTTAGGACATTGACACATGAGCGCATCAAGGCCATCCTACCATCTGAGGGCAAGGACCTAGAGATATACTATCAGTCCACCACACACTTTGCCAGCGTCTTGACCTACAAGAGTCAAGACTTTTATTTGCTTGCCGCCTACCTTGTCATCTCAACATTGGACTGGGACAACAAGAAGACACAGACATTGCCAGGTGTCATCCCCTATGAGAGTGACATTGAGTATCCATACTTTGCCTACTCAATCCAACTAATTAGAACTGTATGTTTATCGTAGCGTAGTTGTCAATGAGTGTGACATTGGTTCTAACATTACAACAACAAAATATAAACAGGAGATACTAAACAGATGGAAACTCAATGGACCAACATACATCACACAGATTGACACATTTGTCMAAGAAGAAGAGACAAAACTATTTGATGATACTAGAGAATGAGGACATGGAGACATTTGTCAACAGGAACCTGTTACTCTTGAACTATGTACTCCAGTACACTGTCGTTGGTCATAAGTTGGCAGTGATTGAAGACTCACTGCTTGTACTGGTCGATAGATTCCTCGAGAGATTCGAGTCACTCTCATCAATTGTTCATAGTGCATTCCTACTTGAGGAGTTGTCCAAATGTGAGCCAGTCAGCAACATGACACAGTCTGACATTGCATTGTTGAAATCATTCACTCAATCCTATCTATTGTATCAAGTATGTATTTTTGACCAACTAATGTATATACACAATCATCATCCAGTTATTCTTACTTACATTCATTCATTTATTTGTTACAACAGAAACTACATGGAGAGAATAAGAACAACAGTAGGTTCAGAATGGACCCAACTATCAAACAGAAGTATGAAGGCGTCAGCCATCAGTTCTCTTTGGCACTCAATAGTCACCCTGTTCTGGCACCATTTGCAGGGTAAGTTGGAATGATTGATGTCATGTCACTCAGTTTTTAACTTTTGATCATTCATAAACAGTCAAATCCAAAGAACAGTTGTAAAGATATTCATTATTTGGAGCAAGAACCTTCCACTCTGCGAAACAACCTCAACGTTGGATGTATCTATATATAGGAACTACAAGGTATTCATCAGAATACTAAGCAAACTAGATCCAAACCTATTCCAACAGTTGTACAACTCTGTAAATTCAGCCAAGGACACACTCTACAGTCACATTGAAAGACAGATAGGTAATTTCGAGGTGAATACCTTTGATGTGTCCTCTTTGGAGGCTATCCAACCAACAAACATTAGTCCTACCAAATAAATATTGTGTGTTTTTTTAGATTACAATAATTAAAAAAATTGAACCCGAGTTGAAACCCCCGGAAAAATATAATAAGTCATATGCCCAATCTCATGGCATTCTTAGGAAAGTGGTTAAATCCGCCAG